GAACCTCGTCTCGGCAAGGGTCTTGCCCTTCAACCCCCTTTTGCAACACTCTTTTCGCAAAACCTGCAACAGGCGGTGACCGCTAACTGGCAGGACAGGACAGACATCCCAGATCGTTATCAGAATTTGCTTACCAGTCAGAACGGCCAGTTACTCATTCCCCGATATAGAACTAGCGCACCTGGCACCATTACCTCCATCCCACCATTCAACTTTGCAGTGTCTTTCCCCCACCCCCTACCCCCCTTCTCTCCCCCCTTTTTGATGCCCTGCGGCAGCCCGCGCGGACGTTCATGCATCCCCAACTTTTGGCCTGCAGCTTCTGGTTTGTGTGTGTGTCGCAGACGCATGTGTAGTTGGACAAAGCTCCTGGCAGCAGACCACAGTTAGTGTAGCATACGTAAGACGATGGCTTGCTTAGCTTGCGAAGATCCCATTTCTCTATATCAGTCAGGCGTATTCCCCCCAAATCTGCCTATCTATCCGCGGGTGCGCATGGTTTCGCGCGTGACGAGCACACGACATCGCCAGCTTCTTTTAGTGCCAGATTATTCAATGGTCTCGAAGGGTATCTGAATTGGAGGAAACCCTTCTGCCAACTGGGATGTGATACACGCTGTAGGTAGCTGCGTTCCCTTACTATTCCCCTCATCGATCATATGTACGGTATAGGAGAGCGGACGGCGTGGCAATGGCATGGCATGTGCCGCCGATGGGAGATTCCGTTATCAAAAAAAGGCTACTTGATGGCTGCGTACCGTCGGCTAGTCGTATCCTGTACATATGTATACCATCGCTTCTGATCAACGGCTTTACCCCAGTCTCGAATACACTTATTAAACATGGTTCCCCCTCAAAAGACCTAGTTCCAAATGGCGGTAAGACATGGTCTACTAATATGGGTGGCATACCCGGTAACAGCGATCCGATTCTCGCTTGCCTCCGACACCTCTTGCATATTTGACGTGATTTGAGACCCGGATGTCTCTGGTGTCACACCTTGCTCTATTCCGGGCACATGACCCTAATGACGGTAGCGGGTGCGAGCTGATAGCTTCGGTCGGCCGTTCCGTAGGCCACGCTTTCCGGACGGAGTATTGTTATAGTTGTATTAACTGTAGATGGACGTTGATGCTAGGTAATTTCTTTTGTTCTTCTGCTATAATCTCTCTGACGTCTCGGTTTTATTATCGTCTCTCGGCTTGATCAGGATCTTTCGGAGTACGTAATGGCTAGGATTGTTTCCAGAGTTTGAAGTTGATTATTCTTTTGTTCGTCTTGTTCATGTCAGTGAATAGTACCGACAAGTCAAAGTCCATTAACACCAGAGACTTCCTTGGATCGTCCATGTTCGGATCTGACTTGCATCAGTACCGTTCGTTCGACTGCAGTACTGTTGCTCTGTCGATGGAAAGCCTTGAGACTAAATAGTCAAAAGCACTCTAATAGTCGCAATCGGGAGGCATTACATGCGGAGTCGGCTTTATAGTCTTTGGACAGAGTTCCCTATATTAATTTATTGACCTTGAGTCAGCACATTCTTGTCTGGGGTAGGGACTGAAGGGACCAAACCTTGGCTAAAGATGCTCCTAGGATAAGAGATGATCTCCAGCGACATTATGTGCATATCCATGTCCAATCTCTAGATTCTTCTGCAATAGATAGGGTTGTAGAGCCTTCATTGTTGTTGGGAGAGTATTCCCCTGCGTAAAGCTCGCGCGTCGCGTCTGTCTCCATGTCGTCGCAGCATTCGTAAATGTGTACCGCTACTATTTGATTGCTTTCCATTCAGTATTATCTTCTTTCTTCCTGCCCCTAGCATGTTTTCGCTAAAGATTGCCATAAAGCGACCGGCAGTAGAGCCAAAACCCTCCGAGAAGATAGTATAAACCTCACCTATGTTTCTCTAGATGGATGTTTAGGCTCCATCTTCTTCCAACAATCATTCTCTAGCAGCTTGTCTTCTTGCGACCGTGGGTAAAGTTGTGGTTTTGAATTGGAGTTTGGTCTTGGATGTAGAAAATTCTTTTGTTCGTTATTGAATATATTATTTCTAATTTGCAGAATTAGTTAGCACATACTATCTCAGGTTATCCTACTAATAAAAGAAGGAAGAGATAGGAGACAAAAAGAACAAGTAGAGAGAGATCTTTACAGTATGGTAAGAATTAAAGATAGCCAGTTTGACTATATTCCCAATCAGTCCGGATAGAGTAATAGGGGTTTCTCGTACCTACTTAAGTCACACGAGGGGCAAAATATATCTTTTGGTAAAGCAGGTCCTATGTTAGTTGAGGTAGGTGCAATTGCGAGGAATTCGAGGGGCAGATGCATGGGGAAGGAGGAAGAATCTTGTGGGTATACGATATTTAATACGATATTTAGTACGACAAAATTTTATGTTGATGTGCTACAAATTGCTATAAATTCTTGAATATCTTTGTTAATTCGAGTAGGTTTCTATGACTCTCTATTAAGCTTGGACTTCAATGTGACTCATGGGGGAAGATATTGTAGGTATTGAGGGGAGTCAGTCTTAGGAGAAGCCGCCCAGGTACTTGGAGATGACTTCGATGGGCCGCATTATATCATCTACTACACTGTGTACCTACCTAATAACCACTAGCCACCCATGGATATTTTTGAGGAAAGTGTAGGTTACGATGGTCATATATCTCACAAAAATATGATGAGGTATGTACATTGTCTACCCTCTCTCGTCAACTAAGACGCATCATACGAAGTGGCATTTGTTGCAAGATATTAGAGGATTTATATATAGGCCATATCATCTACGAATGCTTCTATAATTTAATGATAATTCTCATTCGATTACTTCACTGCAGGTAGGTACTAACTGCCCATAGCCAACGCTCCCCAAGGTTACCAAGGTAGGTAAATAATGACAATAACGGCATGAACACACTTTCCTAGGCTCTACATTTTTTCATAAGATGAGCTAGATAAATGTATCAGGTACGTAACCTGCAGTGGACTACGTATATGGTACTGTACTATGTCCCCCGTACATTGATTGGATGCTCTCCTAGTTGAACGTGGACACCTCCTTCTTTCCTCGTAACTACCTCCCCTACCTCCCCATATCGTTTACTTTTATTTAATTATTTTAGTAGACTGGTTTCAAAGTACAACTTCCCTAAAGACAATATCATTTCTTCTAGTTGTATGTGAGAGATTTACCAATTTCGAAAAACATCTCGTATCTACACTGTATAACCTTCCTTTCCTAGCCTCTTACCTTCCTGCCTTCACTTCCCCAGACCGACGAAGAATTAATTTTATATAATCTAGTAGATCCCACAATCAGCTAGTGAGTCTATTTGACTTCTACATTTCTTCATATTACCTTACTATCCATCGTATCCATGGTATCATTCCCTAAGACTCGCATCCCAACCTGAACATCATCGTATCCGATCCGTCAGTTCACGCAGCAACAGCCCTACCTTGACCTTCCGTGGCTTAGGTTATAGGTGCGTACACATTCCGAACTGAATTGACTTAACCTACCGACCTTACATTTAGTAATCTAATTATTTTAAGTTAGGTATCTGGCCCTTTGGGTCTCTTCCTCGTACACGGCGTTGCCACTCATATCCTCTCCCATTAGAATAGATTATTCGACGCACTCTTTTGAACCAAGACGAATGTAAGTCCTTCGTATTTTGTCTTCTATTACTACCAGCGATTGTGTATCCTAATTTGCGTGTTGCGTTCCCCCCTACCACATCATCTCTCCCCAATCCATCCGCTCCCCGAGCTACTTCCTTCACGATACCATAACGTTAGTATCTAACGTAAGTCACTATTATCGTCAATCATAACCATACCCCATTTTGCCTAGTGGTGGTTTATCATTCACAAACGGTCATGACAAACATCAGCTATTGGCAAAACTCTTCCTCGTACAACATTACATCGTACACTCGAACGGCTTTCCATCGTCAGTTCAATAGCAAGCACTAACATCTAGTTTATACAGGATTGTCTCTGGTATTAGCCTTGATCACCTGATCACTTACCGAGTAAGCAGTTTCCCATTTCCCCCTGAACAGACATTATTCTATGTACATTTCTAAACTCTATTGGCTCGCACTGGTATTTATTTGACATACTATTCCCTACGACTCCTAAATACTACCGGCTTTTTAATACTAATCTTTCACAAATATTCATATTCATCCTTAACCCCATCCCTCAATGCCGAGCGTTTCTGATAGCCTTATTCAACATTCTTTACTCTTTTTGCCTCGTCTTCGCTCGAAACTAACAGTCGTACGCAGTAGTCTACCTACTTACCTTTCCGCAATAAGACTCATCCCAAAAACCTCTTTGCTCTTAAGTAGGTATGTAATTGACTTTTTCGCCTTGCTATAATATTTTCTGCTATTTATAATATCTGCTGTCCACTTAAGTTCATAACAAGTGTTCAATACCACTGGCCTTTCCTACACTGAGCACTATTAGCAAGCGCTGCAAGCGCCCCTTTCATTGTTCCTAGGCCAATGTCATACAGTCATGGACATGAATACGCGGTACCTACCTGTTCAAGAAACCCGATTTCACCCTTCCCCACCACATTCTGCCCCTTCTTCTTACCATCTCTAGTGATGCTATTAGCATTTACCAACATTTTCTATCCCCCCCTTTAATACACTAGGTCATATTATTTGTATTGGTACTTTATGATCTAATCATCTGCATGTGGTCATATACTAACTCGTGGATCAGCAAGGGTTGAGTCTGATACTTGAAGCTTGTTCTTAACCAGAGATCAGTATTGGTCATAGTAAGTTTTGGCATTTCATTATTTACACTTTTAATACAGCTGGGCATACATACTTCATGACTTACCTTGAAGAGTCAAATAATGTTACTGACACTCCAACTCTTGTTTGAATTATTCTTCGGGGGCTTGATAAGGCCTGAGCTAACTGCATATTCTAGTAACACTGAAATTCAAAAGCCTTGTTATCGCGATGGACTACGTCCAAGACATTCGCCGCTCTGGCACCCTCCCCTACCCGAATCTCATTCAGGGGTACGCAACGGCGAACCAACACCACTTCTTCCTTGAGCCTGAGGAACCCTCCAAGGAAGGTGGTGCTGGTAAGCAGTATCAAACCGCCGTAGAAGCGTCTATTGAGAGTTCAATCAAGCGCCGCTTTGAAAGTTTCGGTTCAACTACTCATATTTACCGAAAAGAGAGGGCCGGGAGAGGATCCCACTTCATTATGTTCTATCGTCGCGACCGCGGTACTATTGATCATGGACTTGCTCGATCTAACGAGGATATTTACGAATGTGCTAAGATGAACATCTTACGCCACCCGCTGCGTGATGACTTCAACAATCCGGACTACGCTACCGAGCAACGGGCCCCTACCAATAATCTAGTCAAGGCTCTGCTTCGCCTGAACAATTACCCGGCAATCCCGGGCACGGTCATGAGTGTAAGTAAGCTTATAGATAGAAAATATCCTTGGCTTTCCCTGACCTATTCACAGTCACCACTGTTGCCGCGATATGGCCCTATCTCTTCAACACCCGAGGACGATCCTAAGCCAGGGCAGTTTTCTAAGCCTAAGCATATACAACCTGCAGCTCTTACCAGTGTATTTGAGATACCGGAGCTTTGCATGGCGATTATGCTAGAGATTGGCCATCGTTGGGGGGACTTGTCTAACCTCAGCCGCACATGTCAAACTATCATGTTTGCACTCGACGCCATCTCAGTAAGACACTCGAAATCAACTGAAGGGATATAGCAGAAACTAATACTTGTGTAGACACGTGTAGATGTTCTTAGCGGCAACTTCCTGAACCTAGAATTCACCGACGATGAGATCGATAAAGTCAACGCTAATTTAACCCCTGAACAGGAAGAGTTGGGTAAATTTGTAAAGCCCTCCTCACCGCAATTCCTAGTCCTCTCGAATGTTAGACCATGCTACAAGACCCCTGAGGAGGGTGAGGATGAACCAAACAGCTTTGGGTTTCCTGCTCGTCCAAAGGGAAAGATCTCTAAGCCGAGAGCAGCGAGGCGAGTAATTGATACTTACCGACTCAGTAAGTCTGTATTTCGATCTGAGGTGATTTGTATAGCTAACAGGTATTTAGTACGAACAATCGATATCCGTGGTCATCACATCAAAATCCTCCATCTACACTCCGTTCCGAATTTCGACATTCCCCTTCTCAAGAAATGTCTTGAGCGGATGCCGAACTTAGAAATACTCGGAGTTTACAATTGTGTACTTCTGCATTTCGGCGAGATTATCCCGTTCCTGAAAGCCATAATCGCGCACAACAAGAAGCCCGGGAGCAAATTCGTTCGTTCTGATTTCTCACCTGTCTATTACCCCGGACTTCCCGTGGGGTCGGAAGGGCGAACTGGAGAATACGGGGTTATACCGTCGGACCAAGGATTGATCGATACTCGCAGAGCCATTGTGGCAGTACTGCGTAAGGTTGTCTCTCTCGCCCTGAAGAATAACATAGACTGGTTCACACCTGGCACTGCTATGCGACAGTATCTAGAACGAATCCCCTTCGCCCTCGGCTCACTTCGATATATCCTCGAGGCATGTTACAACATCTATTACCATGAGAATGGTCTATACTACCCTTATTATAAAGAAATGCTAGCACTGAATCTCCCAATCGATAATAATGAGCCCCGACACGAAGCAATGCGTTGCACCGTTTATAATGATCTCATACTGGCGGTTGAGGGAAAACCCATGCAACGGGACCGCTTGGTGGCCTTGATCACGAGCGAAGGCTTTTCCAAGCTTATAGTATGTGCATTCTGCGCAACCCCCCTACCCGCGTATTTCTATACGCAGGAATCGATAAACCGCCACCCGTCCCAAGTTCAATGCTGCGGCTGTCAACTCGGCACTCAACTAGAGCACCATGTCGATAACTTCTTCCAGGAGAGGAAGGGAGTTATGCATTTACTGTTCGACGACGAACAGATCACGGATATTAGCAGTTTCCTCAATGCCAAGAGGACCGCCACGCCCGAGGAACTTTGCAATCCGAAGTGGGAATTCTGGGCCATAGCCGTCAAATCAAAAGCCCAAGTCCGAGAAGCACGGCCCGGCGACGACGAGGCTTTTATCCTGGACTGGCGACCCGGCCCCAGCCACGACGAAGAGGCGAAGCAGATCTGGGTGTGGAAAGAGCGCGTCTTGAAAGCGATGCGATACGCAAAGCGCAACATAGATGAGGGACTGAGACAATCCACCGAGACCATCGCCGAGTGCAGGAAGAATATCGGGATTCTGGATAATTTATACTACAACGGCCACCTCCAGAATGCTCAAGAGATTAGACAAAACCGCGACACGGTGGACAATATCCAGCGCTACATCGTGCAGGAACGCGCCCGGTGCGGCTTGGCGCAGATGACGGGAAGATACGGGACCACACTGGCTGCTAACTGGGACGACGAGATCAAGAAGTACCGAGAGACTGTCCAGATCGAAGCTGGACTGATCAAGAACCTTGGTCCTCGCCACGTGTGGGAGACTCGGGGCGGCATCTTCTAAGCTCGCTCTCATTACATTTTCCGTACTTGCTTCTTCATGGCTCCAAGGAAAATTTTGAAGTTTGTCCTTTTAAGTGACCGCTATAAACGGCCACCGTGGAATCATTCAACATTGATTCATCAAGTACGAAGCCCAACCCTCGGAGGCTATATATGTACATGCCTTTCCTTACGTCTTCTAGCTTTCAACAAGCGGCGTATTGCACGAATCTATGCTCTACGAATGGGCTCATCATTCCATTTCCCAAAGAATTAGCTTGTGCTTCTTCGACATACAGACTGCGACACGAACCCAGGGCCAACATCCTTATACATTGCGTTTGCACTCCCCCGGAGTTTTCATTTCCCTATACACCACCTAGACAACATCATTCGACGGGAATCATACAACTAGGACTGGAGCCAGACATCTAACCTATTAGATAGACCCAGATGTTTACAGCACAAGCGCATAGCAGACAGTCAGGTTTTCGGAGAGCCTTGGTGAAAAACTGGGACGGAGCGCAGGATATGGGAAGAGATGATACCCCAAACACCACGACGAAATAGTGGCGGAGTCAAGAGGAGTTCGGGTGTCTGCGATGCTTTACTGATTTCCTTTTGCTATTTTCGCTTAGTTAGATGTACTCTATCAGCACTTCTGGTAGTAAATTGATGATGTCGATAAACAATGTGTTTCTTATGAAATGAACTAGAAAACAATAGCTACGATACTAATCTGAGCTTGAATAGCTGACCATAATTCTAGGGTGAAGGGGAAAGGGAGGAGGAGGGAATTTACCAGGGTAGGTCACCCCTAAATGGCGACTAAGGTGACATAGGATACGTACGGAGATGTACGAAGATGGGGGGTTACTGTAACAGGAAATAAATCTAGGTAATCGGCCCCGTGCCGGTCGGATCCACGCCGATCCGGAGGAATTTTCGAGGCGGAGGCACATTGCCATTGGAAGTCAGGAAGCAGTCACATAGTATTCATGGAAGTTTTAAGGAAGCTACATCATTGTATTCACACGGAGATTACACGATATATTATACTGAAATACCCGAATCTTATTTAAACTAAGTCAAAAAGGTAGGCTTTCTAATTCTTCTGATATCATCTCGAGACGGTTACTGGAGTGCGGATTTCTAGACTACTACTTATATCATTGCTTAACTTGTCAGTTTCCTTTCATTAACTACAGTGCTCAACTCACTTGGTAACTAGAATAGCTTAGCATCAGTGACGATGTCGCCTATGAAGACGAACCCTGCCCTCGAGCCAAACAATGTCAAGTTACGTAGCCATGCACTGCTGACGAGTAGATAAGTCTTGGTGTCATTTGAAAGGGGTATCGTTTATATTTCTATATTGTATATTTGAGTAGACATTAGTGATCTTTAGCAGCTTGGCGTATCGAGACAACATTCCTCAAAGTCCCGAAACTGAGGACATTACTAATCCTCGGCGCTCCAGAGAACATCATGACCAGCCTATCAACACCGCAACCCCATCCCCCTGTGGGCGGTAGTCCGTGCTGCAAGGCGTGGACGTAGCTCTCGTCTACTTCGGCGGACCCCTCGCCTGCTGTTGTTGGCTTGTCCTTCTGTGACTCAAGCTGCAACTCAAACTTACGCTTCTGCTCGAACGGGTCGTTTTCCTCCTCGTACATATTAGCAATTTCGCGACCTTGTATGAATAACTCTGCACGAGCGGATACGAGTTGGCCGGTCTTAGGACATGTAAAGGATTTGGAGAGGGGCGCCATGCAAGCAGGATGATGAATAATGAAAAGAGGCTCATCATGAGACGACGGCTCTAGATATTCGCCAGCAAGATCGTCTAGAAGCTTGGCTAGTGTCAACTGAGACCCTTGAGCGAAATTCGTTCGACCGTCTAGGAGTTCTATGAGCGTGGGAAGCGCATCATCTCCTGAGAGATCTGGGAATTGGATTCCTAGGACCTCTTCTAATGCTGGAATAAACTCAACCTGTTTCCACTTTTCCTGAGGCAGTTGTATTTTCGACTTCTCAAGGGACTTAAGTTGAGTCTCCGCAAGGTGTTCAACATGCTTGACAAGACGGGTTATTAGGCCCTCAGTCATCAAAATCAAATCGCCTAGGTTGGAATAAGCAGAATAGAACTCGCACATGGTGAATTCTGGATTATGGGTAGTATCGATACCCTCGTTTCGAAAGCATTGGCCAATCTCGAAGACCTTATCATTTCCACCGACGACTAGGCGCTTGAGCCATAGCTCGGGAGCGACCCGCAAAGCAAGCTCTTTTTGAGCAAACTCTGTAGCTGAGGTCAAAAATGGGCGGGCTGCTGCCCCACCGGCGTAGTCTGCTAAGACAGGGGTTTGAACTTCTACAAAGTCTTTCTCGTGGAAGAAATCTCGCATGCACTTAATGATATTAGAGCGAAGGCGAAATGTATCCGAGGTCCGTTGGTTAACGAGCAGATCCAAATGCTTATTCAAAACCATGGTCTCCTGGTTGACCAACTTCTCAGGAAGTGGTGCTAGGCCAGGACTAAGCAGTGTGGGGAGCTCGGTTGCCTTTAATGTTAGTTCACCGGAGTCTGTTCGTATTGCCGTACCTTTGGCCGAGACAATATCACCACGAAGGAATGGATGGAGAGCGTCCTTGAACTGCTGGAGTTCAGGTTTTGGATCTGAAAGCTGACTCAGACTAATCATGATTTGGACTCGTTGATATCCACCCATAATGGAGAGAAAGACTAGCTTCGACCCAGACCTTCTTACTGACATGACCCGACCCTCTAGAACAACCTCCTCAGAGGCTGGTGTAGTGGCTACATCTCGGTACCTTTCTTGGAAGCTAGGTATGCTTATTCGGTTAGGCCGGGAGCCAAGTCTTGGGTAACGAAGCACATTGTATTCTTTTAACTTCTGAACCCGGAGATCAACATTAACTTGATGGGTGATTAGGGCTACCGGATCACTCGTGGGTGCATTAGAATTGGCCGTTGCAGATCTCTTGGGTACTGAGCTATGTATACATCTGTGCCGGGATACATTGTGTAGCTTTGGGCTATGTGAGGTCTTACTCCTTGCTGGATCACGATAACCGGCAGAAAAGAACCGTGCATAGACAGGTGCCCGGGGTGATGGTATTTGGAACAGATATGGGCGCAGAAACTTCAAGTACTGCCCGTTATCCATGGCGAGACTGTAGACTGTTAGTTACAATCATAATACTGTATATAAAATTATAAATATGATGGAATAAATTCAGATAGGTTGGCTATTTGAGATCAAGCACCATAAAATGGTGTCAGTCGCAACGGTTCTTAAAGCATTAGGTATCATCACGATGAACTTTTTGACGATTATAAGAAATTGATAGTTGTACTTACACTGAATAGAAAAGGCCTGCTTCGCTATTGCAAAGCTACCTCCAAAAACCCCGACAACCAATACCACCTTGCTTTTATTCAGTTTTTCAAATGCGTGTGTTAGGAGTGAAGAAGAAAAAATTACATGATTTCTTGATTTATTGGAACATATTCTGCCGGAGTTTCTCCGGGGATTGCTATTAATCCGGACGCCGCCTTCTAAATTTGACGATTGGTTATCTAAGCTTTATATCTTTTATCGAAAAGCTTCAAGCTTATCAAGTCACTTTATTTAAGATCTGCATCTCGAAAATAAAAGCTCGTAAACTAAAAAATCACACATAAAATAGTCCTACATCGATCACCCAATATGTCTTTCCTCGGTTTCGGAAGGCCACAGCCTACTTCGGAGGAGAAGATCGCAGCTGTCCAAGCTGAGATGAAGCTCTTAACCCAGATGCACGATCGGTAAGATCCTTGCCCCGGGTGTCCAAATGTCACGCCTTGACAATTGAAACTCTTTTTCGTGAATGGGCCAAGACTGATGCAAACCATCTTCTAGTCTCACAAAGGCATGTGCGAAGAAATGTGTCCCCAATGACTACCGAGAATCCGATCTCAACAAGGGCGAAAGCGTCTGCCTCGACCGATGTGCTGCAAAGTTTTTCGATGTACATATGAAGGTATCAGAACTACTGCAGCAGGAAATGCAAAGTAAAGGAGCTGGCGGCGCTGGTTTCGGCTTTGGTGGTTAATACGAAGGAAGAGTGCTTTATGATGCTATACCTATATGCGATGAAGCTACAGCGGGCTATTGTAACGATTGTACGATATGGATACCGGAACGTTGGGGTATGTCTAATGATACGGTATATCTAAAAGCTCTTTACGGATGGGGGGACGTATTTGAGTGGCTTATCGAATACGACAGGGCTGTACTATGGATTAGTTTAGCCATATCGGATTGGCTCAAGAAATGAATATTCTCCTCATCAACTTCATATCGTACTATCTCCTCGAAAGAACCAAGACTTATCAATTGGGCCCCGAGAGCACGGAGAACAGACTTGTTGGATGACAATGGGCTTGCAATGTTAAAGCCCCAATTATGGTCCATCACCACCACGCACGTACACTGATAATTTCTCGGAAATGACATAGTTGACGTATATTGCAGTTAGGAATCCCTTGGCAAAGTTTAGCCGCTCAGCTTCTAGTTTATCGACAGACCTTATAATAAGATGGCTTTGCAAATAATCATGCTATACTTATTCTTGCCTAGGTAGATTTGCCCCAAGCCTGACATGTATGCCAAGAACTAGATATAGTACAATTTTCAGATGACAGGTTTCACGATATTAGATCGGTGCTACGCACTTGATGTATAGCCCGAGCCCTGACATCGATCACATTATGAGGGCCGAGGACGAACGGCTTCACATGTCACCGGGATAAACCGGGGCTACGGAATATGGGCACTAACATTAGAATGTCTCGAACCCTGGCATGACGACGTTCAAATCTGGGGTATGCGGGGTAAGAGATGCAGAACAAAGAGTACCTAGGCATGTACGTAAACGTTTAAAGCTAGGTAGGTATTTGGTGTCTTCATTCTTTGAGATGTTACGGGGATACTGCATATAATTGCACAGCCTACGAGCATGTTAAAACATGACAACGATCATGTAACCCTAATCTAGATTGCCGAAAGAATACTTATCAATTATTGATGAACTATTTATATTATGATCGGTTTTACTCGAGAAATTTCATAAAAGTCAATTCCTACCAGGTATTAAGAAATAAGCATATGATGCATATGATGCAGATGATAATAGTACGTATCTAATCTGTACGGAGTTTCTTATCAGATTAGCGATCGTCCAACCTTAGCCGTCCTATTGGTAACCCCCGACTGCCCCGACCAAGCTTGGCCCGAGCTTCCCGTGGGTTTTCAGGGCCTTGCCTTGCCTTGCAGCCTAAGCTGGGGAAAGTCCGGTCTTCGGGTATCGAATCATCTCAACAATTGGTGGGACTGTATGACAAGCTTTTGATGAGTTTCTAAGCAAATCTCGTTGGTTGATCTTTCCCTTCCTGCATAAACGGAATCCTTTCCCCTCTGCTGCAACGCGCAGTCGCATCTGCCCATCGCCCATCGCCCGTTGCCCATCTTCCCTATATTTATATATACCCTTAATTCTACAATATACCTAACCTAACCTACCTATACTATAATCTACCATACATAGATTTTTATCATAATGGATTCCTCTTGATTCAAGCCGTCTTCCCTCCTACCTAGGTTATTCCCGTGGTCGCCGAGTGCCCCATGCTCATTTGCTCATCCAGTAGTATATTGCGCCGAACCGTCCTGCATTGTCGCCCAAGGCCATCGTGATCTAGAAGCTGAATCTTAGATCTCTTGCGTTACACTACATCATCCACGACACCCGAATCTTTCCGCGACCCTCTTTCGCGGATATCGTTATCGATCGCATCTCAACTCTTCCCATATCTTTCCTTGCGTACTATGCGCCTCCGCCGAGCCGCCCGCGTTATCCTCGTCGGAGCACCAGGCGTAGGGAAGGGCACCCAGTCTAAGAGACTTCTTGCCCGCTTTCCCCAGCTATCGGCTATCTCCTCTGGAGACTTGCTTCGCCACAATGTTAAAAATCGGACGCCTCTCGGTATCAAGGTTGAGAAGACGATGAAGACTGGTGGATTGGTCTCTGATGACCTGATATTGCGCTTAATTACAAACGAGCTGGGAAATCGTGGTTGGCTCTATGGCGGACGACCAAATTTTATGACTCTTTCGTCATCGTCCGAGGCTGCCTCTTTAGATAGTGTAGACGCTTTTGGGTCCGCACTCGAGGTCGATCCTCTTGCGGGGGCAAGCTTATCTCCGCAGGCATCCGAAGACCCCGCTGCTTCATTTTTACTTGATGGCTTCCCTCGTACCGCCGCACAGGCTCAACGATTGGACGACATTGTACCTATTAACTGGGTAGTCTCCTTACAGACGCCATTCGATGTCATTATGGAGCGCATATCATCTCGCTGGGTCCATGAGCCGTCCGGCCGTATTTACAATACCACATTTAATTCGCCAAAAATACCAGGCTTTGACGATATTACTGGAGAACCACTGGTACAACGGGCCGATGATACCGAGGAGGTATATAGGACGCGGTTTCAGAAGTTCCAGGAAACAAGCGAGCCATTACTCGAACACTACGCTAAAAAGGGTGTTCTATGGGAAGTCCACGGCATGAGCAGTGATGAGATCAGCCCGAAACTCTACCAAGAGTTTGAAAGTCGCTTTTTATGAATATACTGGAAAATTTGGCCTGGGATCGGGACGGCACGTAGGACGTGTGGAATGACTTAAATTGGCTGTATATCATGTTGGGATTTTGAATGAGCAATGCCTTCAAGCTCAACTGGAGTTTAGGGGACTGGACAACAACGTGAGCGGACGAACAGTGGACGCTCTGCTTTTGTGTGTACGCACTACGGCGGAATCCTACCTAAGTTAGGTAGGGTTATGGGGACGACTTGAATATGTTTATATAAGACGAATTCTGGAACAAATTTACAATTCGAAATTCGAATTGAAAGTTATTTATCTTGATACTATCAACAGTATTCGGGAGTGGAATCGATTTATGATTAAGAATTTACATGCTGCACTTTTTGCTTTAAGTCTTAGCTTAAGGTCGTGCAAGATTAGACGCCAATTCTATCATTTTATCAGGTCTGCACTATATTATTCTCAGCTCGTATCTAGTAGTTCTCTAATCAGGGTTAATGCACATATATTATAATCGTGTACAGCTTGTTTACTTTATATCCGTACTCCCATCCATCCAACATTTAGCCCAACGAACTCAGCCATCAAACGGGTGACACTTATAAGGACCCTCGCCAGTAACATCTTGTATAATCTGCACAACAGCGCTCCGACAACAATACACCTTAAAGTCGGTAATAAGGCCCTTCTCATTAAACACGGCCGTGGCCGTCTCCGGGAACGGATCTAACTCCTTGCCGTGCACCACAAGACGATTATTCATCTCCACCGAGATCTTGGTCCCGTCCGCGCTTTCGAACCGATCGACTACGCGACGCTCCTCGATGCGCTGGTCCTTGAGAGCGGCTTTGATGCCGTCGACGACGCCCTGGCGGCCGATGCTAGGGGTTGTGAGCTCGCGCATGCTTAGCAGCCACGCGCGGCAGTTGTCGTCGAAGAAGTTGGCGAATTTGTCGAATTCGGCTGGGGATGAGGACGGGGAGAGGTTGGCCCATGTGGTGTAGAGGGCGTCGAGTTGAGCGTGGAGGGATGATGTAGTAGGCATGGCGAGGTTGGCTTAAGCTGCTTTAATATATATATGTTTTATCACCTTGCGTGTGAATCTAGACTTATAGTTTCGATCTTCGAAAATGATATAGTTAAAGTTAATTGATCCAAGTAACTTAACCTAGAGAGATCTCTATTATAGTCTGGTGTAAATTATATATTCTTTATTTTGATTGTACATGTAATTTTGGAACTCAGATTAAAATATAACTACATGTAGCAAATGTCCCTACCTTAGATGTAACTACCTCATATATACCTATACTTCATCGTTTATATCGACGAATATGGAAGTAGACCCCCTTGCCTTCCCGATCTAAGCTGCCGATGTAAAAGTCGGGTTAGATAGGTTAGGTACCCGTAGCTACCGAACTGTAGGTATGTTTAACTTATCCGCTACTTCCAAACGTTACTTTCCCCGCTCATTTTACCTCTAATTTTAACAAGACGCATACTTCATTCATATAGTCGCTTATTAATTGCTTAGTTGGTTTTGCGCGGACATGCTTATCGGTCGAATTTCTCTTTTTCTATGGGCGGTTTCTTCGTCCGTCCTCGCGGAGGATATTTCAAATCGTCTCGGTAAGCCGATCGTAATAGATACCGACATCTTCTCCGACGTCGACGACGTGGGCTCCCTGGCTGTTGCCAATGTGCTGCATAACTACGGCCTAGCAGACCTACGGGGAGTCGTTGTGAATACGCATTCCAAGTACGGCGCATTGGCCGTTAGTGTTATTAATACGTACTTTGGGAATGGAGATGTCCCTATCGCCGCGATCCGTCCGTTGACGGACGAGATGTTCTTCGATAAGCGGGAATATGTGTAAATTACCTAACCTAACATGGCATGGCAATTTTAATTTGCGAAATATGCTGATGGTTTATAATATAGTCTAAGCGAATATGCCAGCAAGATAGCTCATAACTGGCCTCGCTCCCTGAACGACTCATCCGAAACATCAACGCCGGTTGAGATGTATCGCAGGATTCTCTCCTCAGCGGAAGATCACAGCATAACCCTGATTTCAATTGGCTTCTTAACTAACTTCGCTGCACTAATGAATAGCTCTGCTGATGACATTACGCCTCTTACGGGGGCCTCTCTCGTATCTTCAAAAGTTAAAGAGTTGGTGGTCATGGGCGGCCGGTACCCTTCGGGGATGGAGTTCAACTTTGCCGGTGTCGATCCCGCATCCACGTACTACGTCGTAAATAATTGGCCGCGCCGCGTGCCCATTACATACTCTGGATTCGAGCTTAGCGACAACATCTTCTCCGGCGAGGAACTCGCGGAATACGCGCTGCCAGATTCGCCCGTACTCGCGGCGTATCAGTGGTACGTAGGCCGGTGCAGCACCGCTCGCGAGTCGTGGGATCCTGTTACGACCTTGTACGGGATATTAGGGCTCGACGGGTCCCCTGAATTGGGGATTGGGAAATTGTTTGAGTATGCGAATGAAGCCGGGTATAACGAAGTATCAGCAGACGGCTCGAATGTGTGGGTTAACAACTCTAGCGTTTCGAACCAGCATTGGTTGGAGTTGGCGGATGGAGTAACGAATGGAACTGTTGCAGGGCTTCTGACTAAATTATTCGCTCATAACCCTTCGGATAAGAGCTGCTCTGCATATGGACGCGTGCCATTTCAGACTTAACGTGTTTCTATGTATAGATGTGAGAATCCGTAGCCAGTCCTAATGTCATACTTGCGAGCTTTTTTCAAAATTGGGAAATGCCCACCTTACCATCTACTCCGACTTGAGGACATCGTCTGCTGAAGGTCGCTCCTTAGGTCGGAATACTAACATTCGACGCATCAAATATATAATAGCCTCTGCTTCCTCTCTGTCAAATTCGCCTACTCCGTGTTTCCGACGATACTTCTGCACGTCTTCCTCGAATGCATCGTTAATCGGAGGCCATATATACCGGCCATTCTTTGGATGTTTGTTCTCGTCGAAATACTGAGCTCGTTCCTCCCAACACTCCCACCACTTCAACGGCATGGGTCCTAGGACATCAATCTGCTGAGACGTTACATAGTTTACAGTCGCGAATTCACCGTTGAAGATTGCTTTCATGCCGAGGATTTCCCAAATCGCCACAGCCAGACTCCAAATATCGGCTGAATACGAGAGCGGCGCCTTGGGTTCGAAACGAGCTTCTGGGGGTCGCATAGCGATTGGCGTGCAGCAGCTTTCTCCTCGGCGGACTTCTGACATCGGGGTAAATGACTCTCCAAAATCGGAGAGGAGCACTCGTGCGTCAGAAATCGGGAGTTTCTCTGCGCCTTCGCCTAGACAGAGTGGCATTATTACCATTGCTGGTACATTAGGTGGAAGTTCCTTCCCGTCGCAGCGCACAACAGGGACAGTCTCAGGATCACCATACTCTTCATAGAATTCACTAATGGAAAGTCTATCGAAACTTGAAGGGAGCTTAAGCAATACGTTGCGGAGATGGATGTCTGTAAGAATGTTATAAACATTAGCTAGGAACTAGCTGCGGATATTTCATGATTTTCTTATAACACACCTCCATGGATATAGCCTCTGGAGTGTATATACGCAACGGCTAGAGTGAGACCATAACATAGTGCCCGCGCAACTTCGAGAGGGAAAAGACGGCTATATGAAATCTCCCTAAGATCGCATCGTGCGGGGGTCATCACATAGCATCTGTGTATCCCATTGGGACCATGTACTTCAAATTCGTCCAGGAGCGAAGGAACCAAATCGCAGCCATGATTTACGACCGAAGAGGAAGAAAGAGCTCGGAGGATGTTTATCTCGTTTGGGAGGGAGTCCGCTACGCTGACTTTGACGGCAACGTAGCGCTTTAGGAGGGCATCACGAGCGAGCCAGACGGTGGAATAGCCGCCATATCCTAACTTATCCACGATACGATATCGTTCGTGCAACACGTCTCCGATTATTATAGGATGATAGCCGCCGGGGCTATACCTCTCAAGGGACTCTACACCATCAATCCATTTGTATTCGGGGTCGCAGTCTCGGACCATTGTAGCAAACAGGCGAAAAGCGGAAATAGGTCGTGAATACGAATCAGGTATCAACTTTCGAGGCCAGGAAATATATATTCGGTGTGGGAATGAGTGTCTCATCATACCTAGGTTAGCTGTTATAAACCGAGGTGAAATTGTTTTTTTAAAAAAAAGGGAGGTAATCTAACGGTTGGAGAAGACATCGTGGAACCTGAACTTTGTTTGCTTTTACATAAGCACGTCTCTTTAGCCCTTCGTTTAATAGTAGACGTAGTTATACCGGCTGAAGGCCACGGAATTGCTACTGGATATTATGAAATAATTATTTCGTTTTGATAGAACATGTATAAGGATAAGTCTCTAATTAGTGTAAACTCCGAGTAGCCATTCAGTAATACCATGTGTCTAATTTATATGATTTTACGATACTCTCCTACTTTAAATACCTAGTTGCTATGGTTTTCATTAAGATTCTTATGGTAACTCTCCAACAGAACTCATCACTTTCCGAGCAATATCCTCGGGGGTCTCCTCCCTAATCTCAAGGAGATCCGCATCCGAAGCTTCCCTCGACGCCAGGATGCAGCGCGAGTCTCCAGGTGCGTAAAGCTGGTATACGAGAAGTTCCAGCACCCAGCCTCTATCTCCTCCCTTGTGTTTCTCCCTTCCGCTCTCGAGGAAGTCTCTCGCACTGCCGTGCTGGACTTCCCATTTCTGGCCTGTGACCTTTTGGAAGGCGTCTAGGAGTTGGTTTTGGTTGACTTGGATCGAGCGCGCCTTGAGGAACCGGTTTGCGGTCTCCGTCGGGTGTTTTAAGACGCCAACGACGGCCTGTCCGATCCCTTCTAGCGTTGTCCCGGTGAATTCTTCGGTGCCGTCGTCGTAGATGACTGCAGTGCGCTTTTGGACGTCGAATCCCATTATGGGAAAGCGTCTGAGCGCCTATATGTTCTAATTAGCATCCCATCGCTAGGATACGTGTAGCTCGAGGAACTTTACCCAGTCGATCGGATTGCCGATGGCTATTCCACTAAAGGTAAACTTGGGATTGGCTTGAGATAGCTCTTTTACGCGTTTCCAAGCGACCTCCCTCTGAGCACCAATCGATTTAAATTCCGGTAAGCTATTGAAGCCAGGACCCCATCCAAAGTCGTCTAACACGAAGCGTTGAACGCCTGCAGCTTCGGCAGCGTCGACCAACGTGGTCTGGAATGAGATACCGGCGGGGCCGATGACAGAGATGGCTGCATCTTGGCCTGACAGTGCTGCTGTCAACTTCTCAACTGTGTATTCCGTCCTAATAACGGGAATTCTCTGCGGGAAGATTGACGTAGATTCAATACGAGTGATGATGGTTACGTCGAAGCCAGCTTTCACAAGCGCAGCTGTGATGGGAGTGCCGAAATTTCCTGCCGCCTGGTGACGTTGGTGAGCTGAGATATATCGTAGGGTAATAGTTATAAAGAGGATATAAACCAGTCACTTACACCAAATATAGCGACCTTCTTGATAGGAGACATGATGTAAGGAAATTATAGGTTCTTAATTGCTGTTCAACTAGTATCATATAGATAGAACCTAATAACTAGGAATGAGTAGGTAGGTATAGAATAAATAGTTCTAAGCTATAGACATGAGTTACTCAGAGCTAGGACATAGCATATATATATATATATATATATATGTGTATACTCTTTACGGGATTCGGAATTCGGAATTCAAGCTAAGCCGGTAATCTATATATGTATTAATAATGCCAGCTCATAGGGCTGATGCCTGGAGTCTTGATGCTAACAGGGGTTGATGTGAATTTGTTACTGGTAGCTGTGGTTGGATGAATTGTATTTCATCGAGCTGCAGAAGTGGTTAAGAAGCTAGGTTACTGAGATGGGATGAGACTAGTTAGGCTTAAGATTGACAAGTTAATACTTAGAGTCTTAGTAATTAACTAGTTAACTACTTAGTTCTTATAAATATGGATATATAAAAGCAGAGTTAATATATATAAGTATAGAAACATTGAGATATGTATATAGTACGATGAAAAATCAAGTTAGAAAGGAAATTGCCAACTTCAACTTAGACAAGTTTTGGAGTTATGAGAGAAAAAACAAAAACAAAAAAGAACGTTAATAAAAAACATCTTGGGAGACATCTCGAAGATATAATAATTACACTAGTACAAATTAGGTTAATACAATGTACCCCACACTCAGCTGACACTTTAGCAGCAATAATTTCGACCACCCAGAATCCACAGAATCTCGAATCTTAGATCTCACTCAGCCCTTTTTTACTATGTACATCCTCAATCTTCGAAACTAAGTATCTCTCTCGTATAGGTAAATGTGATGGTGATTTGAGTTGTTCAACTCGTTTCACCGAAGCGTAGCCTTGCTCCAATCGAGTCGCACAAATTGAGATATTTTCTTATTGTATTTTTTTTCTTCTTATTAGACCTCGGTTCTACGACGCGGATCTACAACTAAAATTACTACCTACGCTTACTGTTGTTTCGTGTTTATTTTCATGTCTGAATACCTATAGACTTCTATCAAATAGTCAATATCGATAGTACCGATCGCTATGGTTTGAACTTCGCTTACGATATTTAGTTATTCTCTATCCTTATTTCCCATTGTCCCTAGAATTACCTAAGGTATTTGCTATCAAGATGGCTTCATCACTCATTCGCGTTAAATGCCTCCTCACCGTCCTGTTTTTCGGTAGCGCTGCCTATGGATTATCCAGCCCCGCCGTGGACAAGTCATCATTGATACAAGAATGTCCAATCTTCTTCGATACGATCAAGCGATGCGATCCTATTGCGCCTAATAGTTTCTTACCTCCCCATTTGGCGAGACTTGATAAGGACAAAGGATCTCATTCCCCGGATCTGAACGTTCTGGCCGATCTTCTTGACGCGATGCATGTCATGCAGACGCAATATTTCGCGACCTGGCTCGGGACCTGGCCCGAGTCCATCGACTGGACCGCGGCCGTTATGGGTACCCACGTCTCGGGGGCCGTGCGTAGCCTTTCCGAAGCGTTAGTACACATCAACTCGGACGAAGAAAGCGCTATAGACTTAAAATTGGAGCTGAATTTAGTCGACAAATACTTCACTCAAGTCGCGGGGTATTACTTTGGGCAGGACGCGTTTGCCATTCGCAACGAGGCATACGATGATATCCTCTGGGTGGTGCTCGGCTGGCTCGAGACCATTCAGCTGGTGAGCATGCATAGCGATCTTCATTTCAAGTCAAGTGAGAAAGGAGAAGTTACCAAGCCCGGGACAAGTAAACCTCGAAGAATTAGTGACTTCTTTTCGAACCAGCCTTACCATGGAAACCTTTGGGTTCCTGCGTTTGCTCATCGCGCGCGGGTTTTTTGGGATCTAGCAACCCACGGGTGGGACACAAAGCTCTGCGGCGGCGGGATGGTCTGGAACCCTCGTCTTTTGCCATATAAAAATGCCATTACCAACGAGCTATTTATCGCAGCTTCCATATCCATGTATTTATACTTCCCTGGGGACGACAATACTTCACCATTCTTTAGTGCCGAGAGCCCTGGTGTATCCTCTCCTCGTATACCTAGCGAGCTGAGAGACGCAAAATATCTAAAGGCTGCTGTGGAAGGCTATAAGTGGCTTGTCGATTCTAACATGACCGACCGCAGAGGCCTTTACACTGATGGGTTCCACGTTAGCGGGTATAGCGACACTGGGAATAATAACACAAAGTGCGATCAGCGGAATAACATGGTTCTCTCGTACAATCAAGGTGTCCTCCTCACCGGACTGCGCGGACTATGGGAAGCAACCGGCGCCTCGTCATTCCTAGTGGACGGGCACAAGTTGATCCAAAACGTGATCAAGGCAACCGGCTATAGTCTTGCTTGGGATGCGCCTCTTGAAACTCTTATGAGGTTGTATCCCGGGCAGCTCCCGAGATGGCACGGTCTAGGCCGAGCAGGCGTGATGGAAGATCCGTGCGACGCAAGCGGGACTTGTAGTCAAGACGGACAGACCTTCAAAGGCATTTTCTTCCACCACCTCACGACCTTTTGCGCGCCACTAACCGCGCCCGACACTAACGTCGACACGCGCGCTTTCGACGCGGTAAAAGGTGCCCACAGCAGAGCCTGCTCAACCTACAGCGGCTGGCTGAAACACAACGCGCAGGCAGCGCTACGCACGCGTGACGAGCACGGCAAATTCGGGCAATGGTGGACAGCCGGGTTGCTCGCGCACCGCTGGGCCGGCCCGTGGCCTACCATGAGGGACGACGGGGTGCCGCATAAAAGCGGCGTCGACTACCGCAACTACGGCGTGCCGAACGACACCACATGGCGGGCCCCGCCGCCCAGTAAAGACAAGCCCGGCGTCCACCTACCCGTCGAACGGCCATTTGGAAACCCAGACCAGGCGCAGAAACCCATGCGCGGCCCCGCGGAGAAAAAGAAACGCCAGACGCAAGATTCCAGCTCGAAAGACCCGAACACCCGCGGCCGCGGCAGAACCGTCGAGACCCAGGGCGGCGGACTGGCGCTGCTACGAGCGTATTGGAAGATTGCGCACGCGCCTTAGTAAAACAGGCAGGCAGGCAGCCCGTCAGCGACTCTTTTCGGTTGAGTCGGTCAGATAGAGCGGGTGCTGTCGTAAGCTTAGGTATTTATTATTGGCATTTAGTGGTATATATATAGTCCCATCTAAACGAGTCAGCAAATCAGATAGATAGTCTATCTCTCCATATCGAACCGCATCGTGTGTACATACATAAACGAATTAGGTATCGTTGGGAATGGATAGTGATCTGGACTGAGCGCAATATTAGGAGGTAGGTCTAAGCATATTGGACTAGCAGTTGGATGCATACTATTATAGATACCTAGGTAGGTAGCGTAAGGTACAGTTTTATCTGATCGGGTAGCTTCTGTTTAAGCTTAGTGCTATGATACCTAGGTAGTTGTCCTGACTCGTGCTTCCACGACTAACCCCCCCTTGCAAACCCAACTATGCCTAACTCTGCCTGTCTCTTGTCTTGATATCAAGAATTCAGTCAAAACCAAGTAGAAAAGACAATACAAACACACTACCTGATCACATGATTACTCTTGAAGACAACTTCGATGCCTCAGTCCTGCTCGCCATGGGATATACAATGGTTCTTGCATGTATATCTAACTGACCTAGCCTAACCTGACCTGACTGAGATGACTCCACCTCACAACTCGTCCCTCCCTTGCCTTCTCAACAGGCCGTCTAGGATTGCACAAGCTCTGAGCAAATCAAAGGGCTGTGAACTAGAATCTTCGGACAAATACCGTTTCAAATCATTTCCTAACGTGAATAAAAAACCATGACTCCCTTTGCGCGAACGCCTCGTCCGTGGCCCCCCCTATGTAAACAGTACAATTAGGTAACATATCTCCTATTGAGCTTATTTTCAAACGCGGATATCGAACTTGTCTGATCGATTCGGTTGTATTCCCTCTCATCTTCCTCGTAGTTATTCAAGGCATAAGTGTCTCTGAAGACCCTTCGGCTTAGTGCTCCCTCCATTCACTTCCATTGCTTACACCATTTATATTCTTACTCGGCTCCGAGTGTGATGATGTCGGCTCTGGCAATCCCTCGTCATCATCATCATCGTCGTCGTCGTCATCAAGAACTCTGGCAAGCTCGTCAGGATCCTTCATCCTCGCATCTGGGTCCACAGCTGCGTCGTTGAAGTCGTCATCGCTATGGTTCTGCTGCTCTTGCTCGTGTTCGCGGATACCCTCATCAGCGCTGATCGATATACCCCTAGAACCCCACTTGGACCTGCGCTGCTGGCCGTCACCATTGTTGCCAAGGGCAGGGGCGCTCTCTTCGTCGTCTGTCTCGGCAGCCTGGAAACGCTTATTGCCAAAGATGCGGCCGAGGAGCCAGCCGCGACGGATGTCGTCCGAGTCGACGATACCACCAGCCCGGAGCTTGACGCGCTGGCGCGTGTAGTATACCCAGAAGAAGTCGACGTATAAGGCCGTCTGGATAATACCAAAGATGACGGACACAGCGTTTGGCTTACGGTCGTTGACGTCGAGTTCTCGCCAGATCCAGTTAAGGATGTATAGGCCACGGTACGAGCCTAAGGTTAATAGGTAGAAGGAGTCGATGACGGTTGGGACATTGGTCTGTCGCAGAAGGAGTAATTGGGGGAGGACGCAGATGGACTCGAGGATGAGAGAGAAGTCGTACATCCACTGTATTACGCGTGCGTTAGTTGACTGAGCGCGGGGTAATAGCTTAGAAGAATAATGGTATTCGGACTAACCGTAAAGAAGCCCCAGCGCTTCTCAAATATCAACATGACGAAAGGCGATATGAACAGTGATCCCATTAGAACCACGGCGCCTAACTTCCAGGAGATCTCGCGCTCCCTGGTCCGAGGGAACAGCCATCGCATGATAATGATGATATAGAAGGAGGACAGGATGTAGAAGAGCTTAAAGAAGTAGTTCCAGTTGGACGTCTCACGGAAGAAATCCGTGTATCTCGTACAGAAGACGACGGCATAGAAGGCTTGAGTGATCATAGAGACGCCTACATAGGACGTGTTAGCTGACATAAGCTCCGGGGTAGAGGGGGGAAGCTTTGCTTGGAGGGGGTTTTACCTTCAGCGCTCCGATTGCGATGGATGGCGAAGATGAGAATGCATTTCGAGAGTAGATGGGAACAGTCTCCCAGTATTCGAAATATCTAATAGATATTTCATCAGTATAATTGTTATAAAGGATAGGGAGATTATAGATACTAACATTCCATGCAGTCATTTTGATAGGGAACTCAACTAGGAGCTATTTGCAGCTCTTGGTGATAGGTGGATGATTGAAGGTAAATCCGGCGGCCCTGATTTGCAGGTCAGAGCCGCAGAAGCAGCTATTGTTTTAGAGGTAGGATAGTAAAAACTTGTAGGAACTCTCACAGAGACCTCCGACGAATTCACAAAGAGAAAGGTGGTCTTATTATGTAGTTAGTCAATAGATTGTAAGCTTAGTATAGGATATGTGTCGCGAAAGGGTGATGTAGATGCACAATCTAATGCACGGCTACAGGGCGATGACCATCATTACGTGTGTCCTAGAAGTGGATTATAGTTACACAAGAGTAACCATAATAAGGTTAGCGCGGTTTACCTACAGTGCCCTATGTAGTAGGCACGGACCACATTGACATTATGTACCGAGGGTTTGTTGATGTTTGAGCCGCCATCTTCTTGTTTTGTTCCCCTAAACACCATAGCATCATTAAACCAACTACACCACATCACCCTCAACTATATATATGTAAACGATACTCGATGAAAACTTAAAGCCGGAATTCAGTATCTGGCATATAATAGTTAGTTACTTGATAAACAGGTAAGCATAGGGAGTCAGTTAATAGCAGATTAGCGGCATCAGGTTTATTTGCTATATAGCCTATAGCTTGATTAAGTGCCTAATAATTAAGAACAAAAGAGACAACTAACATAGGAAACAGATGAATAACGAGCGTTGTAACAATCTGGATTTTCGTAATTTTTCTCTCTCTCCGCCTCCAAAAAACATCAAACGTGAAACATGAAACATGAAATCATAGCCTTCCCGGCTTGCAAATCGGCCATGGCCGTAACGGCAAGAGAGTAGCATAGCAAAACAATCTCTGGGATTTCTTCCTCGCATTCAGCGGTAACAAATCTTTGGGGTTTCCGGTCTCGTTCTGAACAAAACCACCCGTGAGATCCTGTCTGATCTCACAACACGAATTTCCTCCTCACAGTAAGCCTAGGAGGGTAAGAACTCCGAAGTTCTTCGCGTGTTCCTTGAAACGTCCCCAGGTGGACGTAAAACACAATCTGCATCAACACTCCATCTTCACTTTTTCGTTGTCGGCCGTTCATAATGGCAATGTTGTTGACGAAGGTGTTCTGCGATGAATGCAATAAGGATAGCTATAAGCGCACACTTAAATAGCCGGGGCCGCTGGCGAATGCGACGACAGTAGACCCTAAGGTAGGTCTCCAGTCAGGTGGTCAATCTTAATGTGGCCAAAGAGGGTATTGTCATAGAACACCACCAGCTCTCTAGTGGCTGGATTCTGAATTAAGTTGCGAGCCGAATTGTCCTTCAACAGGAGGTGCGTTAGGTGTATCCACCGGGGGTGCATCAGAGCTCGTAAGAGGGGAATGAATCTTGAGGAGATCCGTAAGTGACCCGTCAGGGTTCGCGGGGGGAGGAAAACGCATTAGGATCCGTCGAATTTCTATAGCGCCGACAGTCTCGTTGTCGAACTTGATGAGAATGCGCCAGATAAACGGCCAAGGTTCCAGTCTGGTGCGACTATGAGTTCCGGATAGGATATATGTCATTGTCGCCTCTCTATCATAGCCAGGGATCGCCGGGAACGAGTCTGGAAGGAATTGCACTACGCCAATTTGTTGCTTGTCAAACCTGAGGATCCGATTCCAGGGGAAATATCCGTTGGGAAGTAGCTGGGTGCGATTGTCGCGGAATAGGTGTGGGTATAATCCGACAAATTTTTGATACTTGATGCGATCAGCTTGAGTAGGATTCTGCGGGTTCAGACTCTGGACGTAGTCGTCCATGGTGAGAGCTTTTCTGACCCCCTGCGAACTCGGATTGTTGTCCATGTTTGCGGCTTGTCTGGCTATCTGTGAATTGTTGTGTTCAGGTAGATGTACAAAGTCAAGTCGTTGATTGTTGCGCAGCTGATTGTCGCGCAGCTGATTGTCGCGCAGCTGATTGTCGCGTAGTTGATTGTCGCGTACAGCTGCCCCTTCAGGGTCCACATTAAAGGGGTGCGCGTTAGAGGGGCTTGCACCAAAGTTCTGCAAAACATTCTGGCTAGAGGCATAATCCTCCTCCAAGCTATCATCATCGATCACCATCACATCTATCTGCTTTCCTTTCCCTTTGATTGTTGCTTCATGATCATCAACATCCGTACTAGCATCAAAGTCCTCGTCAATTATTATCTTCACCTTATCTCCAACCTCCTTGCCAACGCCCGGAGGGTCTGTATTGATGTCCATCAGGTCCATGCTGGCGAGACACTCTGTCATCTGCTGTTCGCCCTCAGGCTGAGAACCCTCGGAATCAGATTCTTCCAGAGTATCAAGGAACTGGTAAGCATCATCATCCTCGAAGTAATATAACTCTTCTTCATAATCATCAATAGGTTCAAGTTCTTCTCTTAATCCAGCTGCAAGAGGCAACTTCAACTTATAATTAGGTCCTACGTCCTTCAGGACCCAAAAGCCAGAATCGAATAGCTTAAAGGTTCCATACTCTGTCTTAAGGAGCCTCCGAGGAGGCTCTTTTACACGGTCCCGCGCAACAAGAGAGTTGTCTGCAGATGAGGTTCCTTCGCCAGAGTTTTCATCAAGCCGGCTTCGTTTAGAAGGAAGGGAGTGACGAAGCTGGCGAGGTCGGGGAGGAGGCGGGGGTTTAAACCCGAAATGTTTGGCATTTATTCGGTCCTCTATTTCTTCCCACTGTCGCGCGGCCGCTACCGGTATGTTAGTGGTCACGTATGAGACACCAGTCTCTTCGGCATCCCGTTCAGGTAGGAACTTTTTGAGTTCCTCGCGCACATCCCAGGTGCAAGGAGAACGACGGGCAACTGGGTCGATTCGCTCCATAATTCCAGCAAGGCCGTTCCACTGCGTTAGATTCGAAAATACCATTTCGTGCAGAGTGAATGGCAGAGAACATTGGACGGGAGGAGGATGGAAGTATTTAATATTAGACCACTCTACTTCAGTCCTCGCCTTCCAGCACACCGCCATATATTCTTGGATCTCCTGCAAGTTCGGAGGCTGGGTATTAGGGAGACCCTCGTTGGGTAACTCGTGTTCCCAGAAGCTAGCTTTCCCTGCGCATCGTCGTGTCAACCAATTCCAGACTGCCTAAGCCTCGAGTGGTTTACAGTACTTTATGAACTTGGACACCTTGGCACGGAGTAATCTTTCACGATTGTAGCAGGTGTTGCATGGCTTGGAAATGAATCCTGTAATAAGGCGACAAGAAAGTGCCTCTCTTCCTCGTCTCAACCAAGCCCATTTCCATAAGGTTGAGTTAAATTCGATTTCAACATCTTTGATGCCAAACTTAACTCTCCCTTCGCCAGGCGTTTCAGTGGCCCATTGGAAAAAGAATGAGGGTTCCTGACAAAGATGGCAGTAAGGGATCCGGATAGTAAGAGATCGGTGAGGTTCTTCGCTCAAACGAGCCGCCCAGTGATCGTGCATCATCATTTCCTTTGAGACCAATGTAACAGAGCCATCTTCATCAATCTTCTCCTTTTCGACTACAGGGCCATCGACCATTTCTCGCACCCCTGGGTGGTATACGAAAGCGCAATTATCGCATAATTGGCTGGTTAGAGAGGTGGGATCGAGCGGCGGCCAGATAAGGTTCGGGCAGTGTACACGAACAAACGGCTCAGAGATAGTTGGTCTGTTGTGGTTGCTGCGGTCCATTTCATTATCTACTACATCCATACAAGGGCGAATGCTCCAATCGGCAACCTCGTAGCATTTGGGGCAACGGAGACGAGATATACGGCACATGATGACGAAGACGTGAGGGTAGTGTGTGTATAATAGGTGTATACGTAAGGGGTAAACTAACAACTCAGTTAGCATATTTACTCTATTTGATAGATATGCCAGCTTCGGGATGAATCTCTGGGTTTTAAAGCAATACTCACGTTAGATAGAGTCCAGTCCTTCCAAATAAGCGCCACTAATACAAATATGTATTAGAAACTCTTTGCGAAAATTGATCTTGGTTTCCTAAACGGTTAAACAAGTCGTGTGGCACTATTAGACACAGGTTAGTCTGTTTAATTCCGTAATATGATTAATCTTTTACTTAAATAAATAATAGGGGTTTTCTTACAATAGTAATTCAAAAGCCCCAAGACAATAGATGACAGAAGTGATATCTCCGATAGGGGTGCGTATAAGTAACATCGAAGGAGACAAGGTTGGAAAGAGAGAACGATTCGATAGGCGTTACTTGCAAAACGGAAGACGCGTGGAAATACCAAGTACCAAAAGCCTGAACAAGCTCATGTTACGAGTTAATAGTAGGATTTCCACGGAGGTACTTCCGAGTGCTTCTCGTCGGCCTATAAGGGAATAAATTATAGAAGTTGCGATACGGAGTGATTGAGGCACACCCGGATCACACCTTGTAGAGGTGTTTAGTTATGGATGTGGCGAAAGGATAGGAAAGGGAGAAAGGGATGTAGGTAGGTAGAAGAATCTTACGGGAAATAAATATCGGAACGACGAGATGTTAGGAAGCACGGTGGCAAAATTTCTCACGTTGCCCCGTGACAACTTACGGCAGAATTATAAGTAGGTACAGCCCTACGTATGGCTGCCTAGTTTTTTGGCGGTGAGAGCTTTACATCCTTTGACAGACGTAAAGCTATTTATCGCAGGTGTCAACGGCGTTTATCAACACGGGAAGTACCTACTCGTAGGGGGTAAGGCAGTCACGTCGAGAGTTCTGTCTATTTATATTATAGCTGAGGTACGTATATGGATGCACGGATGGTTTATAATAATACGTACCTAGGTAATTATCAACTCAGTTGAGCTTGACCCGTGCTCCAACAGTAGTAACTAATATGTTTCCTCCCTGCCCAAGCCGGCTTAATATAAAAAGCTTTTGTTTCGAGTCGTTGTAAAATTGCAAAGCAGGTGTTTACGAGAGGTTCCGGGTATAAGTCTCACGATGTCTACCCGTTATATATCCCGGCAATCAATAATCTAACCAATATATAATATCTATGATACAACCCAGTGGTTATGATACTGGTAACTTAAAGCCCCCCGGGCACTAGCCTCTGGAATACTTGGTCCGGATCATACTTAGCTTGTACCTGCCTGAGTTTTGCCACGTTATCTGCACCGTAGCTCGCAATGACAGGCTGATCCCAACTTACATCGTTCATGAAGATGTAACGAACAAACTTATCCTGGGCTTTCGCGGTAGTTTCTATATCCTTTATCATGGTCTTCATGACTTCGTGTATAACATAGTCGTCATCTTTAGACCACCATAAGGAATCAAGCTCGAACCAACTCTGGCTAGCTTCTTGTAAACCAAGAGCGTTGCCGCCACGTTGTTGGCTAGCTTTTATAGTGCTTGTAGATATAGGCTGTAAGCCAAAGACTAAGTAGCTGGAAGTGACTGCCTCGATCTGTTTTAAGGCCTGGGATGTAGTTATCACATCTTCTATGTTCTCATACAATAACTTGTCAGGTTCGAGGCTTGTTGTTAATCAGTCAACTTTGTAACCACTGTTAGTTTACAAATCTGTGTATTTTGGCGATTAGCAATACTTAGGTATGTACCTAAGAAGTACTCTAGGTAACTGGAGTTCGTATTTGAGAGACAGACTCCAATAGGTACATACATCATTATTCCTAAGCTCTGATGTGTAGCCAACGTCATTGTAAACCGATCCTTAGTCATAGCTTGGCAAATATTACAGATCAATACAATAGAGCACAACAGGAATGCCATCTGGTTGGTCAAGGTTATAATCGCCGAAGTTGTGCACCCATTATTCGCATTATATATGATTAGTAATGTTACATTTCAGCAGTCGACTTGCGGCTCTATTGGAAATAATGTTACAGTGTAAGCGGAGAACGCGGAGAAGGGCATAGGTATACTACCACCTAACCTACCAGCCTACCCTACTATGTATGTACCTACCGGATATACATGGCATCTACCTTTATGTACACCATGAGTAACGTGCCACAAACAACCAGCCTTATAGAAATTGACGTGATACCTTGATCAATAAATCGGAAGTGATGGTATTGGCAAAGACCCCGATGCATAAAGTCCTATATAATGGGTAGTACCTCACCCTAATATTCTCCTTGCCTGTCTTACGAGGTAGCTTTCTTTTTTCCTGTACCACCGAGGGGTCGCTCTTATGACCCCTACTGCTATTACAGCTATCTTTCGCATATTGGTCTATAGAGCCAATCAGAATATATTAGAAACTTAAATCTTCGAGTGTGATTACCTCTGATCAGAGCGGCGAACAGATGCAAGATTCGAAAAGTGATTCCTTATCGTCACCATGTCTCAGCCAAACGCAGACATCGTAATCAGCGCGTACGTTGCTACGGTCATTCATTTTTTTTTTTTAATTTTCTATTATATATACAATGGGGATGTTTGAAGCTTTACTTATCTTGGCCCTAGGTTCAACGGTGCCTTGGTTGTTCGCAATTTTGCACATGCTAAACGAACCTTTGCATTCGAAGTAACTTTCTTGGAAGGCCTAGGGTCTGGCAGGGGAACGGGATCCCAGAAGCCACCTTTACATTTCCATCCTCACCAAGAAGAATATGTTGAAGTCCTAGAAGGGAATTTGATAGCCGAAGTCGAGGGGCGAGAGTATCTGTTGAGCCCCGACGATGGTGAATTTCGAATTGATCCCTGGAAGATCCATCGATTGTACCAGCCTATTGACACTCCCCATAACACAAGTCAGCCTGGAAACATTGCAAAATTTATACTCTCAGCACAGAACACACCCACTGCTTATAAGCTCGATGCTATGTTTTTCCAGAATTGGTATGGTTATATGGACGAGATTGCGCTAACGGGGGAGAAGATGAATCTCATTCAAGCCATGTGTGTAAGTACAAAACATACATACCTAGCTCTCTCTCCGCCTCTAAATCCTCATGCTTATTTTTATAAGATGTTTGATGCAGGGGGGTCATATTTTTCACTCCCACGGTGGATACCCCTGAATAAATGGATTGCGTGGGCACTTGGCATCGCGATGGGAAGATGGTTGGGCGGCATTCTAGGGTATCAGCCGTTTTATCGAAAGTGGACGACAGACTGGCAATTGGCTTGTGAGAAAATGTCTTCTTCTATCATTCATAGAAGGTTCGTAGATACTACAAGGGGAAAATGATGCCTTGTAGTTGTCACTGGATGTAAACATAACGGATATAGTTCATCAGTTTAGCAAACATTTCTCTCGTTTCCCACCACACTAACCATTTATAATTCATAGAGGCGATTGAGAAGAGTGTAGTAGCCTCGTTTATTTGGATCATGTTTAATTGTAAGCTTAATTGCATTGATACCCGCCTCCGCTGAAGTATATATCGTAAGATCTGTTAATAATTTACCGAGGAAAGGGGTGGGCGTTTCTCATACTTATTGGTGCTCCACTTAGCATCTGGTGGCTTTTATAGTCAAATGCGGCTACCTAGATTTATTTCATTGAAAGATTTCATTGAAAGAAATGATCAGTTTGGTCAAACTTGACGACGCCTTAAGTTGTTAGTGGTGGTTTAGATTAGGTAATACAAGTAAAAGTACTTCGTAGGCCGAAGAAAATAAATGGACCCCGCTAAGCACCATTTAAGTACCGATGTATATATGTACCTATGTACCTACTTTAAGCAAACCGACGTCAACTGTGGCGCGTAACACGACGCGTCTTACAACTCGCTTCAATCTTGAATATCTGTATATTTTCGCTAAACGTACTGCATTGCCTGCCATGTGCTTTAAAACTTGATCCTATGTAAAAATCGTAATATACCCGGTTCCTCACGTCCGAAAGCGAAATGGCTACCAGTGAGTAAAACACCACAATCTTCGTGAGATAGAAACTAATACAGGGGTACGCTAGGCCGTGAAGAGCGTATGCAACAGCGCATGCGTGGAGCTGGGTATGTGTTTCTCTCCTTGCTTTGAATTTTATCGTATTTCTCTAATTTTATAGAATTTAGACGTCACGAAGTTGCCGATGATTCTTTTGGTTTTATCCTTCCGGGTGCCGAAGCTTCCTCGGACCCTGCTTCGGATCCCCCTCCGCCTTCGTCCGTAGCACGATCGGAACCTAATACCTCTGCGAAGCGACGCCGACTAAACCCTGATGCCGATTTGACGAGCTCGCAACCACCCTCCAGTGCGCTAAGAGCCTCGAGAAGAACATCGGCACGGTTGAGTGGGTCAAGAGCTGATCCTTATGCCGTCGTTGAACAAGAAAGTCCCGAGGATGCATCAGGACCTTTAGCAGCTCTAAGTCTGGAGCATCAGGAACCACAGAATGAAGATGAAACTCTGGAGTCTATGGACGCTGTTATACAGCGTCCTGAATCGCGTGGATCCGTAGCTTCTCGATTGTCTCAAGGGCACGTTGCAGAAGAGGTTACTGAAAGTCCTGCTGAAGCTCCGGGAAGTGGACATAGACGTTCGGTTAGAGTTCTTCCCGAGAGTGTCACTCGGAGTGCGAAACTATTGAAAGCTGTGACAGACGAAGAAGCCGGAGCTACGGGCGAGTTCACTTATTCTTCACCTCTAGCACGAAAAAGCAGGGCTAGTGCTGCCACTTTGGGCGCTGCTTCGGCGCGATCAACACGAACAGTAACGAGAGCATTAGGGGGTCTGGACATTGGTGATATTGAGGAACTATCGCCAGCGCAAAGAAGTGAGGCCACGGCAATTCCCGGGTCTACACGATCTACGCGAAGCCAAGTTAGACTAGCTACCCCTAGTATAGTAGATGAATTGTCTTCATCTCCCCAGGCGGCAGGTACTGCTAGTCCCAGGAAACCTCAGCCGAGGGCGAAACCTAAGCCTATAGCTGAACTGCCTGAAATTCAAATTCAAGCAGTTGAAGAGGAAACTCGAGAGGAAGAAGTTGTGGCTGATGAAGAGGAGGCTGAAGCAGTTGACGTCCAGACGGCCGCTCGGAAAATTGGTCGAAAGCGCCCACGGGAGAGTCCACCTCGAGAAGCATCTCCAGAACTACATTCCAGAGTTGAGGACAATCGACCAACAAAGAAAGTCAGACAGAAAAAGGTGCGAGGTAGCCCAGCGGTGCAGTCGCACCCTAAACCCCCTAAGAAAAAGAATAAGCTACCTCCGAAAAGACGGAGTGATGGCGAAGCAATTCCCATCATTGTGCAGAGATACACGAAGCGAATGCATTTGAATGAAGATGACACTAATGGTGACATTCTCAATGCTGATATACCATTTTCTAATCGTGGCGGCGTCAACGTGATAGACGTCTTGTCGCAAGTATGTGACGAAGTCGTCGAGTCCAGTCTGGAGACGCTTCACGAGGCCGCTGTTAATGCGAAGAACTCGGCTACGAAAAAAGAGTTTAGGACGAAACTCCGAGCTCTGGAGGCATTTAAAGAAGAACTACGAACACGCCTTTTGGAACACGTAAGTTGCTATGCTGACATCAGAATGTACGTCCTAGCTAAGAGTTTTAGACTATTGCCCTTGACACCATGCATGCGCTTAAGAAGCGTGTGCGATCGGTCCAGAAGGACAAGCTTACACTCCGAACCGAGATAATGCGTATCCGTGCCGAGAGAGAGCAAGTAGCTCTGAAGATGGATGCGGTAAGAATGCGCCATGAGACGGCGAGCAAGGAAACACTGGTGCGTCTAAGATGGCAAATTTAGTAGTTTACGGAGTTGTTCTTTTTTCGCTAACTATATATCAGCATCAACTAGAACTCTCCTCTGCAATGGATGACATTGAATTGGCTATCGAAAATGGGAAATCGGCCCCAGATCTTAACCCAAAGGAAAAGAAAGCAGCCGAGCTTTCGAATCTAGAACTGTTGATTTCTAGAGTGGCTAGCCAAGCCAGCGGTGGCAGTGATAGTGGTGGAAGTCTCAAACAAATCAAGGACTTCAATGCCTTCCTCGAGCGCACTGCCGCTGCTCTCGAGGGAAGATGATGATGTATGACTTAACCTGACTGGCCGACTTTTTCTATTTTTCACAGTATTCCGCAATTACATCAAAGCAATGCCAATGACCAGCGTTTTCGAGATATAATTCGTCCTCGAAAATAACTTTGGATAACTTTGGGACATGAGATGAGTAATGATCAGATGTTTTGTATAACAGAAGAACTCAATAGGGAGTGGCCATGTTTTAAGGCAAGCATTACAGACCGCTAAGCCTCTGTTTCGACATCGTGGATATGCATAGATATACGGGATGATCGACATAACTAAAGAATCCTTCAGTGTTACCCGCCTTGCCATGTCGTCATTGCTCATAAGGTGGATACATGCCAATCAAAGAATGTCAGAGAAGCAGAGAAGCCAACATGATCTTTGCAATCCATGGGCAGACAACTAAAATATACTAACACCGCTACCTGAAGTAATAGCAAACTAACAACACATGCAACCTTGTGGGGTATATTCTTCTTCAGTTCTTCAGCCCTGAACCTTGGCATAACAAGCCTGGCTGGACCCTTGTGATCGAATTTAGAGTCTTGGTATTATGTACATGGTAATAGGCTACATACCAAACCGGGACTTGGCTCCTTTTAATGAAAATGGAAATGGTTAAAAGCCGTGACCTATCAAAGACCCTTGCAGCCTTAGGGCCAACAAAAATAGACAACTCCTATGCATGTAGACAGGGGGGGGGGGAGATAGAAACTCCACAAAACCATCGCGATGCATGTCTCGGGGAAAAAAAAAAGAAAAAAAAAACATACCCAATCCAGAGACTTTTCTTAGTCTTCGTGTTTCTGTATTACTTGATATAAAACAAGCCTCAACGTCGCAGATAGTCGCGCAAGCTTTCGGGGATTTAATAGATATCTCATACGATTAAAAAATAACTTTGGGCCGTAATGTACATTCACTACCCGCTCTTCGTGGAGTCTTCCAACTTGCACAGTTCCAATACCTAGCTGCGCCTGAAAAGTGCTGCCTTAAAATGCGCACCGGCCAGCTTGGCAATGGCTCAGCCCACAAGCTTCAAAACCAACATTCAACATTCATGGCATGGGGTAAGCGTGACATAAGGAGGTTTGTAAATTAGATATTATCCTGCAGTTGTCTTGTTGGTTCTTGTCTTTTATTCTTCCTATCTCTATTTCGGTCCTCCGTTCGGCTTTCATCTCTTGCTAGTATTAACTTACTAGTCCATCCCCTACCGCTACTCCACGATAGACGAGACCGTTTCTAACCGTAGACGCCATGGCCAAGCACGACTATCCGTACAAGAAGAGCGTTAACGTCACCGCTTGGATCTTACAGATCTTGGTGTGCTTAGTGCTCCTAGCTGCGTCGGCGTGGTTTTTATGGATTTCAGAGCAGCAAAATCTTGACGAGATCTTGGGTGATTATAATGGAATTTTCACGTACGCATTCCCGTGATATTCAACAAGAAGAAATAGACGAAGGATGATAAACTGACTGGGATGAACTATTTTAGTGCCTCCGCCGGCCTTCAAATCGGCATTACCGGCCTTAATATCGTCATGAACATAGTCGAGATTATCCTAATCTCCAAGAAGCGAATGCCGCCAGCGTTATTCCTTACGAGCACCTGCATCAAGACCGCAATCTGGGGTATCATCTTCATACTGAACGTGATCGCACGCTCTGCTCTCTCCATTATCCTGACTATAGTCCTATTGTATGTATACACAACCTATCTTCCCGTATTAGCGAGGAACTTCGATAGAGATAGGTGGCAAGCACTGCCACCACGGCTTATAACCGAGGGATATGATGCTACTGGAAACAAGAAGCTAACACCAACGGCAATAGTGCGACATCTTTAATCCAACTTATCCACGCATCAATCATCGTCCACCGCAAGCGACGCGGGACCCTAACGCGGGGAAAATACGCACCCGCTATTAACCCGCAGGGCTTCGAGGAGGGCGTATATGCCCAGCCGACGCCGGGGTACTACTACCCACCCCCCACCAACACCGAATACAAATCGCCCGCTGCGACACCTCCGCCGCCCCAGTATGGAAACCCGGCAGGAGATGTCTACGCACCGCAGATACCCCCGGGCTCCTACGAGCTCGATAGCCGAGGCCGAAACCATTAAAAAAATGAGTACCAGACATAAAGGCTTGTATTATCTGATGGGTTGCATATTAAGGATGCATTGTTGCTTGTTTCGCATGTGCTTGGTTGGCTGGGCTCGGCTAAGCCCGGCTTGTTTGGCTGTTAATTATGATACCTATTCGTATGCTGCATTTAAAAGTCTCGCGTTGGACATGGTAGCGGTTATGATTATCGATAAAAATAAATGCATTAGAACAGGGTGCTCACATAAGCCCTTGCATCAAAGCTTCCATGAACAATGATTGATTTCACTGATTGTGAACTCTTTGAAGATGGCTGTTTAGCATGAGGTTCATACAAGTGGGAGCCATACCATATATATTTATATATCGGTACCTATACCAATGTCCCTTACTTCAGAGGTGCATGGTGTAGCGTCGTATCGTAGATAGTAACCTCGTGGGTGTGAGTAAAATCAGGGTTGGGGAATACCCATCTGAGACATTCGTCTTTTAAGACCTGGAAAGGGAAGCAATTGACCTTAGCTTATCTTGCATATATGTATATATATAAGCGGCTACCCTGATGCTGATTTATATACTGAGCAAGATACATAGTACACGCATACGATAGGCTAGTCAGCTTCTAAACCAATCAGAATTCCCTCTATGAAATTAACATTTGGTAACATACGACACACTGCCCCAGATTGCGCGTATTACTACTGACAGATTCGTGGGGAATGGCAATGAATTAACTAGACAAGGTTTTACTTGTTTAGTTAGTTTAAATATGATAAGCAAGTACAAAGGTCAAAGCCACCACTATGATCTTCCAATGAACCAATTGAACTAACCAGAATACGGTGAAATTCAAAGTTCCATATGACGCTAGTCTAGACCCTGAAACTTAAGACATCACATATTAAATCGTCCTATCTATCATATGAGTGTACCTGACCTAGAATGCTACCAAACAACTTGAATAATAAGCACTGCCTGCATGACAAGTCATTACTTTTTTCAGCTGAATATGGATCAGGGACGACGGCATATCACGTCCTGGAAACAAACCAGTTCTTACCTGACTTACCCGTATTGAGTAGCTTGAATTGGGCATCGTGGGTAGATGATTGGTTCGGTACGACTGTACGAGCTGCGACTCCAGTCCGATTGAGGTTCCATGCAAATGGTTGGTTAGACGGCACCTTTTTGATGGGACATCTGCACCTATTGAACTAGACTATGTACGCGGATGATTACGACAGAACTGACCACCATCATTGCCTACCTACTACATATCAGCATATATGAACTAGTGAAGTGCTCTTGCCGCAAGTTTACATGGGGGATCGTCCCGATTGGGATCAGACGGCGTGCAGGTTTTAGTTAGGCGCGCGATAGGCGTTGCGCGCCTTCCATCCCAAGTCGGGGTTTCCCTATGTACAGGTCCCTAAAAATCAGGATAGGTTGGTTACGGTCTGGGGTTCTAGCCCCTCTCCTTCCCCTTGTTTGCGACGTGTGGATGTGAGGTATCTTGTACATCGTAGTTGCCGGCCATAAGTAGGATCATTGGGCTGCCTCCCGTTGCCGTTATATCCGTCTGCTACCTAGAAAAAGGACACTTATTCCTTCTTTCACTCTCTCACATACGAAACCGATTCCTCACCGCTCTCAAAATCCTGTTTAGTTTCTTACTATCATCGTCTTCGTCGCCCATTTGCAATCAATTAACCCAGTCATTCCCTACAATCGATTCTCTTCGATAGACTCATCAACATGCCTTCCCCTCAAGAGCCCCAGCAGCAAGCTCCCATGGAGATGACTCCCGTTGACGGCGTTGTTACGCAGCAGCCTGTAGGTTTCCTTTTCCCCTGCCCCCTCCGGGTTATAGAAGGCAGTCCAATTGATATTGAAACAGGCCGCTGAACCCCAACCCGAGTTCGGCAGCATGCGTGGTGGTGAAGAGGTAAGCATATTCTTCTCTGAATAACCCCAAGAGTCTCAAATATTGACTTGTTACAGGCTGGCTGCGAGATCTGCTGCGGCCTTTGCGCCTGCGACGAGGGCTGCTGCTAAACAGCCTAGCCACTCGATTGCCGACACGCTCTCTACTACACTTACTTGAGCAGTCGGATTGAAAGTCCCCGCGATGCAGTGAAACGAGCACCACAGCCAATTGACATGTTGCACGGAAAACTCATACTCGTACCCCGCCTACTATAACCGCGAAGAAAAACTCATGCACGGATGAGTCAGCGCAAGCATCTAGGCCTCTGACAATATCGCGGCATTCGGGATCGAGAGAAAGGATCGGTATTTCCTAGTAATGATGGTAGCAGGCGGGCGAACTCTGGATTTTGGTAGTGCGGAGTCTTATCAATAGAATTCTTTCTCAGCAAATTCGATGAATTTTTTCCATTAATTTTCGTTCCACGTTTAGTCCTAGCAGCTTCAGTGATTTTTCCCATTTAAACTGTAATTCTGAAGCTGACGCTGACGCTGACGCTTATGCTGATATCGATGATGTTTGGCGACCTTAATGGTCAATTAAGCAGCGTTGAAGTAGAACCACTTCTCAATGGCGCCAGCTCCAAAGATATAATGTAAGAAATGAGGGTAGCAGAACCCGAATAACGCCTATTTCAGTCTCCAGCTAGTCGATATAAGTACTTGCGCCACATCTTCTTCCATCCCAATACTTCACGACGCCATTAGTGGTTATGATGACATCAAATACCCCATATCCCGATATTGAGGTTCGATTCCAGCCGTCAAAGTTCAGTCAAGAAGGATGCTAGGGATAAGAAAATGACAGCCGAAGTAAGCTAAAAAGGATTGATCTGCTCTGTTCGCGCGTTCGTCAGTCGAATTAAGCATTTGCCTCACGGCTTGGCGATCTCTTGGCTCTTGGCTCTTGGCTCTTTATTCTTGGCGGTGCATCGACTGGAACTGGCATCAAATGGGACCTTGATTTCGCCATCCTTCCCTCGTGCATATCCGAACCCTAACCCAAGTAACATACCGCATGCATATATTTCAACCGCCGTCTATAAAAACCACGTGTAATTATGCGAGATCGCGAACTACCTACCCCTCTTCGGCATACGACTTTAGTTCGTTTAGTTGGAAGAAATCCAATATCACAACTATACTATACAATCACTAGCATTTTTGAAGACTATAATATGTTACGGGAAGGATATATCGAGAGTGTATTTCGTTCTATTGTAAATGTATCAAACTGAGTAAAACCCCGAAGTACTACTGGCAGTTATGTACATAGGTATGTATTCATAGACCTGGTACCAGTTCACACAAAGTCCCTTTCACCTCCCCTCCTCAGCCTTGCAAGACCTGCCCCTAAATACACCCCCACCCGTTTCTCCCAAAATATTTAAATGTCGCCCCATTTCCACACGTACGTACCCTAGCTCGATCGTGCATATATGGACGTGCGTGTACTTTGTTGCGTGATGCGTATAACTAAAGAAAAAGAAAACTCGAGATCTCTTGCGTCGCCGCTAAGCCTCCGCGACTACATAGGTACCTAGGTAGGACGCATGGAAGGCCGGTAGATACTTAGATATATAGATATATAGATAGACAGACAGACGGACGGACTAATTTAACCGCCGAAGCCGGAGCCGACCGCGTCGTCGTGGGCGCGGCGGCCGAATCCTCCGGATACGTGGCCCGCGTCGGTCGGGGCGGGGATCACTTCGCCGACGGCAAGGCTGGGAGGGCCCTGGTGAAGGAAGAATTGGCTGATGGCGTTGTCGGTGGTTGTGGCGCACTCGGTCTTGGCGACGACCTTGTTGGCTCCGTCGACGCAGTACGTCTCGGCTTGGACGGAGGCTGCGAAGAAGGCTGCTGCGGCGACTTGTAGGGTTGGGAGGGCGATGTGTTGGCGCTTCATGATGGGCTTGAGTGTATGGTTGGTTGATTGGTTGGTTGGTCGTTTGGTATATGATAGATGGATGGAAGTGAGAGTTCTGGGGTCGAGTTCTTGAGGTTTGGAAGAGGTCTGGTTTATATATATTCTCTAGTAGCTGTCACAATGGCGTAAAAATAAAATACCCCATACTAGCCACCCCCACAGTATGAGATATGGATCATGTTTTTTTTTTCGATGCCGTTCTGCCGGTGTAACGATATGTACAGGTCTTTCGGATGATTCTAGGATGATAATTAGGAGCGTCCTCCGCTCCTCCCCATGTATCGACCCCGTGTGGTTCCTGGAGTGGTAACACCGTTGATGGACTAAGATCACTTGTAGGATTACATAGGATCTAGCTTGTCACGAAGTGAAACCAAACAGTAGGGAAACAAACTTGGGTGTTCCGCGGAGGGAGGCTCGGACCTAACCCTAACTACCGGAACCTACGGCTATGAACATGTTCTTTGTTGTAGATTTCTCATCTGGAATCCTAACATAGCTATTGCTTGTATGTATGTGCGGAGGTTGTAGATGTCCAAGTCACTGCAGATACGTAATTCACACTTATACGTACTTCATAGTCAAATCTCTTAGATAAATTTTTATCTATCAAAAGTAAAGGCTATAGATAGACCTCCCTATAAGCTACGAAATAGCTGCCATAGTAAGATATTCCACTATAAATTTCCCTGAGGGATATTGTATATCATATGGGGGAGGGGGGGAGGATACTGCTCATTATCCCAAAGACCTGTACATGGTCTGGGATAAACTCCATGACTGTTCGTCCGTAGTTCCCCTAGTAAAGATGATCTTTCGTATGATTGCTCATACCAAGTCATTATTCATCCGTGACAGTTCATCCGTGACAGTTCAAGTCCGTAGGAATGTCCGTCTAAGCCCGTGGATTTCCGCAACACGCGAGGGATGAAACCCCCAGATATGTTAAGCTACTAGGTAGTGCTATTCAATGCGCCGTCGTGCCTTATGATATCCTTGTTACCCCATATGATCAACATGATTTGCCTTAGGTAGTTTTACGAAAGGGTTATTGTGTCGAATGTTTTTATATGGGAATCGATTACGTTTAGGAAATGTAGTTTAATAATAGGCAATGTTTTGTTCGTATATAATTATTTTATGCGATTTGATGAAGTATACGACCAATACATATATATAGGTACTATCATTAGTATATACTCGCGCTTGGCGTTTTGGCTAAAAATGTTAAAAATACCTAGCTTTGATTGGGTATATTACGAGGTCATACCCGTGGAGTTACCCAATACCTTAGGTAATCCAGCCGCAATTCGGACTCCTAATTGCGGCCCTGATTCCTTCCCTTTTACACCTTAGGCCCTAGGTTCAATTCCTTAACTTCACAAACTCGGATATGTAGCTGATAGTGAACAACGCTGACTTTGACCGTTGTTTAGGTCTCTAAGAAACAACGGATTTAAATCCTTGACTTTTTTGCAATTCGTTATGTTGAGCTTTTACGTTAGAACCCAAAAGCATCATCTGTTATTGTTTGCTCTGGTGAATGTGTGTTCCTAATTCAGCTATACCTAATACATATCATCGTAGACGTACTTTATGGCAAATAACTACATAAGCCCATCATCTTCAACGATTCGCCGATATAGACACTTTAGCACAATAAAGACATCGGTATTATAGACAACCAAAATGCGACGTATACAAGTAGAAAAGCGACCTAATGCGATTCGACTCGTCCAGAGCCAAGGCCTTGTCTACTGTAAGACACCCGCGCCTGGAGATACTTTAGACCCATATTGGCCAGACGACAGATACTATTCTTTCAATAGCAAAGAGATCGAGCTTCTTGAGAAAGCCGGACAAGATGTCTTCGCCATGTGTCGCGAAGCTGCCGACATCATCTTAGAAACCCCGGAAGTGATCACAAGCAAAATGGCGATTCCGGCATTCGCCCTCAAACAGATCAAGGAATCATGGTATCGAGACCCTGCCTGGGGAAGTATATACGGCCGTTTCGACATCTGCTTCGGCGGGCTCGACCATCCGGACCCGAGACTGCGGGTGCCCAAATTTTACGAGTTCAACGCAGACACGCCGACGTCAGTTGTAGAAGCTGCGTCGATACAATGGTTCTGGCTCGAGCAAACAGGCCACGGAAACGATCAACTCAACTCTCTCACCGAGAAGCTCATCGACGCCTGGAAGAGGAACCTACTTCTGATCGAGAAGACTTTGGGCCATCGACCCACAGTCCACTTTGCCTTCGGACATGACGAGGAGACAGGAGAAGATGCAATGAACACCACGCTGCTAATGGACACTTGCCAGCAAGCAGGATGGGCCACCAAGTCCATGCACGTGGAGCAGATCGCCATGTCCCCCGACGGCCGGTTCTTCGACCAAGACGGCCAGCACATCGACGTCATCTTCAAGCTCTACCCGTGGGAGTTCATGGTGGAGCAAGACTTCGGAGAAGCATGCTTCAAGGACATGGAGCGGGTCGGGCAGCGCAACGCGGCCGGCGAATACGTCGGAGGCACGGTCTGGATCGAGCCGCCGTACAAGATGCTCTGGAGCAACAAGGCGCTCTTCGCCATACTATGGGACCTGTTCAAGGACGACCCGCGATCCCAATGGCTGCTGCCGACATACTTCGAGGACGAAGCGCCGGCGTCGCTGACGCGGTTCGCGCGGAAGCCGATCTTCGCGCGCGAGGGCGCCGACGTGCTGCTGCAGGCGGACGGCCGCGTGATCCAAGACGCGGCGACGGGGTACTACGGCAAGGAAGGCTACGTCGTGCAGGAGCTCGCGCTGCTGCCCGAGTTCAAGGACAAGCAGGACACGGGGTACTACCCGGTCCTGGGCCTGTGGTTCGTCGACGGCGACGTGGCGGGGATGGGGATCCGCGAGGACAAGACGCCCATCACGACGAACGGGTCGTGGTTCATCCCGCACTCCATCTCGGACGGGCCTGTCAGCTACGACAGGACCCCGATACCCGACGCGGATGAGATCGAGGCGGCGCTGAGGCTGGAGAGCTATGCGGATCTGAAGCAGTCTAATGGGGTGATGGAGTATATAGAGAGTGTAGTGGGCTAGGTCGGATGTAGTGGAGTTAGGGAGGGGGGGCGTGTGGATTGTTAGTCTTTAGTTATTGCTACCTACCGCGTACGAGTTCGTAGTCACTTTGACTAACTATACACTGAAGCCAGGCGAGCCTACGGTGGAAGTTAAGATATTCTAGGAAAATATGTGCGATGATACCTGCTAGTATTCTTTAACATACTTAGGTACTGTCTATGCTATAGTTTGTACGTACATATGTAGGTAGGTAGTTGATACCTATGTAATGTGAAGACCGCAAACCCTAACGATAGCTTCGTGCCAAGACTTTACTATAATAAACAGGGGGAGGGGTCATTTTTTTTTTTTTGGCAAATTGCTTCGGCAAATATAAGCTCAATTATGAAAACCAAAAATCATCAATTGGTCCAATCACAACCATCACATGGTTTCCTGGTGTAATGGCTAGCACTGCAGATTCTGATTCTGCCAATCTGGGTTCGATTCCCGGGGAGACCTATCATTTTGCATTTTCCGCATATTACCTACCTATTTGTTAAATCGGGTATTCTTTTTGTCAGTCAACCTTGTTGAGTCTGGCATATATAAATTCCTTACTTTTCCACCCCCTGGAATTATGCTATGCTAGGTGGTTAAGAGTATGGTACTAAGTTGCTTTTTTTTTTGTTCGCACCGACCAGCCGGTTAGATCTCTACTCCCTATATATCTACCTAGGCTTCTACTATTTTCTCCGGAATTGCTTCATCCCAGTTGATTCTATAAGTAAGAAACGTAAGAGGTAGTCAATACAAGTATAATACAATCATACCTCCTTATTCCAGAAACGAGAGCTACATAATACGTGTTATCCCTTGAATGCCTCGTGAACTTCATATCATAGCATACATATAAACTTGGAATAATAAGGTATATCATTTCCCGTTATCACTACGGAAAGTTCCAGTGACCTTATCCCACAGCGTCTCCTCACCCCTCGCCTTTCGCGCTTGTCTTTCTTGCTCCTGCTGCTTCCACAAGTCCTGCACCCGCGATGCGACTTCGGCCTTGACGCGGAATTCCGCCCTGACGGCCTGTTCTTCTGCGGCTCGGTCTTCCTCTGCCACTTTCTTTAACCGCGCCTTGAGAGTCTCCTGCTGTTCTTGTGTCAGCTCTTCTACGGGCTGCTGTGTTTGGTGCTGCTGTTGTTCTAGTCTCGGTATTATTGGGGGGAATCGAGGAATTGGACGACCCTCCTCTCTTGCTGCGGTGATCTCGGCCTCTTGCGACATCAGGCGGTGGTATAGTGTGTCGGCGTGCATTTGGATCTCTTCTTCGGCTTCGGGAGAGCGGTCGAGAGTTGATAGGTAACCCAAGGCTTTTAGTAGTCTCTATTTATAGCAAAGAGATGGTTATAATCAGCATAACTAGCTCTTCTAGAGTATTAAATAGTAATATAGCAATATAGCAATATAGCGGATAATGAAAAAGATAAACCTACAGTCTGCGTCATGTAGCACTTTTCAAACTTCCTGATCTGATCACGGCACATAGTCATGCGCTCCGTCACCGTCGGATTCGACATGCACTGCCTCCAATCGACCTGTTCGAGTGCGCAATTCTCCAGCGCCGCCTTTCCAATCTGGCTCTTGCGCTCCTTATACCCCTCCAATACGTCCATTAGCTTCTCATGATCGCTCTTGGTCTCGGCCTCGATCTCAGCTAACGGCCTGTATGTCTTCCATAGATGCGCATATCTACCATCTTGGAATTGACTTTCCTTTGGAACTACCGGTGCATTCCTCTGTTGTTGTTGTTCTTCTTCTACCTCCGTTATCGTCGGAGCTGGTTGCTCCTCTTTTGCGCGGGGTTGAGTTGCTTGCGCTGCGCTGTATTTCACTGGTGATTCTCGCTCGAGGAATTCGCGGAGCTTCGGGTCGAGCTTTCGCAGCGGGTCGTTATTCGAGCTCGACGCCCAGAGACTATCCCACCAGCCCATGGCAGATCACGATGTCTATATAAAGTTAATTGTCGGTTCACCCCATAGAATTCTTTTGAGAAGAAGCTTAGAGACTCGAGAGATGCGTAATGCCAAAATTCGTTATCGTTATCAGATCAATATATGCAACTAAGAAGATTATTCCAAGTAGGATATGTAATTCTTATAGGAGGAATAATTTCTTATAATGAGTCTATGTTTTCTCAATCTCAGTCGAGCTAGAGTTCGTTTTATATAGGTACCTACTTAACGAAACTTACAACAAAGCTATTCTAAGAGTCATAATATATAAAGATAAACTTTAAACTTCATATTTCTCCCCATCCATGCTCTGATGTATGGTGTTGCGTATACGCTAGTTGCGAATCTGAGTCGGATATGGTCGATACTGTTATTTCTTTTCTTATGCCATTTATACCATCAGGAGGGCTATTCCCACCCATAGCACGTTTCCGTTTCATAAAAGTGTTTATCTCGTTAGAGTGATCACTTTGGCTATTACTAGGGGATTTTGGTGTCTTGAAGAATGCCCTGACAGTTGGTATCGAGGCGGAAATAAGTACAATGTGAGCCTCAAGACTAAGAGTTAAGTTATTAGCATATACGGCCATATTTAAGAGGCAATGAAAGTAGTGTCCACATACGTCCAACATATTGCAAGTTTCGCCATTTGGTCTATGACAGCGGAAGTGGTTAAATTTCACCGATATGTTCAGAGTATTAGTTCTATACGTACAAGTAAGGTCATCAGTGTGAGTGAGAGCTCCGAGTTCGATTGTTTTAACAACGCAAGCTATCATGGCACTGAAATGTATTTAATAGTGAGTTGCAGTCTCCTCAACATCATAAACATGAAAGCTATGGGGTTATGTAACTTACAAGATTCCAAGTCCCATTATTGAACTCAAGAAGACTTTCTGCTTCCAATGCATACTCAAATTCCAGAAAAGAGTACACGGGAATACAGCCAGGACCAGGTCAGCCACAGAACCTAAGGCTATTACTAGTTAGACAGTTATACACTCTGGATCTCTTAGATTACCCACTTACAGCCTTGAACATAGGCACTATACTGCTCTACTGTTGGGGGCCGGCAGTAGGATTTAATAGTTTTGTCCCAGTAACCCCGAGACGGCCGGCATTGCGTATAGACGATGACGACCGTCATAAAATCTGCCATAAAATGAACACCGACTGGAGTCCATAAGAATATTCGCCTTAACTTAGATGGTGGAATGAGTTCCGACAGTAGGAAAGCGAACGAAATGCGGCCGAATAGCGGATTCATGACGGCGAAGAATTTGCACGCGTACACCCACTTCATAGAATTCCTGACCTCGACCTCGGAGAGACTGCCGGCGTGCTTTCCAAAACCCCATGAGACTGCGATCGTGAGGAGGACGGAACTGCCTATTACGCATAACTGACAATTTGCAGTCTGTAAGTTATGAAATGTTTGACTTGAAGGGGTCGGGTTATCAACGCACTAAAGTTATAACAATCATACAATCGTCCAGGCGAAACCTCCGTAGGATGCTTATGCGGACGTAGAATCTCAGAGCAACAACTAGTGTCGATATACCAGTAAAAACCCATGCAATAGCGAGCAAGGATGGCCCTAAATTCCCCGAGTTACCGCTGCCAGTATTATCCATAAGCAGCGACTTAAAGAAATTATAAACTATGTACTCAAAGCAGGAGAGTGTTGGTTCTTTAGAATAACATGTACTTTATATCTATCGTATAAGTGATAGGTGGCGGCTTGGAACAACCCTGAACTCATATGTATACAGAGTTGTCTGTTTGCCTTATTCGATTTTTGAATTGATTTAACTAATAATTCGTCATTATCTCGGATCGATCCTTGCGGAATATCTCCTCTCATAACTGGGGTAACTGACGACAACAAGTTTCACGAGTCAGATATTAGCTTAACTTGACTCGGGCTTGGTCTGACTTAGCTTTGGTAGTTGGATATATCTTCTTTTGGGGATATCTACTCGAGACAAGCGCAAATTCTGTTTATTCGGTACTTTATAAAGCATATTAATATATGTTTAAGGCAATATTATTGGTTGTCTATGGAGGTTTTGGGTGGAATATATTGTGGCTAATGTAGCAATAAAGCTACACGGTCTAAGTCTTACTTCCTCTAGAAAGTAGAGTTAGAGATAAAGTTGTTACTTTATATAGTGCCACTCAAGTACTATCGAAACTATGTGGAAATCAGAAGGAGTTGAGAGCCTAATTCTCCTTACATTATCACCATAGAAAAGGTGACTTTATTAGGTGGGTAGCGATAGCTTTAAATGATATGTTATTGTGTCGTACGAGGAGGCTCAATATCTCATGATAGCTTTATCATACAGCGTGATGAAACTAGCCTGTAAAGTTTCGTCCGCACTACCTTTCTCTCCGTAGACTATACCAAATTTTCCACATGTTCAAATCTCTACATGCCTAGCAAAGCATATATTACAACTAAACAAGGTAATGGATCATTGGTTACGAAGGACGGGAAAGAAATCGTTATTTCGTTGGCAATTAATGAAGCTTGTGGTGAATTATTTTAAGGAACCTCGTAATAGACATTCAACGACATTGCGGTCTCAGTCCATCTATAAACCTGGCATATGAAGATTGAGGAGACTCGAAGGGGTTTTATGTCGAACTAGCCGCTTATATACCGTAAGTTGTAGTACACCATAATCATGCCGTTGGGAAATAAAACGATGCGTCTGGTATATCCTTTTTATTTCTCAGAACTGCCAATGTTGCATCTCTGTGCACTAGCAGAAAGCCTATGAATCACCCGTTCCGTATCTGAGATCGTGAAGAACCATGAAGTAACAACGCCATCGATGCCCAGGAAAGATCCCCAACTTAGAACTTGCTGAACTTCTTCACCGCCTTGCCGGTTCGGGGAAGCACACGAAGAACGTTGAATCGGACCTATATACCGTACTAGTCAGTGATTTGTCTCGACCCTTGAAAGCATTGTTTATAGTATAGATCCCACACAACTCGTAGGGCGATAAGAATAACGTACAGTCTTGCTAAGAGGTCGGCATTGGCCGACTGTGACTTGGTCACCTTCCTCAACACGGAAAGCGGGAGAGACGTGCGCGGCCAAGTTCTTGTGTCGCTTCTCGTATCGGGCATACTTGGGGATAAACTTAAGGTACTCGCGTCGGATGATGACGGTTCGGTGCATCTTGGTGGAGACAACGGTGCCGGTCAGGATACGGCCACGGATAGAGACGAGACCGGTGAAGGGGCACTTCTTGTCTATGTTGAAAAGTAGAATTAGCTTCATATTTCCGGTATCATTTTTCTTAAAATTCGGCATATCGAGTCGCGAACTTCGCATGGCTTAGAGTATTTCTCAAGGCGATTCGTATAATGCAGCCGGCGTGACATAAATAATCCTGAATCCTTCTTCTAAAAATCTTTATATATTATCACGTACCGATATAGCTACCGTCAATCGCGGTCTTGGGGGTTCGGAAGCCTAGACCGACATCCTTGAACCATCGTCGGCCACCCTGGAGAGGAGAGTTATTAGTACATTGGCTTTATTAGTAGAATAAACTGATGAATGGTGTCGCCTCACCTTGCCGGGTCTTGTGGACTTAGCCTTGACCTTGGAGTTCTGGAAGATATGGGGCTGCTTCTGGAAAGCACGCTCCGACTGAACAGTCAATTCCGTCGCCATTTTTGCGATATGTTGTCGAGGTCGCAAAGGTGGTTGGGATCGGGAATCGTGATGTTGTTGTAGTGGTAGTTGCGATTTTGCGGAAACTTACCAAGATTGAAAATAGGAAAAATCTCAAAAAGTTATTGTGTGGGCTCGCTTGTGGGATGTGTGGGGATCCACCATTGTTAGGTACATGTACCTAAGAAAGATTCAGCCCCATTGTGGCTTTAAATTCTAGTACAAGGTACCTCTGCAGCTTGATGAAATGGCTGAATGGCGCATAACGATATAAAGTTAGATAGGTAGGATAAGTGGATCCTTTATCATTTATCGTAATGAAACCCCACCAACGTAATGTTCAATGTTTACAAACAACCCTGGTCTCAATTGACGCGAGCCTATGAGAATCAATTTAGCTCAACGTTATCTACATCGAACGCGCCTACATTCAGAGTTGATGAGGCATCTCTACCTACATTCCTCACAACTTTTTGCTCATAGAGTTCCTATACTTAGGACGTTGCGATTCTTTCATTTGACCCACTAGTAACGCAGTACGATAACTCCTTAACGATAGTAACATCTTAGACTATGGGACATTGCTCCCCTTGCCGAAACTTAACATAAACCTATATTCATATTTGTTACCAACATGTCTGGTCGCAACGACGCAACCCTCCCGTCCACGCGACGAACAAGAAAGTCGATCGGACTATCACCTGGGCGAAAGAAGATGGAGAAAGAAAACATCACTGTCGATGTGGCTAGTTCTTTAGCTGGTAATGGAGGTAGAAAGAAGTCACGAAGCAAGAGTATAGGTCCTGGTGGATTGGATGCTCTAAAGCCAGGATCGGGTAACAGACGTGTGGTATGCCCCCCCTCCCCCCAACTTCTAATATCCCTAGAGCACATAGCCAACTTATACTCTCAAAAATAGTCTTTAGCAGCTCCCGCCAGACCACCCCCGAGATCAATTCTTAAGCCCACGATGCCATTGCTACCGGAAATCCCTTCTTTCAAATCTAAAAAATCTGCTCGGAATTCGCCTGCTTCGTCCACCATCCAAGGAGCAGACAAGTTACCTAACCCATTTCAGAACGACGACTCTGGGTCATTAGGAACAAAGATCGCCGTACGCACTGAAGAGGAACAGCAGGCCGCTGCACGTGAAAGGGAAGAACGAGAAAGAGCCGAGATGGAAAAGGAGATTAATGATCGTCGAGAGGCCAGAAGAAAGTCTCTTGCTAATCGAAGAGTCTCGTTTGCAGCTGAAGCTACCCTTCATACTTTTCATGAAGTCGAGTATATGCAAGATTCTACAACCTCGACTGACTCCACAAGACGAGCATCGTCCCTCGCCGCTCAAGGACAAGCATCTGCTTCACGATCTGGTCATGCGGGTCAACCTGAAGATTTAGTTCCCAATTCCCCAGAGCAACAAGATACGCATGAACAGAGAAGACGCAGGAGCTCAGGCGTTAGCAACCTAGGTTTCAACCAGAACGATGACACGATGGCCTCAAGTATCTATAGTTCAGACTCCGAGGGAACGGACGATGTGATAGAAACACATGAAGAAATTGGTTCAGATTCCGGTAGCGACTCCGATGCCGACGGTGTATCAATGGACCTGGACGTCGATGAAGTTACCGGCACCTCCGTCGCATCTGCTATGTCGGCTCGGTCGGCTATTACCAATGACTCTAATGACACATTGGACACAGCTCTCCGACTCGCATCTCGCCGCGCCGAAACCCAGAGCCTCGACGATGAGGAAGAGATTATTCCATCGTTTGGGTGGGCTAAAAAGCCAGCCCCGAAACAAGCGAGCCCTACCCAAAATCAAGAGAATGTTGGGCAAGAAAATACCGGTGGTGTGGACATGGACATGGACATGGATATGGATATGACAAAGGCTGTTGGTGGTATCATTAAAGCCGACGATGATTCCCTAGAAGATGCCCAAGAGGAAGAGATGTCAATGGATGTCACTCGAGCGCTTGGTGGTATTCTCCCTTCGCTCAACAACGCGCGAAATACACAGCCAACTAGTCCGGACAAAACTGAAGAGGAATCCTTGATCGAGGATGCCCCTATGGATTTTACTGTCGCGGTTGGTGGTATTCGAAAAGACCAGCAACCTGACAACAACCTCTTTGACCCCGATGATGATTATGAAGACGAGGACATGTCAATGGAGTTCACTTCTGTCGTAGGTGGTGTTCTCTCCGGGAAAAGACTCGATGCATCCACAAAGAAAGCGTCGCAAGGCCGACGTCGTACCATTGCAGCGGCCGATGACGAAGCAACGATGGACATGACAGCAATGGACATGACAGTCGGTATGGGCCGTATTCTTCCCTCTAATGAGGACGGCGAGAATGATGAAGATGCTACAATGGGCATGGACATGACCATGGCGATGGGCGGAATCATCAAGGGCCCACCTTCAGCAAAGGACCGGGTTGAAGCTAGACGCCAAATGGAACGGGAGGTTGATGAAGATGACAATGTACCAGCATTAAATTCGTCTGCAAAGCGACGCTTATCTGCAGTTATTTCTGGTACGAAAGTATCAGAGTCAGGAAGCCCTGCATTGTCCGCGTTTAAAAGCAATGGACTTCGTCGCACAGGTGAATGGCGGAGGTCTGTCACGCCGGGCAGTTCGCCCGTTCGAGACGTAACGACTCCTAAATCTACAAATCCGACCAACGTGGGCACTCCCAACAGCCAGGGACCCAGAACCCCATCAAGAAAGTCCCCCTTGAGGATGCCGAAATCGCCAGCTACGGCCAGCAAAATTGGTTCTGGCGTATCCTCTACCCCTAAATCCGCTTCTAAAAAGAGCCAGTTGTCTGTTTTCCAACAAGATCCTACAACTGGGGTCTCGACACCGCGGGTTATCCTGACCCCTCAGAAGAGGCGACTATCAGGTGTAGGTGCTGATAGGCCTGGTCTCGGATCACCTAAGGTGGCCGCTATTTTTGACCGGCGTGAATCCATTGGCGATGCAGCAGACAGCTTTGTTCCCCGTGAACCCTCAAGATCTGTTGCCTTCGCGGACCCCCGTGTTATGGAATATGAAGTAGACCGTGATCGTCAACTGGAAGCAGACAAAGAAAATGGCCGCAAAGTACTTGAGAAGGAAGTCGACGGGGACGAAGAGAATACGGCAAGTCTAAAAGATATGATCTCTAGTATGACTCCTAAGAAAAATCTTATGAAAGGACGGAAAAGTCTGCATGTGGGCAGTGCTAAAGGTCTTCTCGGCAAACGTCCTGCCGAGCTTGACGATGAAGAGGAAGCTGAGGAAAGGGATGGAATCAAGCGACTCAAGAACCATCAGAGCAGCCCCGTCAAGAACGTACGCCTACATGCGCCTCCTTCGAAAGCCGAAACGACAGGACGAGTGACTCGTTCTTCTAGTAAAGGGCTAGAGGACATCAGCAACAATAAGGCTACTTCAACACCGACATTTTCGCCTAAGAAAACACCTACAGGTGTTCCATCTCCTCATGCCAAAGGGCGCTTCAAAGAAGTCGACTCCAATCATCCTACCAGTACTCTCAACTTTGACGAGTCTCATGTTATGACTGATGCTGAAGCTCAGGTAGATGATGACGGAGAACAAATGCATCTACAAGACTTTTTGAATATGACAAATATTCGCTTCATGGAATTGACGACAACAAAACGGCGACACACTCAAGCACCCGCCAACGTAACAGATAACGCCGCGTCTGAAGAAGAGGATATGTCCCTAGAGCGATGCGTCGTAGCAGGTGCTTGTACGGTTCCTATGCTAGAATTGTACCAACATGTAAGGATGCCTTCAACTTTGAGAACCGCAAGATACTAATTATTAATAGTCCTGCCGAGAATTAAAAAAATATATTTCAGAAGGCAGGAGAATAGTTCGTGAGATCGAAACAGAGACTCTGGAAGAGAACCCGCCACTCTTCAAGGAATACATCACTGCAACGCCCGAGTACAAGCTTTTCCTAGACAATCAGTTCAAGAATGTCAAGTCGCATGCACGACTACTAAGTAAAGCCATGTGGTATGAATGGCGCATGAAACTTCAAGATGGGCTCAAGGAGGGCCTACTGAAGATTGAAGAAGGTATGGCAGCCGACGAGCAGCTATTGCACCAGGAGCAGGAATTACTCGATTCGATTTTGCCCAAGCTAGTGGAGCGGCTCGCATCATTAGAGCTAGAACATGATAATTTGCAATCTGCCGCACAGGAGCTAGCAGATTGCGACCCTGAAGATTTGCAAGCTGCTCGATCCGAGCTGACAGACCTTGACTCGGATATCGAAGCGAAATTGAAGAAAATCGAGCAACTAAGGCAGCAACTGAACGAGACTGAATCTGGAATCGGCGAGCTATCACAAAAGAAGAAGGAATGCGTTGCTGATATAGAAGAAGCTGAAAAAGTTCGCGAGCAATGTAGGGGTTGGACCTCTAATGAAGTCAGCGCCCTCAAAGGTTAGTATTTCTTTGAGTCTATAATCTACTACGATGGAGAGCTAACATAACATAGCCCGCGTCGAAGCAATTGAGAAGCAGCATGGCTGGGCCATTACAGGCGTAGTTGGGACCTCGCTGTCGATGACATACCGAAGAGAGATCGAACTCGTCTTTGACGTCCGCGCTTTCAAAGGTCTAAAGCCCGATAACTCTAGGATTGATTTGTGGTATATCGCAGCCAATCGGGAGCAGAATCCACAGCCAAGCACGCCGGAAAAGGAATTTTTTGTCCAGTGCACGCGGGATCACATCCGAGGGTTGGCCCAAGCGCAGACCAAGATCAAGAATCTCCTAGATATGGTTAGTACGGCCTGGAAGAAGGCCAATCACGTTGCGAGAAACGTTCATCTCCTCAACACTACCTACCGAACCAAGGTCACCAAAACTTCAGATTCGTCTATCTCGATCCGCTCATGGGTACTGCTTGTCCCGTTGGAGACGAAAGTGGAGGTTGTACTCAGCTTACATGGCCAGAGTACACCAGATGGCGTAGAGGTTACCATTACACCCCAAGCGCGAGTGGTCTACGGAGAGCAATTTAAGGAAGATAAGATTGTCGAGTTCCTCACAACGAAGATAGGCACACGCGTGGTTACGAAGGAAGAGAGCGGAACCTTTGAGCCTTGGGTCGAGGTCCTTGTTGAGCTCCAGGAAAGACTGCTTGCGAGAGGACGAAAATAAAGGTGAATGGATAGCATGTTTCCTGTCTTTCTAGCTTCTGCCTTGTCTTGATATAATGACTTATGACTACAATTGGCGCGTATTGGGGATGGTTTTGATGAGGATACGACGAGTAGAGGGCGTTTGTTGGTGTATTGTTACCTAGGTTATATACCATTGTCGGGTTTATTTATGTCTTATTCTAGCCCAAGATCTTATCCTTGGGGTACCAATATAATAGTTTTGACTAAATCTGGCATGCTCATTAACATCATTACAAAGATGGCGACATGGCTAGATATGGTCTTTAAGTTTGTGTTTTTGATTTAGGAACATGGCTTTGATGCAAAAGTGCTTCGCGATATATGTAATTGTCTTAATTGCTTGATGGAAATTTTACTATGAAGATCCAGTGTAAAAACTATGCTTCTCTTCAGGTTTATAATACATACCTACTTACCTAAGATAGTCCCTAGTGGAGAGCACATCTTTGATATGCTATACCAGGTAAATACTATTATAAGCATATAGTTACATGAAGATTACCTAATACTTTCCCCCCTACTTTTAGAAGGCATAGGTTAATACAATCACTAATACATCACTATACTAGTAGATAGGCTTCTATTTCCTACTCTGCTCCCGGAAAACTATAATTAAGGTTAAAGAATGGCCAGTTCACCAGAAGTAAATAACAGGAATACAGCTACTGTTTACAGCCGGTCAGACCAACGAAGCATTAGATGATATCGCGTAACCATTTTTTTAGGTTATTTTTGTTTACGTGTAGGTTTATCAAGGGTTAGATACAAAAGCCTTCCTGTCTAGATCTTCGTAGTAGGTAGGTAGGTACCTAGGTACATACTTGCATAGATGGCCAGCCCTTGAAAGCAACAACATAATACGTGTCAACTTTTGCCAGGCGTAACTCCATGATGTAAGATCATATACAGAGTGATAAATAGCGTTCCTGAGATGGGCTAGTAAACAGAGAATTTTTAAAGCTACCGACAATTTTTTTCAGCCTTAGAGGACAAAAGTCTCCTAAAGACTTACCAACTGGTTACCAGGTAACTACCTAGTTAATTGTGTTGTGTATGCGCGACCTTGGTCCAGATCTACCATCTTACTGTAGATAGTCTTAGTCATTTCCCCTGACTCATCTAACAACAGTTCAAGATCAAAACTTCCCTAGCAGAATGGCGTCAAAAAAGATACCCCATACTAGTCACCATAGTATGGGTCATGTTTTTGACGGCATTCTACCTAGCAACCAGGCATAGCAGGATTTGATATACCAGAACTGGAAATATGTACATTAATGGTGGATAATTGAAAAAATAATGTATTCTCTAAACAAAAGCGTAGTTGAAGAAGCCGAGACAACTTCTACTGGAGAAAAAAGACGACCGGATACCTCATATCGTAACAGAATACCTATCGGTATGAGAATTAGAAATCATAGATAATCCGCATAGTTAGACACCTAATAATCCAACCTTGAGAGGCTTATGACAGCATATCAAATATTACCGAGCTCTAAAGATGTCATTGCTAGCCTTAGAGAGTATTGTAACGTTACCCCTATTCTAAACTATGAATAATACATAGGTAGACATCTTTACTAATTATTCCTACTATTTTTATGCTATATGATGACTCTAGGCTAGGTTAATGGCTCATATCGTCGCAGATAGGAGAAATACCCCCAGCCACGTTATTTACCCCTTTTTGAGATCACTAAGTAGAGTCATTGTTGTTGCAATGAAAATAATAATATTCTATTCTATTACTGTATGTTGGATGTCTAAGTAATTATTCATGTTCTACAAGTACGCACAGCTGAGCAAGCAAGTCTGAAGTTCCGTGTGTATTCACATGTTTTCCTACTGTATTCCAGCAAACCATGAGATGTAATGACTTAGGTAGGTTGTTACATTAGTAAGATAGTTACGAGAGTAGACATATATATATAAGGGTGTGCATCATAGCACGTACCTGGTTGTATTTACTTACAGAATCACTTCCTTACTCCTATATACGTACCTATCTAATACACTTGCGTACCTAAGGTGTACGTACCTATTGGTACATACGTGTTGAGGTGTTGAGGTGTTGTAAAGTATATATGTATCATGAATTACTACAAATGTGTCTGTGCATCACTGACTTAAGTCGGTTGCAACTGGCAACTTCCTTAAAACTATAGAGTTGCATAGCAACTACAGTCGTACCTTCCTTCCGTATGTCAAGTTGGTTGCTAGGTACCAAGGTACGAACAGTAGTTGTGTTGGCACTTGCGTAGGTTAGCAGTGGTTAGCAGCTGCTACTGTGTCTGTCACTCCGTCTCCTAGGACATCCGTTGCCTAGCATCGCCAACCTTCCTGCCGCTTGCTTCGCAGCACACCGCCCAAAAAATAATTATAAAAGCAGGGCCTCCCTCCCACTATCTTAGAATTTCTTCTTTTTCCTTTCTTCACAAAACATTTTGTTTACGCACGCATAACATACTGCCTACTGCTCTCTGCCTTCGCACTCTGCAATACGCATTATTCACGCTCAACGTTTACGAAATGTTTTCTAACGCTCTGATCATCTTGGTCACCCTCGCGATTACCTTTACCTCTATCCTGACATACATCATCTCTTCTATCCGCGCCATCACTATCTCTACTATCCGCCCTATTACGATGCCTTCCCTATCTACCCTAGTTACCCCCTTCTTCTCTTCTTCCGCCGTCATCATCACCCCTCTTCTTACCGGCTCTGTCATCGCTCTCGGACGCGTCCAAGGATGGCCTACCTTTTCTACCTTCTCCGACTTATCTGATTTCATTCCCTTTGTACTGGGACTTGCCACGTACCTTTTCAAGGTTCACCCAGTACTCGGGTTTGTTTTCATTACCCTCCTATTTATCTCCGCGGTCACTGTTCTGGGTCTATCTGAAGAGGCCGACGTCTCTACGTGGTTGGTGATCCCCTGGCTCATCGCGCAGGCCTGCCTCTGGGTGTATACATCCTACGGTTGGTATGCTTGGTGGGCTGCGTCAATCGCTATCATCATCAAGAACTACGGCATGTCGCCTTCTCTCTGGTGCATCCCACAGATCCTCGCCTGTCTGTTTCTCAAGGAGTAAGTAAATTTTGTTTTGTTTTGTTTTTATCTTTCCCTGTTGCTATGGTTTCATATTGTGTTGTTACTGTTGTCATGCTGTTATACTATTCAGCATTCACCGTTCTCTTCTATCATATTGGTTCTTGTATCCTTTATAGTCTTGTATTTCTGTTGTCCTTATACTCATTTGACTTATACTCTCTTACTACCCCTATACCCCTATACTTCTATACCCCTATTCTCCTATACGCTTCTTACCTTGCCAACCTTGTTACCTCTATTATTTGCGACGCGTCTTATTTGAATAACACTTACTAATTTGTTTCTAGACTGTTCTCTTATCATATCGAGGAGCACATTCGTCAATTTGGCTATGTCCAATTTCCCGATTATGTGACATACCTCTTCCATGAGCTTCAGAATCTTGAGTGGAGTCTTGACACCCGCGAACTTTTCCGATGGGGAGACTGGTCTATGACTCTTGTTCGTCGAGTCGCAGGACAGTTCACTTCTCGCCCTCTCCCTCCTGCTGGCCCTGTCACTCCTACTCTCCCTGTTCCTCTTGCCTCCCCTGCTCCTATTGCTCTCCCTGCTCCTCTTGCTCTCCCTGCCCCTCCCGCTCGTTCTCCCTCTCCCGTTCTCCCTCAGCCAGCTCCGTTGTTGGATACCGATTATACCTCATTGCTTTATGAGCCGGTTGACCCCGACATGCTGAGAGGGCGCCGTTCCCACTACCGCGGGATTGTCCGCAACGAGTCCTCCGCCAACGAATGGTTGAAACAGAGGCTGAGTCAGCCACCTTGCAAAGAGAAATGGTGGGAAGCAACAGATCCTGTTCCCCCGGCTCCTCTTTTCCCCAGGTATATCGAGAATCCAGCGCCTGTAAAGAGATTTAGCCTAGCCGACTGGTCGGGTCATAATGCTTTCATGGCCGGTATACAGAATTCTGCGTCCGGGTTCATCAACGGTGCCCCTGTCTTCGGTGTGCTGACCGCACCTGCTCCTGTGCCGGCTCCTGAGCCTCAGCTACTCTCCCAGCCAATCTACCAGCAGGTGTTACACCAGCCGGAATGGGTGCCCGAGCCTCAGCTCCCCTCCCAGCCAATCTACCAGCAGGTGTTCCACCAGCCGGAATGGGTACCCGAGTCTCAGCCGCCTGAGCTTGCGTCAGTGGTTGTGTATCCAGCCAACAATGTCAACTTCAACACCCCTTGTGAACCAGCCGTCCCCGCGTTGGGCCAAGCCATTGACATATACAACCACAACGCTACGCCTCTCTACGTCACGCCCCAAGAGCCAGCGCCGATTGTACCAACACCCATGGAGGTTGACATCCCGGAGCAGGTGGAGACCCTCCCCGAAGCTATGGAGGACGTTCAGGTGGATGTTCAGAACACCACCGGCTTCATGTCCGTGGAGCAAATGGAAGACGATCTCGTCGACCATTTCGAAGCTCTAGCCAACGCCCAGGCCAGCGTCAGCGACAACACCAACGCTGGTCAGGCAGACAACGCACAGGACGACCAGCCGGGCTATGAGAGCTTGGACGATCGCATGGGTGCCTCGCCATTCAACGACTGCAAGATCAGGGAGAAACAAACCCCTACTAAGTCTCAGTCGCAGCCCATGCACAAGCCCAAGTCGGACAAGCCTCATGCCTTGAGCTCCTCTGTACAGTCTTCTTCGACGACGCCAAGCAAAAGCCTTGGTGGTGGGCTGCAAGCAAGCATGTACAATGCCAACAACCTTGCTTCTGCGGCACAGACGCCATCGTCCCAGGCTCTGTCATCAACACTGCAGTCGAAGCCGCCAGTCAAGCAGTCACCATTGACTAAGGCGCTCGCTCAGTTGTCAAACCCACAGATGCCACTACCTCAGGCTCAGCAGACAATCGCTCAGTCGTCTCCCGCCCCGCCAATGTCTCAATTCTCGGTCCCGCAGGTACAACTGCCCCAGGTCCCCGCCACTACGCCGAAGCCGAAGCAGACAGTCCAGCAGATGCCGCTGCCCCAGGCTCTGCCCCAGACGCTTCAGCCTCAGCCGACAACCTCTCAGATGGCCTGGCCCCAACCTGCGCCCCCGGTATCAGAACCTCAGCAGACAATGGTCCTGCCCCCCCTGAAGCCTCAGCAGACAACTCAGCAGAAGCCATCGACCCAGGCTCTGCCCCAGAAGCCCAAGCCTCAGCCGACAACATCGCAACTGACCGGGTCCGAGACTACGTCATCCACGCCTAAGCCTAAGCAGACAACCTCGCAGGAGCCATCGTCACAGGCACTGCCCCAGATGCCACAGGTACAGAAGGCAATGGCGTCGACAAGGCGGATTGCCACGCCAAAATCGCGAAAGGCAATGATCAACCAGGCTGAAAAGCCATCTTCGACGACGGCGGCCCAAGCGCCTGCTCCGAAGCCTAAGGCTGCCGCTCGTCTGCCGGGAAAATCCAAGCCGGCGAATGCTACGTCGGTTCTTTACACCGAGCCCGGTCCCTCTGTGCCCAAGAAGGATAAGGGCAAAGGTCGTGCAACTCAGCCCCCGGTACTCGTCGATGAGGAAGATGACTTTGAAGACAAGGTCTGTGAGTTTATGGATGGTGGCTTGAGTAATGAACAAGCCTACATCATGGCAGAACACTACTTCAACCAGCGAAGAATAAGCCGTCGTTGAACGTGACTATTGTCCGGTCTCGACACTGATTTCCCTGGTGCTCATGCCACATTTATCCTCACTCAGATAAGATCCCTGGTCTGGTCGGCTCTTCAAGCATAGAGATCCTCCTCCCTCTCTCTTCTATTTGAACTAACTAGCAATTTCCTAGCGCTGGGCCGGTCAATGCTATATTGACAGCTTAAACCACTCCCAGGAACCCATTGGGCGACGGAGGGGGTTGGCCGGCCGCCATTCGTGATGATCTGGACCCTTGATACCCGCGCAAGCAGGAGATTGGTATAAAATGCACGTCTGGCCGCCCACCCTTGTCTAGAAGCATGTCTCTTCTTGCGCCTCTTGAACTTGAAGCAGAAGTATGCGAGACAGGAAGCTCGATGAACCTGAGGAACCTCGGAGAAGGGCGAGAGCTTTTGGTGTCAGGTCCGATCTCGTGGTAGTTGGTGAAGGTGCCATGGGATCGTGTCTTGTTTGGCGCATGGCGGGTTCTGAGTCTTCCAAGTGATCCTAGATCAGGAGGTTGCGAGGACTTCGCTACAGCTTACTTCGAGTTGTCTAGTTTTGTTCTACCTCTATTACCTAAATGTCACCTATCTGTCTGTCTCTCTCTCTCTCTCTCTCGGTTATCTATCGGTTCACTGTATTCGCCGACAACGTCTCGTACGGCCTTGTTCTCGCCGCCGTCCTTCGAGCATTTTACCCCTTTCGACAATGTCTCGTCGCGGTTCCCCTTTCTCGCCGCGCCATCGAGCAGACCCCCGACAGTTTAGGATGACAGACCCCGAGTATCGTCAACATACTGTCAGTAGAGCAAAAAGGTATGGTCTCCCAATGGATTCATAGTTGATTATGGTGATGCTAACTATTTACAGACCCCCCTAGCTCATTCGACTGCTGACATCTGCTCTAAGCAGCAAGATAAGGAATAAGACCGACACGAACACGAGTACCAGCACCGAGGAAGCTGATGAAGAAGACCAACGATTAAGATCGACACCGACACCAACACCGAGACGAGGACCAGCACCGAGGAAGCTGAAGAACACCAAGGACAAGAATACTAACAGTAACAGGACGACACTAATCAACACGAGGATACTAACCAGCAGCACCGGATTCCCAGGACCCCAACCTCCCTTCCCTTTTTTTCTTTCTTTTTTCCCTTCACGGCGAAGCTGTTATTGTTAATGCTCAAATGAAGGGGGGACTTGTTCTCCCGCACCACCATGCGAGCATAAACAACGACGCCCAGATCAATGCTTTTCAGCAGGCCCACTGCCAATTGTCGCGAGCGCGGAGGGAGCTTCGGCTTCTACTATTCCGTGTCTCGCACAGGCGGCTGGCTACATTTTAATACTCTAATGCCTTTTTTGGCTAAGTAGTCATAGGCTAGGTAGATTTATAGGGTTATAAGAGTGTGATCACGGATTTACTGTGGTTCTAAGCTAGATCGTGCGTGGGCTTTGATATTATTTGCTTGTGTTGATTACCTCTACTAACATTTAGATTTTGGGTGATGAGGGATGGAGTGATGAGGGTTCTCTACCTATGCATGATGGGCAGATGAGAGAAGATAAGTTTACCCCTGATATTCTTACTAACCACCCTCTACTTACATCCTTGTTTGACTAATCATTTCTACCTAGGACTAGGAGGACTTTGTGGTTTGCTTCACGCGTTTTCATACAGCATGCCGATGTTCTTGGTCAATCTCGAGGGTGGTTTGGGATAAGGATATATATTTGTACTTTTTACATGTATCTAGAACGCGGGCATGGGCCCGAGCCTGGTAACACAGGGTTTAATGGAGAACTTATATTCCACTCTACACGTCTCGTAATCTATTCTACTACAATCATTTCTATCTTCACGTAAGGCAATGTCCACAATAGTCTAAAAGACACAGGAACAGTGTACTACTTGTAGATAGGTACGTTCTATTCAAGACACTTACTCTATCTAGACTCTACTCTGGTTTGGGGCTCAGCGATCTATCGAGGCTTTATCTTAGTCCAACCGCTGGTACCCTTTTCCCTCTCGCGTTCTCTTCCTGCAACGGCCCCATTAGGCACTCTCGAATTATTATGATCACCACTACTACCACTCTTAACGGTGTTGACGCTCATATAACTCTCGATGCCGAAGCGGTGGCCTGGGATGCCGGGCTGTCCTTTGTTTGGAGTCCCACCAACTAGCACGCCGTCATCAAGCGCGTCGTCTGGTGTCCATGCATCGTCTTCCAGCAACTCCCACTCTGGAACCGGGTTCTCGCGCAATAACTTGGCTTTCAGCTTGTCGACCATCTTAATCACGGTAGGCATCTTAAAGCTACGCGTAAGATCATTTCCCGCCGCGCTGCCGAGAAAAGTGTGGGCCGTGCCGTGCGAGTACAGCCCCATGCGAGGCGCTGTTCTACCCAGTTCCGCCGGGTTGTTGCCATTGGTTTGGGCAGGTGCTTCTGCTATCTGCTGGGGGTTGCGTTGCAAGGAGGAGTTGATTAGGAGATTATATAAGTTGCGTCCTAGGCAGGAGAAGTCTTCAAGACTATTGCTGTTATCGCTCATGGGCACGCCTTGTGTTCGGCAGAGCCAGACGATGTCGTAGGCCAGCAGACAAACTGCTTCGAGGAAGGAATTGTACGCTGACGGATCTTCCTTGCTGAGGACCGACAGGGGCTTCTCAAGAAAAAGGGGTCGAGGGTGTGGGACATGGGCAAATTGACGGTCACGTGGATCAGGGGGTAGGAGAGAGGTACCGGGAAATGCAACATCGCCGTGGTGGTAGGAAGACGCCAAGGAAAATATGGTAGGTTTGGGATAGTCATTGTGCGGTAGTGTAAATTCTGCCGGGAGGCGAATAGATAGGTAGTGAGAGGTAAGCCATAATAGGTGGGTGATATGCGCGAGTGAAGCGGAGATAAGTTCAGGTTGCGCGCCTATGTTAATATTAGACTAGGTTGAAGGACTACGAGTTTACGTATAGACAAGATACTTACTGTTCAAATTGTGTAGGTCGACGATATCGATGCCTCCAATCTTATACTCGAACCGGACGGGATTCCCGCGACGGACGCGCTGTAGTCTATATAATTTGGCTACTTCCATGCACAGAGCGGCGCGATACTGAGTCATGGCGTCGTACTCTCGGTCCCAAGTATACTTGGCCATTTTCGCGGCCTTCTTAGTCTCCTCAAGCTCCCGGTTTCGTCGCACTGGAACACCCTGGGCTGCGACGACAAGATCTGACTTCTTACGGGCGATGCTAGCCTTGCGCTCCTGTATCTCTTTCTTTGCAGCGTCAACCTCTTCGCGGAGCTTATCTGCCGTCGCTATGATCTGCGCTGTTCTCTCTTTGGCCTTACGTTCCTCCGAGATGCAGTTCTCTACGTAGGCTCGAGTAGAGCGATCGTTTACGAGGTTTCCGGCACTCGCATCGTTATCTGACAATTGCTTGGTGACTCGAGACTCGAGCTCCTCGGCTTCCATAAGAATACGAGCATTAGCTATTCGTCTCTCGTATAGTTCGTTCCTTGCATCCACCGCGCAGAAGAAGGGTAACCTCGACGGGTGGTGCATCCGCTGACAAATATCGCAATTCATGGTGGTGGCGGGACTTAAGGGTGGAACTGACGAAGATTCGATGGTGCGGGATGGATGTCTGGGGGGGGAGGGGGATAATTAAAGAGACGCGCTTCTACGGATAGCAAGCGGTCGATCGAGAAACTACTATTACATTTGCGAGGTAAGCAATCTGCATATCGACTTGCCAGAAGGCTATATAAATATCAACTGAAAAGAAGCGATATGGAATAAACATTGATGAGAAGACGTGAATGTGAATGGTAAAATGGAAGATGATGAGACGGAATGGTTCAATGCTCCTTGTGACGTTGAGAGGTGCAGGGGTATGAATTAGGTATGCATATAGAAGGTATTAGTTATATGCAGGGGCAGTTGTACTTACATTAGATACCTTATCGGATTCTTATCAGTAGCCTATCAATCTTATTGCGCTTTGCCTGCCAAGTCTTTCGAGTCTTGTTCCATTAACTTGATTTTTGGGCAGCGACGCGTCTCCCTCGTAGTTTTTTTTTTAAGGTATGCAACATGTAAGAAGTTGTTCCTTAATTTATAACTATTGTTTTGTGCCTTGATCTGTTTATATATGAGAATAAAGTGGAAGTTAGAAAAAACAATCAGGTGATCAATTTATTCAGCCTCAGCTGCTCTTCCATTCATTCTAATTCTACTCGTGTCACGCGTCGTCTATTCTCTACAGTCACAGATTATTCTGGACACTGAACACTGGACACTGGACACTGGACACTGGACCATTGCTGCTTAGGTAATTTGTTTGCGGGAAGTCGACATAAATACCTCCCACAGTCATTGAAGTTACGGCTGGCAATCATGTCTACTACACCTAGATCATCATCACCAGTGAAACAATCACTTACTCAGGATGAAATGGCAGGTGATCAATCAATGATGGTAGAGTTACCAACTCAGTTGGGTGATCAAACTGAGTTCGTTGATCCTGAGGAAGATGTGACGGTAAAGCTACATTCACAAACGCAGCCGCGATCGCCTCCACGGACTCAGGGTCCCAAGGTCGATCAGGGCCAAGACATGTCGCTTATGGCTAGACAGTTGGACCGTCAACGTCAGACACGAACCCCCGAGCCACAGAAGCGACGGAGTAATAGGTCTGAAATGCAGAGCCCCGGCCATCTTGTTGCATTTGATTGGGAAGACTTCGAGGATCGCTACGAGAAAGCTCTACAAGAGGCTGATGAGCAAGAGAAGCAGCTCTTGGAAGAGTTTGATACTCTTGTCAAGGTAGGCTAAGTTATCTTATAGTTATTAGTGACTAACTGAATTATGGCTAATATTAAAATCAGTACTTCAACGTCTGGGCGTCAGCTTCGTCTGCCCATGATAATGAGAGGGCGGTTAAGAGGTTTGTCATCTCCTATCGTGTACTTCTTATACAAGAACAGTATTAAAAGCTAGTAGATTGCAAACTCGCGAAAGACATGTGCGCCTTTCTGAGCAAGCACTCTTACAAAAGAAGCAACATCGTGAGTATTCATGTCTCTGATTCTTAAATCTAAGACTGACTTAAAGTAGTATCCGAAGTGGTGAAGGCCTTCCAGAGTGCTCTGGCACTTCTGAGATCATCTTGAGCCCACGTATTAGCTGCTTATATGTTTATATGGCGGTGCATGATATCAGTGTGCATTCAATGAATATAGGTGAGGTTTATGACTTGACGACTTTTATGATGCTTATGAATTACGATATGAACTTGTACTTAGCTGCGTACATACAATTTGCTACCGTATCTACCTAGTAGTCTCATAATCCACATTTTATGTTGATATCTTCTCGACACTTGGTGTTTCTCATTCTCAGTGAATGAATACCTAGGTACGGATGTCCCTTTCAAAAGTTTTTACCATAGGAAGACCCTTGTCACCCCCGGCAAGCTTTGACCAAGCTTGGCAACAGCTGCTTATCTTTTTAACATATGTATCTTACTTTTCTTTACTATTTCAATAAGATATAACTTTCTTAAACTGGATTCTAAAATTTCCCAAAAACTTAAATTATAAATATAAAAGACTTCTTTTTTATATAATACTTTTTTTCTATTTTAAAATTATATTTGGCTGTAAAATCTAGTAGTAAACCTTAGGAATAATAATGTATACATCCTTAAATCACCCGACAGTTGCTGGCCAAGTATCAGACAGCTGGTGACGATCTTGACAGGGGTTCCCTATGGTAAAAACTTTTGAAAGGGACATCCGTACCTAAGTACATAGATACATACACGTAGGTGGGTCGGACGCGACGCGGTTCGGCCGTAACCAAGCCGGTTATCGATAATGTTCAAGCTGTTACCAAAGCTCAATTAATACATCTTTGCCCTTGAAATTCAAAGCTACACCTTTTCAATCTCTTTCAACAACCTACATCACCTATCTAGCCGCTAGTAGCGGTTAGTTTATATGGCAATGTCTACTTCTCTACAAGACACAGGCAACTTGTTCCAAGTGCCAGAAATTTCACAGGTACGCTTTTCCGTTGATGATTCTTTTCTTCAGTTGGCTAATGCTGACTTCCTAGGCAGGAAGAGATAAGCTCATTTCACGACGCGCACTTCTCCTTCGCAGCTACCAACCTCTTCAATTCCCAGTTCTTCCGACCGGAAAATGCGCAGGATGAACAAGATGAGCAAGATGAAAATCAGTACTATGAGGAATATGAAGGATATTACGAAGAAGAGGATGACGGCTTAGGCTATTATCCAGATGGTGTCAAACGCACGCTTACGGATGAGCAAATCGCTATATTTCGACATTCTGAAATCGAAGCCCTTCGCCGTGCTAAGACTAGAGTCGCTAAGGTTGAGGAAGCGCCAAACACACCGTTGCAAGCAGCCGAAGAAGATGATTCCACATCTACCAACGAACGTAATCCCGGTTCGATAGTAATGCCGTTGCCTACAATGCCGGATGAGAGTCATGAGAAACGCAAAGTGAAGGAAGAAGAGGCGCAAGATGGTAGCGAGGATGGAGAAATTGAAGAAGAAATGCCTAAACCTACCGAAGCTGAAGTCAAGCGGGAAAAAAAGCAACGCGCGAGACGAAAGAAGCATGAACAACGCAAGTTCCACCCCGAGAAGAAGCCCGACCTACGAAAGAGGACATGGGATGTAGTCGAGACTGGTATGGACAGCCTATACTACGATGATGAAACAGCCCAAGACACGGCTGCCACTCCTGCGGCACAGAGGCGAAGGATCTCATACGACGATTGAAGACTGGCGAAAGGAAATCAAATTCCTATGTTTCTCCATGGCATTATAATACCAAAATAACTACTTACTACGTGATCGATACGTGGTTGAGTGATGTCTAGCCAGGTTAGTGTTGCATTCCTAATTCTTCTTTGTCTATTTTGTTTCCGTGATGAGAACCTTTGTATCGTCATCCTTAGTCTGAAGTCCGGGACCACCTGAAGTTGGCTTCTGGCTGACGGATGGTTGGATTACCTAAACGGATGCATGTCGAATAATTAATCTTCTCTCTGAATGCGTTATACTATCCCTTCCATGTATTATCCCTTTTCTAGTACAGGGAGCATTGTTGCTGACTACTTGTACTGCAAGTTTTAGGTGAATAATACAAAGACTTTACAATTATAAGCAACGGGCTTGCATCAAAGATTTTGTCCGGAAAATTGTCTGCATTAGTAGCTTAAGGAGACATGTAGGTACTCAGAGTTTACCTGCTGTGTGTCGGATAGGATCTGGTTGTATTACTACTAGAATGTAATTTATCTAGGTAGTTTCAGAGATGGTCATTTGCTACATTAGTTACTCTAGAATCCCGTTGCACGACGGAATAAGAAAAGGTGCCGTTATTGATAATTAGGTATACAAGTACATACACAAAGTTTACCTTTACCAACACACAAAGACATATGTAGCTTCCATGTCCTTCATATTGTTGGCACGAGCTGTTTTAGGTGCTATATTGCAGACGTAATACATAATACATATGTACCTACCTTACCTTAGGTTAGGTTAGGTACCTGACAACGAGCTATAATAAAATCATACAAGCATCTATTGTTCGACCCTTCTGTTTGTAAAATGAGTAATAAAAATAATTAGGTTAGGGAAGTTGCGCCTATATAGCACCGTGTCGATTTAACTTTTATGGTACATAAATACTGTCCTAATCCAATCGGCCACCAATTCGGCCGGGGTTAAAGGTTAGAGACTCCACTCAGGCGCCTCCAGCCTTCCAGAACCTTGTTATCGACATCCCACTTTCAAATCTCCCATCCCACCACCCATCACCCAGCACCAAGACGAATTCGGGAACTTCCTCTATAACCGCGCCATCGCGTGCCACCTTCCGCTCCGGCCGGCATTTCGAGGTCAAGCGACGACCTCTCAATCCCGACTTTTTTCTACCCGCCGTTATTCTTCTCCTTGACGTTGTTCGTATCCCGAAAGGATATCTACGTTGCCTATCATGGCGCGGGTCTACGCCGACGTCAATCAGAATATGCCCAGAAGCTATTGGGACTATGATAGTGTTAACATCAGTAAGTTCATTTAAGCGTCAAAGAAATTCAAAGCCATGTTTGCATCATGTTTCTCATCTTATCCAATACAATATCCTCGTTGTCTCTATTTCGAATATACCCAAGGCTCGCGGTTTCGTATCAATATCTACTAGCAAACAGTGTAAAGACTAACGTTTTTGGTACTACTAGGCTGGGGAATCCTAGAAAACTACGAGGTCGTTCGCAAAATTGGTACGTCACGCCGTGTCGCGTACCCTTCTCAATACCGATAGTCGACTAATTTCTCACCGTGATCAGGCCGTGGAAAATATTCCGAGGTCTTTGAGGGTATCAACGTGATTAACTATCAGAAATGCGTCATCAAGGTCCTGAAGCCAGTTAAGAAGAAGAAGATCAAGAGAGAAATCAAAATCCTCCAGAACCTTTCGGGTGGTCCCAATATCGTTGCCCTCCTGGACGTTGTCAGAGACAATCAGGTAAGCAGCCACCTTTGTTCCCCATGCCACGGTTAGATCATATCAGGAATTAACCATATTTACCCCCCTACAGAGCAAGACTCCGTCTCTCATCTTCGAATATGTGAATAATACAGACTTTCGAAGCCTCTACCCGAAGTTCAACGATATCGATGTGCGTTACTACATCTACGAGCTACTCAAGGCTCTTGACTACTGCCACAGCAAGGGTATTATGCATCGAGATGTAAAGCCTCATAACGTTATGATCGATCATGAGAACAGAAAGGTATGTAACCTATGTCCTTGCCACGGCCGTTGTTACTCACGCATTTGCTAGTTACGTCTCATCGACTGGGGCCTAGCCGAGTTTTATCACCCAGGAACAGAATATAACGTGCGCGTAAGTTCATCGAATAGCTCCCGTATCCCTCTGCCCTTCGAGAAGTGATGGGTTGCCTACTCGTATGCCTGTGTGCTTATACTATCGATTTTTTTTAAAGTGGCGGCGTAGATATGAAATCCGTGGATGCTAACGTTATCCTTAGGTTGCATCTCGCTACTTTAAGGGGCCCGAACTGTTGGTTGACTTCCAGGAATACGACTACAGTCTGGACATGTGGAGTCTGGGTGCCATGTTTGCCTCTATGATCTTCAGAAAGGAGCCTTTTTTCCACGGAAACAGCAACTCAGACCAGCTTGTTAAGATTGCAAAGGTTCTCGGTACCGATGATCTTTTTGACTATTTGGACAAATACGAGATAGAGCTTGACCCCCAATATGATGATATCCTCGGTCATTTCACGAAGAAGCCTTGGCATAGTTTCGTCAATACTGAGAACCAACGATTCGTGAGCAACGAGGCCATCGATTTCCTAGACAAGCTTCTGAGATACGATCATCAGGTTTGTACCGTCACTCGGTCATTTTCTAATGCATTCTAATGGTTATTTAGGAGCGTCTTACCGCCAAGGAGGCTATGGCACATCCATACTTTGCTCCCATCCGGGACGAAGCCACTCTCAAGGAGTATCTTGGTGGCGCAACTGTTAGCTCAGAGTCTTAAGAATCCGGCCTACCCAACCGATCGCGTACTTCTTTTCAGCTCTTCCCCTACGAATTCTTAAGATACCCGGGCCTATCCCCGCTCGTCGTTCAATTAGTCTCCAGCCTCCGCTATGAGTATGTGCACTCGCATCTCGTGCTAATGGCATTTCATATTCTTGCATGCTAGGCTACACGCCGCTGAAACCGGATGGAAGTTTAGTTCTAGGTAGTTCTACTAATAGGCCCGTGAGATGCGGTGGACCGGGGGTCACTCTTCTCCGCGACGGCAAGACCACGACGTAGCAAACCGATAAGCAATGAATGCGAAGTTTTATTTTACTACGAATCCTTAAACCCCGTTCGTTCTTAGTACACTACGAGATTATTCCGATGTCTATGATTTTGGTACCAGGGGACATGGCGGATTAAACGTGAATTGAGTGACTTAACTAGCCGGACTTTTGGCGTTCCCGGGATTTTTTTGTTAGGGGGGGGTTTTGAGACAGGCTGTTTCTTTTTCTGACTTGGGATTCCTCGGCATAAGGGGTATTGAAATTTTGTTTCTTTCCATTTTTTTGGTGATGAGTATCGGGTATAGCAAAATTACTATTTCTGCTACTACTATAAGACTAGGCCAGTATAGTAAGCTAGTATAGGAAGATTAGCTAAGTAGCTTACACGGACAGAAAGACAGACGAGTTTGATGATGTATCTTGACTGGTTTTGTGGGGGATTTGTGATGTGGTTTTGTGAAGATGATTTCTTGGATTTACTTTCTAACAGGTAACAATATCTAGGTAGCTATGTTCCTAGTTGTGGAGGAGATTTATAAGGGACGAATTATATATACCATAAACCATATCACATTTAGTCCTTACAGGTTGTAGTTCGATGAAAAGCTAAGAGGTAGGCAAATGGGTATGTAGGTATGTATGTATGTACTCTGGACACAACAAATACCGCTTCATAGGTACCATAGCCAGCATAAGCCATGTCTAGGTAGGTACCTAAGGTACTAAATATATACCGTGGTATGTTATTACTATATACTCTAATTCCAATCGAGGCTGCCTTATATCAGCTAGCCATATGTATGCACTGCTTGCTCGTCTATAATCCACCTTTGGGCTCAAGCTACCTACCTATGTATATCCGCCTCAACTCGATTCAGCTCAACCAACCCCACCCCCAACCCATCCCTTAAACTAATAGATATACTAACTATACCTATCTGCCCATTCTACTTACAGCACGTAAAGCAGAAATCTCGATCACACACGAAACCCTCCTCACCACATCTGCGCGCTGAGCCGCCGGGCGTGCGCACGGGGCTGCTCTCCAGCATTACGCTCGGACTCATGACTCCTCCTACTGCTGCTGCTGCTGCTGCTGCTGTCTTTGCCCGCCGCGACGGCGTAGAGGTGAGATTGCTGACGCTGTCGACATTTACCATCGTGCGCGCTAGCGGCGAGCTCTGCGCTACAGGGCTGCTAGCCATGAACCGGCGCTTGGTGCCGCGGAATGCGCGGGAGTCGGTGGCGGGGGGGACGGCGGTGGCGGCGTGCTTGCTGATGCGGTGGGGTGTGTGATGTGTGCTGGAGCCTATGAGGAAGCCGTGTCGATGGTTGGATTTACGCGGTGTGGAGGAGTCGCGGGGGCGGTGGCGGTGAGGGGTCATGGTGATGATGTTGTGGTCGGGCTGGGTGATGAATGGGCTTGCTGTGACGCTTGATGAGAGGATGCTTAGTTCGTCGTCGTCTTGGTCTGGGTCATCGGGGATGAGGGATGTCAGGGCTCGGTTTCTCCGGGTGGAGGGGGTACGGTGGCTGCTGCTTGTCTTGTCGAGGACCGCTGATGTTTTGCTGCGTTTCTTTGGCGTGCTAGGGGCTATAATTTTGGAGGCGGGTTGTGTGGATGAAGAGGGTGGATTTATAGGTAAGTTCGGAATATCCGTTGGATCGGCTTCCTCGCTTTGGACCGGTAATGGCCGCAGAACTAGTTCAGACGTTTCGGCAGGTGGGCTGATTTGTCGTGGAGATAATATAGCTAGTTCTGGCGCGGGTAGAGATATGGCTTCTTCCTCTTCATGGGAACGCAACTGCTCTGAGTCTTGTTCTATGGAATCTAGCTGGATTATAGCATGATCGAGGGGTAACTCCAATTCCAGAATAGGAGAACTAAGAGGATGGATAACTTCTTGTGCTAGATCAGGTAATTGAGCTATAGTCTCCTCTGGCTCTATCGCTGCAGGTAGGCTCGGGGTTACTTCACGAGAATTATCTCGTGTAAGATTGACTTCCTGGGCTTCTATGGGTGTGTCTTGGTCCTCATTGCTCATCAAGTCATATGATGTAGTTTCTACTACAAAGGTCGCATCCCCTATAACGCTGCTCTCCGAGTTTACTTCTCGATTATCGGAGTTGGCGGCCTGATCCGAATCCTGCGGGTTATCGAGTACTTCTTCCCCATTTGTATTAGGCGATGTAGGTTCGCCAAGCGGGGATGTTTTCCCGTCTGTCGGCATTTCCATCATTATCGTATCGATCTCATTATTTGAAAACAAGGGATCCGTCTCCCCTGAGTTATCAAGAGTAGAAGGGAGATCGGCTACCTCAATTCCAATATTCTCATTATTTCTTGTATCTTCGTGGCCCGTTAGTAGCCCGTCGCCGCGACTTTCTTCATCTGGAGTAGTGATATTGGCCTGTCTAACGAGCCCATTATCAATAATCTCTTCAAAGTCTTCGCTTATGGTAAGCTGAGTGACCTCCCTATGTTGAGAAGTGTCAGATTCTGCGTGCTCCTTAGATTCGTCTACTCCTGGAGAAGGATCGGGAGCTTCTAAAGCCACCTCTTCTAGAGAATTTGATAAATCAACTGTCTTTGGCCCTTGCCGATTCTTGGTCTTTGACATTTGGCCGCTGGAGTCTATCTGCTTGCGACTCCGCGAAGATTTCTTATGAACATCAGAAGGGCGCATTGCCCGAATTAGAACCTCAATTTGGGCTAGCTTTTCAGCACCCTGCTCCGCTATCGTAGACTCATTTTCTGATGACGGTGGTGGCGATACCATCCTCGTATTGGAACATGGCTGTTCTACGGACACGGCTACCTTTCTTGGTCGCCTACGCTGTGACTTCTGAAGGGTATGAGAAGCTTGTTCAGTCACAGTCTCGGAATCTACTTTCGTATCATTCCGGCCCGTTTGCTTTGCCTTCTTAGTTGCTGAAGCCAATGAAGAGGCCTTGTTCTTTTCCGCAGTTGTAATTTTCGCTATTTCTTGCGTATTGTCCCCCAAAAGTATATCATCCTCATCGGAATCATTAGTAGCCGGTGTCGGATGAGGTAGGATTTTACGCCCCGTCGTCTTTACATGGGAAATTTTCTTTGGTATCTGGTGGTGAAAAGGAGGACCGAGGAAACCACTATTATAACCCCCTGGTGCTATTGATGGTCTATATCCGGGTTGATTGTGATACCCCATAGACTGGCCAATAAAACCAAACCTATCCTGATAGATAGGCAGTGGAAGCTCCGGGGACTGCCACAGCGGATCAACAGGGCTACTACCGAACATTGGAGGTCCAAACATGAACGGATCAGGGGAACCAAATGGATGTAATTGCATCCCAGGATATAGCAGCTGGTGATTGAACTCACCGGGCATGATTGGTTGATTCAGCCCTGGATGTAGCCCCGGAGAAGGACTATGTATTGGTGATTTAGTCGGTATCAAAGATTTAGAGCCAGAGTCTTCTATCGGCCGGGTATTCTTCTCTTTTATAATTCCTTCTTCTTCATTACTTAAGACGGAACCCTCCCTATTCCGATCTTTCTCGTCGTCTAGAGATAGAAGATGTCCATTATTGACAATTACCTCCCCGGTCTCAAGGTCAATCTCATCACCAACACCAGTGAAATCCTTCCCATACTTTTCAAATATACGTTCAAAGGCTGACTTTAGTCTCGTCGCAGCCTTAGCCCTCCCCTTATCAAGCTGGTAAAGAGGGTCTTGCCTTGCATCAAACTGAGTGGGGCTCATAGAGAGCTCATCTAAATTTGCTTCATCATCGTCATCATTATCATCATAAGGGGCTTGCCCAAGTTTCGTTTTTTTTGAAGGTGGTTCCATGATTCCAATTACCCTGACATGGCTGAATAGCCGGCACGTATCGAAATAGGTTCGACGGCTGCAATTCAATCCGTTTTATATGATCTCTAAAAAGAAGACAAAAGGTGGAATGAAAAGGTTCATAATTCGATATATTCGATATGTGCAACTGCTTTGATGATGAACGCGTCTATGAATGTGGATAAGCGCGTCCGTATCTTATCGTATCTTATCTGACAATGGAATAGTTACATGTAAGGTTCCTGTACGCGCTTAGGTGCAACTGGGTGGATACCTCATAGACCAGTACTTTCCTGAAGTACTTAGCTTGCTTTTCTCTACCTTTCTTGATGACTCAGTACATACTCCACACGTACCTACATAGATGTTTCTCAGCTGCAACCACCCCCTAACACAGCCTAATTACTAGCGCTACAGGTGCCTGAGTGATCAGCTGATGACGTACCAAGCACATGCATAAGTCGACGTCTCAATTCACGGCCACCATTCAAAACCTTCTTCTAACAATACCTCAAAGTCAATAATAGCAGCATGGAATTAATGGCAGATACCCCAAATTCATCATGTATTGCCAAAAGTGCCGCGCTCCGCTTAAGCTAGATGGATCATTAGCAGACCTAAACCCAGCTGCATTTGATCTACTCGTTGGTCTGATAGCCCATCCAAAGAATGGTCGCATGCAACTAACATTTTCCAGCTACGTCCTCCCAGCAGCATCCGAAGCGATCGCCTTCTTCCCGCTTAACTTACCCCAACGATACTGAGAGGAGAGCACTATATGATAGAGTATCTAAGGATGCCGGACCGGCAACCTTTAAAAGAAATAGCAGTGCTTTGCGTGGCGATGGCCAACCTCGCGATAGTTCCGCCATGTCCTTCGTCCTCCTTACAGAGTCTCAAGTAGCACCTCCAAGGCTCACTCCTCCGGTAGAGTCCCAAACTCCGAGGCAGCAACGCCGAACATCGATGTCCAGTGGCCAACGTAATGACGGAAGGAAACCTACGCAACCCCACGAAGCCGAGCGCGTTAATAAACTTTTCGAGATCTTATCCGCGCGTTCAGATATAGACCATCCCGTCTGTGTTGAATGTACGGAGATGTTAGTAGACGGGCTCCAGAAGAAGCTAGAATCCACAGCACGGGAACGAGACGCTTACGCAGCTTTCCTCAAACAAGTCCAGGCCGATGTACCCAGCGAGGAGGACATTGTCGAATCAGAAAAGGCTGTGGAAATAGCGCGCAAGGAAGAGCAAGAGTCATTCAAGCAGCTATTGGCGCTAGAGAAAGAAAAGGCGACACTTGACCTCGAAATTGCAGCTCTCGAGGGGGAGTCGCAGGCACTAGATGCCGAGGAAGAGCAGTTCTGGAGAGAACGCAATGCATTTGCAGTAAAGCTCTCTGAGTTCCAGAACGAAAAAGACAGCATAAATTCCAAGTTCGATTACGACTCGCAGCTCCTTACGAAACTCCAGCGAGCAAACGTCTATAATGATACATTTTCAATACACCATGATGGTCACTTCGCGACAATCAACGGGCTTAGGCTGGGTAGGTTATCAGCAAAGCCCGTAGATTGGCCGGAAATCAATGCCGCTTGGGGCCAAGCATTGCTACTGGTCGTCACCGTTGCTGATAAGCTAGGGTACAAATTTGAGGGATACGAGCCGTTGCCCATGGGCTCAACATCCAAGATTATCCGCTACGATTACCCATCTCCATCTGCCAGTCGACTAGGCGGACACCGAAGCGGGCCTCCACCAGGACCCAAGAAGACCGTACTAGAGCTATTCTCCTCAGGCGACCTTCCCCTGCAGATGCTGTGGAACCGCAAGTTCGACCAAGGAATGGTGGCTTTCTTAGAGCTCGTAAGACAGCTCGGGGTCTTCGTCCATCAGCAGACGAAAGAAAGCAGCAGTCGGGGCGAGTACGCAGCAAACCCGCTAGCGCTCCCTTACAAGATTGAGGGAGACAAGATCGGCGACGACCGGATAGGCCACTTTAGTATTAAGTTGGGCATGAATAACGACGAGAGCTGGACCAAGGCATGCAAGTTTGCTCTTACATGTTGCAAGTTTCTGATCGCACACGCGAGCAACGTGAGTCACATATCAAACGTACGTTGATGTTCTAGCTAGCGCCTGGTTTTTATGATGGGTTAGAGATGGTGTTTGGCGTTGCGGGAAACTGGCAAGACGGTTTACACTGCTGTCATAACTAGGGCATTAATGCTGTTAGAGTCATTATATATTAGATATCCAATGTACTTTTAGGGGGCTATATTTGTATCAGTCTTTATTGCTCATTACTATACTTTTGTGGTTTAACAATTATAGGTGATGTTGCTACGGTATAACAGTCAAGCCTCAGATATAAATAAACTCCAGTATAGCTATATCTATGTAAGCTTTTATCTAAGTCCATCCACATCAATTTCACCAATATTCTTAGATTTTTAGACACAACTTGATATCATAGTGAGTTAATTATAAACTGTGATTACAAGTTAGAATATCGACTCGCTATGCTAATACAGTCTTCAGATAACTCAATCGTTTGACCCTTCTGATATTACTAACTTAACATCTCATGTATGTGTTTGACTTGGTAGACAATGATATCTCATGAGTGCCTAACATACTATGTAATATACTTCAGCTCCACCCATTACTCCATTCGACTTTATCATCCGCCTCGCCTTTAACCAACCTAGGAAAGGAACCCCTCGATCATCCCATGGACTATCACGACAGCGCCGACCACGGTTGCCGCAGCGATTGCGTTGGCATCAGTAATGGGGAAAGGGGGCAACGAATGATCTGAGCAGGCCGGTAGTGATAGTAGTTGTGGTAGTAGATGTTATTGCGGGGATGGTGACAGGATTCTAGATGAGACATCTAGAACAAAGACATGTTTAGTATGTATAGACGTAGAACCTCTTAGATAGTTTAGAGTTCCTTGCGGAACAACTTCGTTGTTTCCGTGCCGTTTGGTTCCACCTGATGGCGGATGATGGTTGTAATGGTGGCGGTGGTGGTGTCTATATGTCTTGTCCCAAGGCGTCTCTTTATTTAATCTTCGGTAGCATGCACTACACCGTCTTATTGGGCCCTCCTCATCACCCCCAAAATGCCACTTTTTTGTCAGTGGTCCCATCGACATCCCAGATGCATTTGTGCCGGGGGATACACCCAGTATATATGGCCACAGGTTCCCATAGTTAGCTTAGAATTGCTTGTGACAGGTAAGCTGTTTCCAGCGTCTCTTTCCCCGCCCCGTGACAGGCCCAGTTGTTGCTAATCATGTTGCTTGAAGTTTCAAGAATCCCCGCGTAGTTTTCATACGGACTTTAGTCTCGCCGACAAGGTGGATGTTATTCTGAATGAAGTGATCGCCTCCTATGTTTTGATCGTTGAGATACTATGGTACATGGGGTCTGCTCCAAAGTTTCTAGACAGAGGATGCTCTAGGAGTGCTGAGCCGAGCGGTATATCGAGGCATTAAGCCCGGCTCCCACTAATCCGGTTGTGTCAAGGGCCTTGTTCGGGACCAAATATTGTCAAAGTACTATTAGATTTTCTTTGGTAGTCTCCTCTCCTGTGAAGGTTGTTTCCCGACTGCCCAGCCAGTTGGTGATATGTAGTCAGGCAAGCACTTAATGAATAGTGGTCGATGACTGCCTAATGCTGTTTACTAGCTAATATGGGATATTGTGCTAGAGTTATTGATTTTGAGGTATTAAAGTTGTATTATCGTCGCGTAATTTTTATTAGATGTTGTAAGAAATATTAGGGGTTCTTCTGTCAATTATGAACATCTTTCGAAATTATGAGGAGGTACGGTTGCCATATGTATTCTACCTTCCGAGACAATTAAATTCAGCTCATTAAGTTTGTATTAAGTTTGCATTAAGTTTGTTGATTGTTTTACCTTAGGTGTACAAGTGCTTAAGTTCCTGCCTTGTCTATTGTATACAAGTGGAAGTTTTAGATCGCTATTGCATTATATCATCTTCATCAACGGTAAGAACCTTCCTTGGTGGTTGAGTCACACTTAATTGTACTATTAATTGCTGCAAGTACATGTTGCTCAACTTACTTCCTGAGGAAGCTACTGCTTTATGTAGGCATCTACCTACCTTAGGTACCTACCTAGGTAGGTATTTTCTGCCAGGCAGGAAAAGTCACCGCCCAGGACACCGGGTATAATTACGCTACCTGTTTGTCGCATCCAATCTGTTTTTCTTCCTCTCTTTCTTTCTTTACAACTCACCTCCTCAATAAACTTCAAATCTATACGTCATAAGTAACATAGTGACGAATGAACTAACTACCCAATACCAATAACCTACCATAATTTCTATTACATACCCTTTCACTTTAAACCCGATCTGGGATACTTCATTACTTATAAACTATTCTTAACATTATGCCAACTACATATGTCTCTCCTACAATTGTAAGTACGTTTTATTAGTCTGCCACGTCCACTTTCAAGAAATGGCCGGCTGACTGACTACCTAAAAGACTTTGTAGTTCTGGCCGCAACACCCATGTAGATTGACATCCCGGAGCAGGTGGAAACTCTCCCAGAAGCTATGGAGGATGTTCAGGTGGATGTCCAGGATACCACCGGCTTCATGTCCGTGGAGCAAATGGAAGACGATCTCGTCGACCATTTCGAAGCTCTAGCCAACACCAACTCCAGCGCCAGGGCTCAGACCAGCGTCAACGACAATACCAACGCTAGTCAGGCAGAAAGCAAAGCACAGGGCGACCAGCCAGGCTACGATACTTACATATAACCCACTATGGACCTGTTAATACAGGGACTTTTGACGATAACAATTCTGAGGTACTGGAAGTTAGCATCGACTTTAGAACTACGTACGTATCTAGCTATCACTCTTCATGCTATCCAATTGCTCACCCTAGTATAGATTCCTTGGTTAAATCTAAAATATCCTACAATATTATCGATGTAGTTTCCTAGGGACTAACTGCACACGAACAAGACCATTTCACCTCATGGTTCAAGCTATTTTTTATGCCGATCTTGAGTACCCCATACATACCGTACGGCAACTCCAAGATGCCAAAGACACACAGCGATACCTACAAAAAGCCTTTATCTAGGGGATTAAAGACTTTTGGGGAGTTTCCTGCTTCGTAATGATATCCCAAAGAAGTCTAAAGCAATACCAGACACAATAGGGCATGGAAAATTTCATCGCCATCACCTTAGCGCTAGAATGGGGGCGCAGTGAGACCCTCTCAGGGGAGAGCTACCTAAAGGTTGCTACTTCCTGATAAATAATTCCTCTCTATTCAATATTAGGAGGGATTCGGAACAAAGAAATGGTCCTGGATATAGAATCTGAAAATGGAGAAGAATCCGAAGAAGATGAAGAATCCACGGATAGCTCGTTATTCGGAGTGGTGGAGAAGATGATGCATTGGAGTCATTTCGAAAGGGAAGCGTGGTATTTATTAGGAATTATCAATGCTAGATTTAAGAAACACGGTCTGCACTAGGAATCGAAGATTGACTTGTGTAGAGCAAAGGATACTTTAATATGCAAGGTAGTTATATTTATAGGTTCCCATAGTTAGATAGCTTGGAGGTCTCTGCGGAATAACGACGCTGTCTTAGTCCTTCTTGCCCTATCTCGTAGTAACGAGAATAAATATACTCATATCAAATATCCCTTCTACGATAGCCAAGACCAGATATGTTCCTAATCAAGCGTTCATCAAATCTATTATCATTGGTTTTTATATAACTACCAAACCAAGAAAAAGGGGGAGGAATCTGGTGCGCTAGTCTCGCTCTAACCCACCGCCTGGCAATATCTTACTAATAGCTTTCTTAGCTCACCTTATCCCACTGGTTTTAAAAAAGTTGTAACTGATTATCGCCAACTCTTTACTGCTAGAATCTTGAATACCTAGGTAGACTTAAGTGAAGAGGTATTTGAATATAATTAAAAACTCAGCGCTTTAAAATTATCTAAACCTATGATATAATAGTTAGGGCTGACCGGTCATACAGACCTGCACTTAACCAATCAGTTACCTTTTTCTTCCCCAGAAAGTAAAAAGTAAAAAAAGTAAGCCCTATAGTGCATAACATGCAACCCACAACACTAAGTGGGCGTCCATGGCAAAAACTAAACGCCTCAGGCGGGGGTCGAACCCGCAACCTTGGGATACCTCTATAACAACTAGTCCGGAGAGTCCGGTCTTTTTTGGTTTTTTTGTTTGTTTTTTAAAAGTCCCACGCTCTAGCCAATTGAGCTACCAAGGCGGTAAATATGAGGTTCCGAAGTTTCGGAGTTTGGGTAGCCATGGGAATTTCATCGCTGTGAAGAGGCTTCATATACCTAAGGTATGTACGTATGTATGTACGTAGTGGTTTGGGGTTTTTGGACAACGTCATGATTTTTGATGGATTGAGAGGTGAAAAAGTTACCTTAATGGGATAGAGAAATGGACATTTTATGTAGTGGATGATTGAAAATACTGATGTTGTTGTCGCATAGGTAATAATATTATTCATACTAGGTTGTCCGCTAGCTACATTGCATAAGGAATTCATAATATATTACCCTACCTAGGAGGTAGGTATACGTTCAGACATTACCTAGTATAACTAACTAACTCTTCCTCTAACACCAAATACCTCAATCTCAAAGTACTCCCTCCGAACCCTAATCCAACCCAACCCAACCCAACCCAATCCGATCTAACCATTCCCATAACACGCCTTACACCCATTAACCCAAGCCAGTATCATAACAATCCAACCACCGCATCAAAGTCTCTTAGCCCCCCTCCTCGCCATCATATCATACCGATCCGGGAACAATATACTATTCGCTAGCCTCAACAACTCCGCCTCAGCTCTATCCACACATCCTGCCTTCTCGTCCCACGGCAACAGGCCCATGGACCTGAGACCCTCCTCTCCGCCCGCGTCGTTGACGTCCTGGACCCCGGGTCGGCCCAAGTACTCGCGCTCGCCGCGACGTCCGCCGCTCTCGAAGTCGGGCGCCGGGTCGCCGAGGAGAAACGCCTTGCGCTGCCGAGCTAGATACAGTGCGTTGGTCTGCGTCAATGGACACGCAGGGACGTACAGCACGCTGGAGTCTGATACTCCGGCGTGGACAGCGTCGGGCGCATGTACAGCGTCCGGATGCCACAGCACGTAGTCGCCGGGCTCGACGTGTGGAATCGACACCATCGTCTTATTCAGTCTAAGATGCGGGTGTAGAGCATCGCTTAGCTCCTGAATCCCGCTCCCTGGCACGGCACCCTGAATAACGCTGTTCTGCGCCACGTGCAGCTTCCAGTTATCCTCGTGGAGGAAGTTTGGACCTGACTTTAGGCGTGGAGAGAAGAAGGGGCGGAGGAGAAGATATGCGGTTGTGAGTTGGAGCATGGGGCAGGCGAGTAGGGAGCCGCCGCCGGGTGGGATCGAGGATAGCGAAAGCCAGCCTTGGAACATTCGAAACATGCTACACGAACCGGCGCCGTTGTAGAGGTCCGAAGTTACACGAAGACGGGCGCCGCTATCCCATGGGTCGTATTCTTCCCATCGCCCTTGGAAGATTTTGGCGTAGGCGCCTGCACGTCCGTAGCCGTCCGACTCCCACCTTTCTACGCTCCCGTTATCTATGTGCGGACCAGATGCGAGGAAAGTATCGCCGGGTTTCCGCATTCTAATGCGGTCTGCATAGGCTACTGCGTGATTGCTACTCACGAGGGCCTCCTCATTATTCGAATGCCACACTCTCATAATAAATCTCTGTACTTCGAGTAGTCGTGAGTCGGCACGAGCTCGAACTTGCCCCGGACTCCAAAACAACTCGTATAGTTGCGGATCATGACGCGGGATGCCTTTGATAGGCGGGTTGTGTCTTTGGTACTCCTGCGTCTCCTCCTTCCATGATACGGCTACATTCGACGGGACAACCCTTCGTATGATAGCAACGCCTCTCTCCTTTAGTGCGTCCCGGAAAATACCCACCTTAGCTAGATCATATATATCTAGGTAGTCAATTGATGGTATTATATCGGACTTAGCGGCTGCGATGCGTTCTGCCTCTTTCCTCAACCGACCAAGAAGACGATAGAATGAATCGGCAACTGCTTTCTCGTTGCCAGCAATCAATTTCCGCTTGATATTGGCGAATCTTTCGGGAAGCGGAATAGGATCCAAGTCTGGTAGAGATAAGTCGACTGCCATGGCTACCTACTTCTATCGCGTAAGGTCCGATTTAATTCTTCAATTTCGTAGCAAAGATATATCAAAGGAATTGCTCTTATCCCATAAATTTAAAGCAGAACTCCTTGTTACCTGACCAAAATAAATGTATGAGCAGAAACTCATATGGGAGAGCCATCCTCTTAGTAGATATGAGAAGGACAGCGACGACACACTCGTGGGGGTGCATAATCTCCCGTGGGGGGCACGAGTACTAGCCATCTGTAGTCGGACGGCGAAGTAAAAGAGAGGTTTTGTTTGGGTCGTTTGGATATGGAGCGGCTATACTAGGCATTCCTAGGCATTCCTAGGCATTCCTAGGCACTCTTAGGCACTCCTAGGCATTGAGAAGCGAAGACCCACGGGTGCGGTCTAGAAGGGATCAAGGAAACGCAATCAGACGTTGTCACGTTGTCTAACGTTGAACTGCATCTGATATCCTAGGTGCGTTAATCTTCGGCAACAGACTCCGAAATAGAGATCTCTTGGCTTGGTACCCAGACCCTGGCACCAATTTACTAGAGCCGATACGGGTCTAGGGCGTCTTGGCTATTGGTTAGCCCAATGCGGCTCCTGAACGACGCTCCCACGGGCCGTTGGACCGATCATACGCTGAGTAGGCTGGACATGTCAACCAGTGTCAACAAGACAGAAAAGCCTCAAGCATCTCGGATATGTTAGACAGCCTCCCGGGCACACCGACGTCGTATCATCTTTATTTTCCGAAGATTATACGGGAGCTTATGCAATCATGTAAATTGATCATGTAAATTGAGATGCAGTTCCCGGTGTCCCTAGATTATATTGGTGTGGCGGTTTTACCTCGTTTTGATCGGCGAACCTGTATTTGAAGATCCGTGGCGTCGTTGGAGATATTACTCTTCCTCTTCGCCGGTTTCCTTGATGAATCCACCTGCGTAGGTTTGACGTCTGACGGGGAAGCAGTCTTTGCATCCCCGGACGTCGCATCTGATGCTCCCTCATTTATTAATACGTAAGCCACTTTCTCAACATCAACAGCATCAACCCTTAGCCGTTTGGTTAGCATCTGAGCTGCAGTACTTAACTCCTGATACTCTTTAGCGTTATACTTGATGGGAGACTTTTGTCCATTACGACATAGCCAATAGAATACTTCGTCCGAGAAGAAGATGACACCATGAGAATCATGCACCGAGAGCAAAAGGGATGCTGTAGCAGGGCCAATCCCTTTCAGATTAGTGATGGTGCGTACTGCTTTAGACGTATCCAAGCTGGTTCGATATTCTTCTACTGCTTCCCGGATAATGCGCTCTACAAGTGCATCGTCATTTGAGGAAACGAGTTTCATGAGTGTCGGGCGGAATTTGCCATGGCGCCTGAACTAATAAGTTAGAGCCAGGGCGGCCCGAGAATAAGACGTGCCGGATGGCGGTATGGATTCAAACAAACCAGACTAGACTTACAGCTTCCAATCAACCAATGTTTTAACATCGTTAAGCGTCATTGTACGCTTTGACTCCTCTGAGCCATACGTGGTGACGGCATCGCGGTATCTGAATTGATCCAGCTCCAACAGAGTCTTTTGACCGGGCTTGGCTATTTGTAGTGATTAGCCCCGCGAATATTGGCATTAGGTATATGACTGTTTAGAACACGTACTCCCTTTAGCTAACGATATCGACTCAATTAAAGACTCATATCTGCCTAATAGTTGTTGGAATTGCTCAAGCGAGATGTTGTTTGGGAGTAGACTCTGGTCCAACATTTTGACACTAGTTACTATTCTATTCTTTTGTCGTATGTTTTAGTTAAAGATAGTTAATCTGATTTATGAGCAATCATTTATTTGAAACAAGACGACTTTATGTGCTGATATATTCAAAATTATGAAGCTGAATTATGTACCAAACACAGTCAGGTAATAGTAATGATATACCAATATGTAAATAGTATATGTAAATAGTAAGTGTCAAAACTAATATGTCCTACATAGTAAATCATATACGGATGTGTTAGGTAATACCTCCTAACTTTTCAGATAAAAAAGAGTAAGTGGCCCGTGTGTTTGCCCGAAACGTTCTAGAAGTAAGAATGGCCCCCAAAATAGATTTAGATTCAACTTAGCGCCGAAGATCCCTGCTCTTCTCTTGCATCGGCTTTTAAGTCTGTTAGTGTAGAAAAAAGTAAAATCTATTTCCTTCCAAATCCATCCTGAATCCCCGAATTTTCCCATCTTTCGCAACACCTAACCGCTATCCCGATCTCCATACCTCAGTCGCTAGTTAAAGAGGGTCTTTGCATTACCTTCAAGTCTACCTTCCTTTTTTTCTTCTATTAGCATAATGGGTAACGTAAGTTGTCTTATCCCGCTTTCCCAACGCTCCTATTCGGAGAAGAGAGGAGGAGGAGGAGGAACAGCCTGAAAACCGGCCAACTCCGAAAATAGAGGACAACAACGTACTAATTCTCGCAACTAGGGAGCCAAGGCTGCGCAGAAGCGCGAGCGCAATGCGAAGGACAGCAAGGTCGCCAAGTCGCAGTTGAAGTCGGTAAGTCTTGATATGACGATCTTATTTATAACGAAGATCATCTCCACTGACTTACATGGGATCTATTAGAATGTCAAGGCTATGGATATCCAGTGCCAGATCTGCAAATCGACCTTCTTGAAGACTACCCGTGCGCCTCAGTACGTAATCCTGTTCAATATTTACCTAGCAGTGCCCAGTTAGAATTCACCAACTAACCGTACTCTCCTAATAGGCTCAACGAGCACGCTGTCAATAAGCACAACAAGTCCATCGCCGATTGTTTCCCCGGCCACGACGCTCCTCCAGCTAAATAGACAAAACGATGGTCTGTATCCGTACGGAACGATCAAACAGGTGAACAATGGGCATAGCGATTGGCGCACTTGGTGTTTAGCAGAGAGGTCTTATATGGGTGTGTTGCTATGAGGTCACGACGCGACTTTGATTAATGAGATTGCACTGAGTTAACTGAGATTTTTCTCACATCTTGATGATTCGCTTTTTGTATATGGTAGTGCACACGTTATTAGTGTGCTTCCACTGCTTGCGCCTGGGTGTTGATATCTACAACCCCTCCGCTCGCAGGGGTGTTGGCATTGTTCGACGTTCCTTGCGCCTCTTGCTTCTGAGCCGCCTCTTTGGCCTGCTGCTCTCGTATGTCTTTCAAGATGTCCGGATACCATCTCTCCCCCACATCTGGGTGACTCTTGACTCTATTTCTTAGTGTTGCCTCGCCCAGCGTCGATGCTACACCGCCCTTCCTAAAGGTAAACTCGACATCATCAAGCCTACCCCCATTCGCTTCCAGTACTTTCTGCCGCCGCTGCTTGATCCCCTCTGGCACTTGCCCGACGCCGACCTCGTCCAGCTCCTCGAACGTCGTAGAGGCTCGGACGCCCTGGAAGAATGGGATCGAGAATCTCGCACCCTTACCCGCCTCAGGTGACAGGACCCTATGGGTTGTCGACGCGCAAACTCCTTGTGTCAGGGCCTCTAAGCCTTGTCCGATAGCCACTACTAATGTGCCGTCGATCGGTGGGCAGTCGATCCATTTACCTTGCATATTTTGGACCTGCAATCCCCTATGGTTGCTTGCTTGCAATAGATAACTTGTCAACATACTATCCTTATGCGGACCAACTCCTTGGCCTTCAACACCATCACCCAGCCCTAATTCGGATACATCGGGATATTTAACGATCTTCAACTTGTGCTGCTGATCCGGATCGAAATACCGGTTAAACGCATCGGAAGGTAGCTCGATGGCCTCTGCGATCAGGGATGTGAATTCTATCGAGATAGTGCCCATGCGTCTTATGTAGTCAGTGTAGACTGCGCGGAAGTTGGGCAATACCTCTTGCGAGGGCCATTGATTAGGCGCGAGTAAATTCTCATATAGCGGCGCGTCGGACTTCGGGATAGGATGTTCTGTAGACAGGTCGATCTGTTCCCTATGGTCTATCTTGCCGGCTGTAATCTCGGCCGAGAGCTGCGAGTAGCCCAGGAATGACGGCGCGTTCTTCATCTCGATCTTAAGCCTTCAAAGCAGGATTTACATGAGCTTATAGAATCACTTATACCCCTTGCATATTCTCGTTATTAATATGATATATTTGGACTTACTTTTCTTCCTTTGGTATGTCGAAAAACGCCTTTCCTTCCGATATGACTTGTTGCCAGAGCTCGTTCGGAATACCGACGTTTTTAAGATATAGAAAACCAACCTCCATTAAGGCATGTCGTAGGTCGGCTAGAAACTGCGGTTTTGTCTGCGCATCCCTAGAGAGGGCTAGATCTAAGATGGGGATGGAAGTGAATGACATTTTGGATACTTCTAATAACTAATTAGTGGTATTAGTTAGACTGCCGGATCTAGGTATGAGAGTAATTTAGGAGGGATCTAAAAGTATCAATGTCTAAGTTGAATATACATATATTATATAGGTAGGTACCTTATTACATTCATTAGGTAGTCTAGAGTTGTCGTGAATCTCATGATGTAGCCCCACTTCCTTTATGGCGTCATTCCGCTTATCGGAATTAATTATTTGAATAGAGATAAAAATTGAAACTTTATCTAATATTGGAGATACCTAACCTCCTATAGCAATGCATTATGTAAGCGTCAGTTATACTAATAATAGAGTTAACTCTATACGAATCGAACCTTGAATATTTCCCAATACAATATCATTTTCTTTACATTAAGAAGATATCAATACTATTTCCTCCACCATATTCTATTTTTAATCCAGATAAAGTTTCGAAACATTCCCTTTTCGAGTTACTTGTTTTAAGCCCCTATTCGTCTCTCGCATACTACCAGTTCGCATAGTAAGATTATATATCAGTCATAGGACTAGAAACGACGCCCTCTGACTATCAACCAACTCAAACAACAATTACGTGTTTGCTCTCTAGTAAAGTTCAATAGCCACAACTAGCAGAATCCTATACCAAGCCATCCTCCACATCTAGTATTTCGCTAGACAAAAGATGAGCTTATAAGTCTAAAGAACAAGTAGGTATTTTAACAAACGATCAATGGCCGTGTTGGAACGGCCTAGCGAAGCATTCATAACTCCGCCACACCTATGAACTACTCTACCGCATCATTATACAATATCCTTATGAAAAATCGCTAGGCCCTGGGGTTCGATTCCCTAGATGGCCACTTCACACTTTTTTTTTTCACGAGAACCCCAACCATTACGCAAGCGTTTAATATATTTTTGAAAACATTCCACATTGGAGGTCAAGTGGTTCTCAGGAGCTAAATCAAATTTAGAAGTAGCTTTCTTTGAAAATTTTTACTTAAGGAGTGTAAGGATATTTTCATGAATAGGTATAACTAGCTACATCTAATGATGCGCTAAAAACATATAAGGAGACTTTTCTTCTATGACATCGTTTCTATTTATGCTGCCTCCTTTGCCAATGGTAGAGGCAGTTGGTATAAAATTGGAGGCAAACGGTGCTGGTTCTGTTCGTGCTTGATCCATACGAAAAATCAAAATTTTAATTTAATTCCGCATTATAGACCATGACTTACAATTGTCTAACTAACACAGATTACTCTTACATCAAAACTATAGTTAATAGTAGACAAATATGGGGTTCCCTATCCTCACGATATCAGCGTATGGATGACATGAATCGATATACTAGATATTAGTAAGTATTCGACGACGACTTCTCCAGATCAGAATCCAGGGACAAGATTTAGATAGCAGATAGAAACGTCATTACTAAGCATACCATGTTAGAGCTATTATTATCAAGGTTATTAACAGAACCATTAAGTTCAATATGCGGGCTCTCGAAGATATTGAAATAGCAAATAACCAAATGGGGAAATCATGTAGATATCAGATAAAAACTAGTCATCTCTAGAACTTCGATCGAGTAATACATAGGTACCTACCAAGGATAGAAGAGAGGCTCTTGGATTCTCTTCCAATAAGAACTCTCAAATTAAAAACCAATAGCCGATATGCCCCTCAATAGATCTCCTAACCCCTGGGCAATATGTATATCAGTATTTGCAAATCGTACCATATGGGCTGATGTGTACGAATTCGGTAACCGTGTAAAATATCCGAAAATAAACGTACACAGTGTAACTGGATATTCATAAATCTTATCATAGAATCACCTTTGCCGGATGCGAACTTATAAATTGTCGTATTAGTCTCTTCAACTCGCGAGCGCGTTTAGTAGTAGAGCTCGCCATATTCCTATTCTTTACAATGTCGGAAGTCTTCGACGTGGTGATCGTTGGCGGGGGAACAGCCGGACTCGTGCTCGCTACTAGGCTCTCCGAGGACCCTAACTTGCAGATATTAGTCCTCGAGGCCGGCGAGGACTTAACCGAGGATCCTAGAGTCAGCACCCCCTTTTTGGGAAGTTCCCTCACCCGTAGCTCCGCCGACTGGCAATTTAGAACTGTCCCCCAGGTATGTTTTATGAATTAAATACCTGTATATAATAAGAACATCGGCTCATTAGCAACTGCAGACAGGACTGGGAAATCGAGAGACGGTTGTTCCTCGTGGACGATTGTTAGGGGGTTGCAGTGCACTTAATAACTTTCTCTTCGCTGCACCATCTGAATACAACGTTAACGCCTGGGCTGACCTGGGTAATTCCGGCTGGGACTGGGCGTCCTTCTCTGGTTCTTTACGGAAAGCATATACCCTGACGAAGACTTCTAAGGAAACAGAGGGCAATGGTCCCCTCGAAATTAGTTTTCCTGAAGATACCGAGTGGCTAAGGGTATGGAAAGCTACACTAGCCAATCTTGGATATCCTACGTCTCTAGATTCGCTTTCTGGGGAATTCTATGGCGCCTATTTGTCTGCCATTAGCGTCGATCATGCCACCAAGCAGAGAAGCTATTCTGGCAATGCATACCTTCAGCAAGCACGGTCGCGGCCTAATCTAGCTGTTTATACCGAGACGCATGTCGAGAAGGTCCTTTTTGATGGATCGAACCCTACCAAGGCGACCGGTGTCCAGTATAGTCAAGGCGGATTAACCAAGATAGCAACAGCTCGGAAAGAGATCATACTCAGTGCCGGCGCAATCAACTCCCCCAAAATACTCGAACTATCCGGTATTGGAGACGCAGAGCTCTTGAAGTCACTCGGAATCAACGTGGTAGTCGATAACAAACATGTTGGCGAAAACCTTCAAAACCATCCTACAGTTGGCATGTGCTTCGAAGTCGTGGACCAGAAAGGCTTCGAGACGATGGACGGTATCCTACGGGGCGAAGCACCTGCTTTCGCCGCCGTTCAAGCAGATTACGAGAACCAGGTCGGATTTGGGACAAGAGGTAACCTCGAAGTCGCGGCACAACTACCCGTGCCCGGGATCGAAACGCCTGAAGGGAAACGGGAGATGGAGGAACTACTACTACGTAATAAGGGGCTTCGAAACGACTCAGAAAAGACGACAGAAGCTTTTGCAAAAGCGCACGAAAACTTCGTCAGCTCGGTTCTCACCTCGCCTACCAAGCCTTCAGCTACATACCTCACAATCCCCGGCTTCGCAACCTACGCCGCCGACGGCACAATAGCCGGCCCACCCCCCGGCAGCGAGAAATACTACTCCGCCACGATAACCCTCGCGCACCCTCTCTCCCGGGGCTCAGTACACATAACATCCGCCTCCTCCGCCGCCATCGACCCCAAGTCCCTCACGCACCCCCTCGACGTCGAGATCCTCGCGCGCCACCTGCACTTCCTACAAGCCACCATCACAACCACCGCCCCATTCGCCAACCAGCTCGTCGCCAACGGGAAGCGCAACCCGGGCGCCCCCGTTCCCTCTCTACCACCATCTTCTTCACCCCCATCTTCATCCCCATCGTCCCCCCACGACCACGATCTCGAGGCCTCTCGACGCTACGTGCGCTCGTGTGCGACAAGCTCGCACGACTTCTCAGGGACGTGCGCTCAGATGGCGCTCGCGCTCGGCGGCGTCGTAGACGACCGACTACGAGTCTACGGGTGCGCGGGCCTGCGCGTCTGCGACGCCGCCGTCTTCCCCATCGGCGTCGGCGCTTGCTCCGCGGCCAGCGTCTACGCGCTTGCCGAGCATGCGGCGGAGATGATTAGATCGGACTTGGGGGTCTGAAGATTAGGTACATACCTAGGTACATACCTACATACCTAGGTAGGTATTAAGGGGAAGGGGGGAAGGGGGGGAAGGGGAGGTAAAAGCTGCTAATGTTATTGTTTTGGAAAGGCTGCCTTGGCTTGGAGTTTCTCGACGGGAGCTTCTGTAAAAAAAAAAATTAAGTCGTGGTATTGGGATTTGACTAGGTTTAACTGTTTCGATTTACTGATAATTTAATACCTATAATGTATTTGCCCTGCTTGAATAGAGCTGAGCTTGTCATCTAAATCTACCCGTCTTGCTCCTTTAAACTTAGGTACTTTAGCGTGGTTGTAGACAAGTAATCAAGCATCGAGTTCCTTAGGGGGTTTGCTTATACCCCGAGATGCTTGATGTTGTCGAGATGGTTCTTTATTAGCCCCTGTCTCTTCCTGTAGATGGGGAAGTAATACTCGAACGGACAACTAACTATAGCTGTAGCAAGGATTGTGGCTAATTAGAATCGGTGGCGCTTTAGTATATGTCTTTTACGGAATGTGTTTATTACCTATTTTAGCCAATTAGGTCAACAAGTTTTTAGTTAAAGGAGTAGAACACGTCCCATTATGATGTAAGATATTAGGGATAAATGTAGCGACAAGGAGTATCATGTATTGTGATTAAAGTAGGTAACTTTGGTATTTTGATTTTTAATGTCCTCTGTGACCTGTCATACATGACAGGAGTGAAAATAAGTCTTCACTAATAAATACACCAGATGCGCTTTGGTGCATCTAATTCAGTTCGATCAACTCCCAGGTCTAAAGAGTCTTAGCAAGTAGCTAAAGACTCATTGATATGAGATATCTAAGGCTGCCTTGATATGAAACTCAAACGGCAAAGCCTCCAAGTACCTCATAGGTGTCCTTAACCCCCTTCCTCTCAAATAATTGGAGGCAGTGCTCAACAAGCAGCTATAATAATGGTATCTGCAACTCTCTCCTTATATATTGAGCCCTGCCTACGAAGTACTGGTGGAAGAACAAATAGTATCGATACTATAAGTCGCGTGCGTCTCTAAATTGGCATCTTACTTTTCGACGGATGGCACTCATGATGCTGAAACAACCGAGTTTGATGAGAATAGCTTTGTAACCTGGTAAAACATGTCCTCGATCGGTGGCATCGCGAAAGCCGGCGCAGTATCGAATAGTTCTGAAAGTTTTTGTGGTGGAATAACAGCCGAATAAGCCTCGTCACCGTCCCCGTCGGCCGTGGCATCTGGTATGTCAACATCCATTTCGTCCCCGCTTGCTGACTCATCGTCTTGTCCAGAAAGCAATGCCAAAGAAGGCCTGTCTTCACGAGGCTCTTCGGTGTTCACTTGGTCAAGGTTGAGGTCAACTAGTGGCTGGGCAAAGGCAAGGGATTTAGTGTCCATGCCTTCGCTGACTGACCATAACTGGGCGGCAGAGTCGAGAATAAGGTATCCACTAGACCCAACTGATGCAACTATTGACGTGATAGAGTATGGGAACCTGTGAATTATCTCCGGCTCGCTTCGGTCTGGAGAGAACACTGCTAGCTCAGAAGTGGGGAAGAGCAAGCCTGGCTTGGCCCGTGAAACGGCTACCGCGAACGTCGAAGTCTTCTGGTCAACTGCCATATGCGTCAAGATAGCTGCGCTTGGACCGAATGAATCCTCGTTTGCCCTCAGTTGAACGCCGTACAAGAGTTCGTCGGATACTAAATCATACACTATAAGACGATCTGAAAGTACGATTAAGCATGAAGTCAGGACTTTGACATCGCGGATTTCCCCGGTTATTAATCCGTCAATCGAATTCCGAATCTTGCCAGACTCTGTATCGATGACGTGGATTGCCGAGCCATGGACGGTTCCAATAGCACAGACTATGGTAGACCCATCTTCGGAGAAAGAAACTGCACCTGAGCCTCGTATGGAACTGCTGGTAGTTATTGCATCTGGATCGACCGGTTCCTCGTTTTCCTGAAGATATATAGTTTGGGAGCATCCCCAGCTGTGTAGCTGGCGTCCCAGTTTGCCCTTGACTAGCACTCCATCGCGTTGCCTGATCGTTGGTTCCCACAACCTAACAACTCCATCTTCACCGATAGTAGCGAAACGGTGCGCATGTGGATCCGCGGCTAGGCCGTAAATAGGTTCGCTTCGGCCTGTGTAATGAGGCGCGTTGATACGAGACACGAGCTCCAGACTCTGGTCTTCCGAAGAGGCGGCCCAGAATTTGAGGTAGACCTCACGCCTTTCGGCAGGGGATCCTTTTATAGAGTTGATATCCCGCGAAGGCGGCTGCCACTCATCAGTAGTGGCGAGCCACTTCCCATCTGCTGAATATGCCATGCCGGTGACCCGAGGTTCTGTTATAGCATAACCTTTAGCTGTCGTATTCACATCCGTCGGGTTTGTTCTTGTCAGGGCTTGCTTCGAGATGCCTTGCAAAGTAGTGAGGTCTACTGTTTGTATCAAAGGAGTAGAGGGGCCGCTCCCAGAGTGGCTTAATCGTTGCCCATTCCCTACGCAAAAATGAATCCGCGAGGAATCTACTGGACTGACTGCTGCCGGGATCTTTAATAATCGATCGGGAGTATACTGGCCTATTCTTCTGACTAGGTCATCCTTAGAAAGCGGCTGTGGGGAAGTGAGTGTCTGGATTCCAGATATGTATGTTGTCGGCTTCATTTCTGCTGTTGATAAAACGATGACTGAATTATCGTCTAAATGGAGAACGTATGCAGAGCCGCGCTTCGAAACGACGATATTCTCGATTGTCGCAGAGAGATGGGGTAAGAAATCCATCTTCTGCGTGTCTAGCTGCCATAATACCAGTGTCGATTCGGACCCTCCGGAAATGATGTAGTGACCTACAATCTGAGTTAGAGATCTATTATAAATATCTGAGAATGAAAAAGCTTCATACCATCTCGCGACCATTTGATAGTGTGAACAGCCTTGCGATGCCAGTGATACTTGCGGGGTTGAAGGGAGCCTCTATGCCCCTTGGAGCCATGTAACCGACGGATTTGAGGTAAGATATCGTTGTAGAAGAATACAGCTCCACGAGCACAGCCTACGACGATTTCTACTACGGGTTCATTGCCAGCTTCCATTTGCGTCTTTCGATTGAGATGTATACGGTCTGCTGCTCGTACATCTAAACATATAATCTCGTCGCTACAGTCAAGGGTAAAGAACTCGTATTCGAGCTCGCTGACATGTTTGATTGACGAGGTCTTTAGTGTGCCAAGGAGAATGTTACGATCTGTTGATGCTATTAAAGCATATCCGTTTCGAACAGAACGTAGGTTTGAAATAGGCATGGGCTGCGTTAAGAGCGGGTAGGAACTCTTGAACTTGGATCGGCGGACATCACAGGCGACGATCCGCCATTTCTTCTTATGTTCGATAGCAACTAACGGCACATCCTTGAACTCTGTGCCAAACTTGATATGTTCGACAGACATGTCAGATAGAAAGCTACATTGTAGCTTAAATAATGTCTCGGAACCTTGGCCGTTCGTCCAATCAATCAACCAGACATGACCATCAGACGAAGCAACCCATATATGATTTGGCGAGCTTGGAGATATGCAAATAGACATGATCTGTCCCGGTGTATTCTCCACATCGAGTTCTTCCAGCTGAATCTTGCGTATTAGAAGAGAATCTGCTGTCGAGTATACCTGAATGGAGGTGTTGTATGCAAGTATTAAATGCCTAATATCCATGTTAGCTCTTAGCCTCGCAATCCTACCCGTAGCTCCCCGGGAAGGTTCTACTCAGCGCTTACTTCTCATCTTCCGTCAATATAGGGTCTACGTCCATAATTCGGCCGCCCATTGGCTTTGAAACCCTCCAAGTCGACGAGTGGTCTCCATGTTTCTCTTCTTCTGTCCGGTGTCGCCTCTTCTCTAATTTGTCAACGAAGCTTTCAGACTTCAAGATTGTGCTGGTCATATTGCCGGTTTCTTTTGACGATACTGCTGAGCCCTTTCCTTTACCCCCTATGGCGTTCTGTGAGTCTCGCTTCGGTCGTTTCCTTTTACCGTGCTCGTCTACATCCCTTTTGCGTTTGTTTGCACTAAGATCCTAATAAATAAAAGCTGTAGGTTAGCAAGATTATATAAGATTCTTCCTGGCGCAAATTTCGCTTACTTCATTGATTGCTATGGGGGCCATTTTGAAAGCAAATGCTGTAGATCATTAGAAGGCAGCTTTTAAGCGTCGCCAAAATTGACAAACCAAAGGTAACAAAAAGTTCACGAGATTTTTTTGCGGGACAACGCGATAAGGCGACCCGATAAGAGAGTTTTAATGGAACTAGTTTAAGTGGTACGATCTAGATAAAATAGATTGCTTGGCATTCATTTATCGATAACAAATTTCCATTCAACTTCTCTTTCGCAACTTCGAGGTTTCTTTCACAATCATTGGCCACATCACGCTCTTTTTCGCAACGGTCAACTACACATCGCGCTTTGAGCCACAACTTCACAGAACGATTCGATTCTAACAACGATATTCACGATATTCTACGAGACGCATATTTCTGTTCGACAAAATGATTATTCCTATTCGATGCTTTTCCTGCGGGAAGGTAGGCGTTTGTCATTCTCCGGCTAAACTTGTGTTGTGTTGTGTTGACCGAAGGACAATAGGTGACGGGTGACCTTTGGGAGCGATATCTTAAGCTCATTGATGAAGGCGTCCTGGATGGGTTCGTTGCGCTCACTCTTTATATTCACACTTTGTACTAACCAGTTCTCAAAGCGATGCCATGGACTCGCTAGGTTTGAAGCGATACTGCTGTCGGCGAATGGTCATGACCCACGTTGATCTCATCGAGAAACTACTAAAGTAAGACAGAGCATATTTGGAGTCAACTGAGATCTTTGAGAGCAATGTTCTAACATATATGTAAGGTATACCCCTGACGGACGAAACGATAAGAAGATCCAACTACAGCAGAGATAAGCTCCGATCGCTTAGTATGGATGAAGTTTGGTAGTTTTGATGATGGAGATAATTGGCACAAAAATTGCATTCTATGGCGTTGGGCTGGCAGTTCCGGGATGGCGTATCAAGACTGTTTAAGTGGCGTCACGACAGTTTAGATAGACTGCAATGTAAACTTATCTGCTTTGGATATTGGAGATGTCCGTGCTGATAAATCCGCCTTGAGGCTGAAGCAAGCCAGACCGCTTCGTAATTATACGCGAGTGGCCTATCCATATGACCTCAAGTTAGCGTATGCTAAATAGCCGCGAAGAAGAACGCCATGCATGTTAGCCGCGGCTACATTCCCAATCTGCTTCTGAACTAATTTTCAACCATAGCTAACATCCCTATGATGTTTATCTTTCTTTGTTTGTCTTAAAACTTCGGGCCACAAATTGTCCATCACGAACCGAACCCGCTCTTCTGCATCTCTCCACTGGAAAAAGGGTCCGATCAGTGCCTTGCTTTAATTATGGGCTATATTGTTTTCGCTTGTCGTGTCATGACTGATCATCTTAGGGGATAGTGCCACGTTGGCTTTTGCAGTGGCGCCGCCCAAACAGCCGCAAGCGCTACACATTGAACTTGTATTGGACTCATATCTCCTAACCGGCGTCAAATTCCTTCTTGGTGACCGCATGTTTACGCATCGATTCCTCGCTAAAAAGCAAACATGCCCTTTTGACGCTAATTGATGCACTTTTGTTCTAACATCTTACGCGGCAAAGAATACCTATCAAGGTATGATATTTCTATATTCTCCTTACAATATGTATATTGTGAGCTACTTTAGATAAGTTATATGAAAATTGGCAAAGTATTTAGTTGGTTTGATATAAAAACGAATTCAATGTTTCCACTTGAATCTACCTACTTGGGCAAATCTTCCGCAAATTATTAAGCAAGGTCTTTAATTGTTAATGAGGGTAAGAAAAAAAAGAATTAAAAAAAAAAAGGCAGGATTGTATGGCAAGGAGCTCCCAGCTTTCCATGCAGCAAACGATATGCAGGTTGGTATCACGGCGCCTATGCACGCACGACTAACACCACGTTCTGGAAGAAGCCCCCAATGGATAAGCGAGTGTGGATCTTATATGCTATGGTACGTATCATCCGTATCATAACTAGGTACCTACATGAAATAGGATGCGAGGGATATACAAACACAAACGTACCTCTTAAAAGATCTAGTTAGTGATTTAACATTCCAAGGGAATTGGAATTGCAAGTAGTTATTATCCTCAAGAGTATAAAAATGCCTAACTAGACTATTTACTACGAACTGGGCCCATTAATTGGTATAGGTACGTTAATATAAATGCTCCTTTTTAGTATACATTTTAGTTAGAAGCTACCAATATGCATGTCACTAGGTAGGTACGAATTAAACTAACAGCATATGCCTAGCTAAAAGTTCCTTTGCCTTACGTGATTACCATTGGCGAACTTTAAGACCAGCCAATAGAATTATAGACAAATACCCCAAGCGGCACTAACTAAAAAATAGACTAGAAGGTCTAGGTAGAGAAAGGTCGAGTAGCAGTTCGAGGTAGGTACGGTATACCTAACGGACAATGGTCCGGGACTTTCAATACTTTCCAACGGTCTTGTAACAGGTAACTACAACTTTTCTCATAGTAACACAAATGGAACCAAGGAAAAATCAGATTCGTCAGCTTCAACCCGATAAGAACAACTACTATGTAGCCAACGAATTGGCCCCATCATTACATTCTATAGTATTGCACTCTATAGTAGTATCAATGGCCACTCACCTGAGAAGCAGAATATTGTCAACGGCCGTATAGAAATTGTAGCCCCCAACAGCTCTACTTGTAAGACAAGGCAGCGGTTAGGGAAGCTAGCACCTTTACACTTTTGCGCATTTGTCGTCGGCTCTAGCGGTGACATCAAAAAGAGTCCAAAGATTCTAGCCAACATCGCTTTCCACATCAGTCATATTTCTGTCCTTATTGATGCAGTGATGCCGGAGGATTCGGGATGCCGAGCCTAACACGGCTTTGATGGTCATTCGAGAAGCACCATGGCCTTGTACGGATGTGTATGCAGTGTCGAGGGCCCGCAATACGTGATCGGCCCAACCTAACAGCAAGGTGCACACACCCTCTCGACGCTCATACACCAATAATCCTCCTCGGCCCACATGGGTAGACCCAGTTCGAGCTAATAAAAGACGCGGTACCAGATCTTCGGGAACACTATCATACCGGGTTATGCCCAAGGATTGGTTCTTACGATGCATGAAATACTCGCAACTTTTCGCATCGGCCTTTTTTCACACATTTAGTGCCATAGTACATATGGCATGTATGCTGTAGCATATTGGGCAGCCTTGTGATTACATCAAGATATCTTTGATATTTGGTTGGGCGATAGACGAACTCACCGTCTCTCGTATCAGGTCAAACTATTTGGGTGTACCCGACTAGTTTTATCCGTTTCACACACAGGCAAATATATCCCACGGTGTATTGTATTTACATCGCCTTAAGCCATACCAAATCACGCCGGTTACGCAACATATTAGCAACGGATTCAACTGTCGTGATACAAACCGAGGGAAGCGAGGGGAAAAAGCAATATGGAGCCTATTGCGCTCGGTCTACGTTATCATGTCGCCAATTTATTGGCTACATCATCGTGAACTACAACGGTCAGTCTGGGGCTTGTCGTGTTCTTTTGCGCCTTGTGCACTTTTACCCCGACATGCTGGGATGAAGTGGGTTAATAACTCATTCTCCGAGTCTTGGACTAGGATGCTAGAGATCGCGGTGCCTTCTTGTGACTCGTTGATTTGAAGCGATCCATCCGTGGCTTAAGCGCCGAAACCCCTGTCTCGCTCCCCCCTGCAGCCCACCATCCGACTTCCTCCCTTGCTATCTCCCTACTGGTTGAAAAGCTGCACTCGAGGTGCAAAAGAGTTTAAGACGCGCATCTGCAGGCTGGAAACCGGACAGCGCAAAGGTGGCCGCCAAACCAGAGTAAGCCGTCGAACTCTGCCCGAAGCATCATCAGTAGAACAAGTGAAGAGCCTCCGTACCACCAGAAGTTACCTACTTAGGCAGTAGAACAGCGAAATCAGGATTCTCCCCTCATCGGTATCTTTCCCCAACATCATCTCGGTCCCCATATCTAATTCAGCCTCGAAGGAGCCCTAGGGTATGCGGATGCGCTCCACGTCCTTTAGGTCGCAGTGGAGCTCCCTCGACAAATCTCATGCTGATGTCCTTCATAGCCCCTCCTCCCTCAGACCAGCAATTGAATCGACTTAGTCCACCACGTTCAATCTGTCCAGTTACGTCCAACTCTGTCGTCTCGAAAACCCATACATACATATGATCTTCCACCCCTGTCCCGCACTTCTACGGATATTCCTTTGTAGAAGCGACCAAGCTGTTGGTCCTTAGTCTGATTGTCGCATAAGTCGATCGTCTTAATACCCGATAGCGTTAAGGCCTACGATTGATCCAAATTCTATCGCTTTTTCGTGGACTGTTCATATCCCCTGGTTCATCGAGCCTTACGTCAACTTGTTTTCTCCGGGTCTCTGGCCATTGCAGGACCCAGATCAGACCCATTACGCGACCGCTATACGTGGTATACATATCCGTCGCCGCGTGGATCATAAGCGCGCCACGGGCTTCTCAGCCGCAATATATTTAAGAGAGAGCTGTTATAAAGTGCAGCTTTTCTTTTTAACGCCGCCGGAACTACACCGCGGCCAGCACATCCCAACATCGCCAAGCCAGCCATGGCCCTCGAAGCTCCGTTGAGAACATCAACCGGGAGTATAATATCTACTTTCTCACCACACATGGAGATGTCTATATCTTCGTCAGAGTCGTCTACGGCTCCTCATTCCCAGTTTCGTCCCATGTCCGTCGTTAACTTATTCTAAACGTCGCCGTCGGGGACTTACGCTCACATGAATCAGGTCTACTAGCTCTGTAGAGTCCGGTTCCCTCCGACCGTCGTCTGCTCTTGCCCGGCCATCCTCCGCCAATCATTATCTTATGAGCCCGAGCGATATTGTCGGCCCTTCACCAGTTACGTCTGTCGGAACTGAGGTAACAGAAATAGACGACGAAGAATCTGACGAGGTTCGATCCCAATCTTCCATAGCGAACCCTAATCAGCAGCCTCAGGTTGGTGGCTTGAAGATGGGAAAGCACCTGAATTATTGCTAACATTAAGCCAGCTGCTTATGCTCAGGACGAACATTCCCGATCACGTACGACAGACAAACGAAGAGGCAGTATCAGTCATACACGCCCCAGAAAGCTTTCGGAGTTGGGTGAGTTGAGGATCTAGGATCTATCTCGCTTAGATTATACTAAGTGACATCGTAGAAAACCGCCGACAACTCACCGAAGTACTCAGAATCAACAGAAAGGACATCGCCTAGGTCTCCTATCTCCTCGAAAACCGAGGATTCTACGTTCGCGCCTGCTAGTAGACAAGTCCCAAAGGTAAATGTCCTCTAAAGATGGTCAAGGTATAAATTAACTTGTATAGTCCAAAACTCCTGGCCTACCAACACCACCCCCTCTATCGACAGATGTCAAACCTGTGAGATATAGTATTGACAGTGCAACACCCAGAGCTCAAGATCTCCAAGAAATAATGAGCGAGTCATCAAGAGTCAGGTCCAGCAGTGCTAGTAGCCTCGAATGTTAGCACGGCCGTTCTTCAGATTATTCCGGTGTTGTAGCTAACAGCTCGCTAGTAATCCCAGAATCTAAGGAGCCGGAGACAGATGCTGAACCTGATCTGGAAGGCTATGATGACGAGGAGTACGTCACACGCGTCCAAGAGCAGGACAGCGAGGATGTAGAGATCAAGTCTTTAAAATCGGCCCTGCAAGAGTGTTGGACCTTATGCAATACCTTGGCAAGTCTCAGTACTCATCATCGGGAAAGAGTATTCAGCTCATCAGGAACTCCTGATGGTCATGAACGAGCCTGGAAATGCTGCTGGAAATTATGTCAGCGGTTGTACAACAGCCGAGATGAAGTTGATGAGTCTTCTAACGTCCGTCAAAACTTAGACTTGTGCCGTGATTTCTGCCAGGCTCTCTTCGATATACGGCAACGCGGGGACGAGGTGTCAGATTCCGTTTTGCGCGTGAGCTTCGAACTCAATAACCAGTAGGTTTACTAATTCTACGATATTTTGAAGCGGCTATACTAACAATGATCCAGTCTATATAGCGCGCAGGACAACCGAACTCTTCCGGAGGCATTCCGAGAGCGAACTTTAGACTTCTACATCACGCTATGCCATCGACTCATGAAGCAGCGCGGTGAGTTGGGTGAGGAGACGGACTCGCTCCTTTCCGCCTGCTGGTCTCTTGCAGAGATGCTATTTAGCTTACGACAAAGCAAGAGGGATAGAAGGACGCCAGACGGCGAGCTTCTTGGTTCTGCAGTTCAGGCATGTTGGGAGCTCTGCGACATATTTAGGGAAGGATGGACGCAAATTCGACCCGATAGAGGGACACCACGTCCTAGTCCGGCGAACTTTTTCTCATACAACCGAGAACGGGAGATAACCGAGATGGCAGACGGACGAGAGAGCAGGGCGTCGAACCGTTCGAAAACAGGTAGCCTCAAGAACCACTCATCTCAAGGAGGAAAGGTAATGCGGAAGCCACCACCTGTACCCGAGACGCCCGTGACCGAATTCGAAGACACGCCGGTCTCCCCCGATACTGAATCGCCGCAGGTGCCGAACATCTTGGTACTAGGAACGGAAAGCAATAGGGGCGGAAGGTGGTCTAGCAGTGCCTCAAACTTCTCGAGCTACTCACAAAGTAGCCAAAGAACGTCTAGTACAGCCACAACAGCGACGACGAACGAGGATCCTAACATCACACGCATAAAGGTACTTATCCTAAAGGCAGCGTTAAATGTTGGTTTTTCACGAGAGAGCAGCGGGCCGGACGGACACCATCACAATAGTGCAGCATCGCTGCAAGCCTTTGTTAAATCGTTGCCGAGCGGGTCCTTTGGCTCGTTGCCAAGCCACGCGGCGCTCTTACAAAATTACAAGAACTTAGTAGTAGGCGATTCCCCCTTTCGACAGGCTACAGCGTTACCGCCGCGTGGGAAGCGTGTCTCGGCGGCCGACGTAGCCAAGAGCGTGGAGTGGATGACGCACCGCTCGAGTCAATACGGGTTTTTACGAGACTTATTCAAGCTCGTCTTCGGTTTCCAGGCCGAGGAAGCCGAAGGACGTAGGACCATGAATATTGCAGTCTAAGGAGGCAGCATGAGATGAACCAATCGTAGGGAGGGGGCTATCTCTTCCCCCGTCTTTCGTTTCTACTAAATAATTTGAACTAGAAAGATATTTCACATCTTGCATCACGAATCTTAACGCGGATAGGGGCTAGGGGATTTGGACAGGTTTTATTCGTTTCACTTACTAATGTCTTGTTGTTTTTCGCTTTTTTGCCCTCGCTTTAAAGATACCCCCTTTTACTCCTCACGGATGACGAAGCCAGATGACTATGCGGCGCGGCGCTTGGGGGGCTTTTTACCGGAGAGAGAGAGAGATACTGAGACTGAGACTGAGATAAAAAGAGAGAAGAAAGAAGCAGGTTGCTTGATGAAAACAGCTGCCCTGCGTACCTGACCTGTCTGGTCTTATTTATATTATAGGTGCCCATGATGCCAACATCATTTATGAAGTGGCCGGAAAATCATATGCTATGCTATGTTATGCTATGCCATACTGCTAATTTAGCAAGACGAAGAATTTAGATATTACGAATTTAATGGATTTATCCTAATGGTATAACATGAGTTTTTGAGCTGTGAAATCTATTACTGGATAGCTACCTGGATGCTAGGTTCGTAGTTGTTATCAAATCAACTACCTACTATCTACTTGAAACCACTAGGTTAGACTCTTAATAACTGCCTACCTAAATAACTAACTGTCAAGAACTATGAGTGAGTTATAGCTACTTAGTTATCATCCTCTTCCTAGTTAGTCACTTCTTCAAACAAGATAGATAGATAGATGCCAAGGGCATATTTCCTACGTATAGCGGGATACACCATGTATATACGGACCTATAAACTGGACACATCTCTCTTCATTGGCTTTTCTTTCATCACTTACAGTATTTATTTATTCGTTATAATCAGTTGCAGGGGGTCATGACTATACCTTCTAACCAAGTTTAGAGCAATACAGATAACAATAGTAAGCACACACCCCCACGCCATACTAAATCACAATAACAGTCCTCTTATCACGCATAAAATCACATTGGAAATCGAGGCGGTAGAAAAATAGATTTTTTTCTATTCATCAGAGTAGCATCCTCTAACAAAACGTACAGCTACCGAATAGAATAACCAGGTCATCCCACGTGTAGTCAAAGCCATGTTTCTCATATAGTAAAACAATCTAGTCAGCCCGGTCCGGTCCGGGTCCAACCGAGGATGCAAATATTTCCCCAGGCCCGTAGTTTCTTCCGATACGCCAGTGAGCCTCTGAAGCGGAACGGAGATGTTCGCTTCGGACGTTGGTAAAGAAATTCGGAACTCGTATGCCATCAACCCCACACCCACACATCCACACACCTCTCCATTCACCTCAGATAGTGCGTTTTGCAGCTGTTATTCAGCTCCAGCACTAGACCCGCGGCATCACAGCAAAGCATTGAAAGCCTATTTGTTCTTGCGGGTGCCAGCGGGGGGTAGAGTCTCGCCATACTTCTCGCAGAGGTCGTGGTACTCCCTGGACAAGCCGTCGGCCTGCTTCTTGAGGGTCTCGATATCGCGGTCGCGCTTCTCGATCTCGGTGCGGAGACGGGCAATCTCGCCAGGCTTGCCGGCCTCAGCTAGCTTCTCGCTTTCCTTAGTCTTGCGGTCCGTGCCCTCGTATTGCTTGACCTTCTCCTCAAGCCGGAGAACCTCTAGGATCATCGTGTATGTTCGGTTCAGGATCAGCGACAGGAACAGGGTAAAACCGCACAGGTACATGTTCCGCTGGCTGTAGAATTTGCGAGCTTGAACTTCGAGACGCTCGTGGCCCATCACCGCTCTGTTGGGGAGGTGGTTAGTATAAGGTTACGGGAGGCCGGGAGGCCGGGAGAGCGGGAGAGTTAGTGGGGGGGAGAGGAAGCTTACGCAGTGCCCTTTGCTGTATCGGTTGCGGCGGCAAGCTCAAGTTGCACGCGGTAGACGCGATTAACGCTGTCTAGGAATAGTATAAGGATAAAAACGAAGGTAATTTTCAGCCAATACTGTAATTTAGCTACGACGGGATTTTCGGAAAGGAAGCTGTAGTTTGTAACACACAATTAGCAAACGCTACAAATTGCTTTAGACGGGCGAGTATATGCATTGCTAACGTACGTAAACATCTTTCGTCGGAAGGTGAATGGCATCGGGACGACGAGTAGCATGAAGAGGGACATCTCTGCTACGAGGAGCACGAAGACCTGATTGTCCAAAATTAGCAAGTCGAATATATTCATCGTGGGCCACAACAGTCAGAAGCATTCGATAGACTCTTGTTCGAGAATGTTTCAATGGGAAGATGGGAAGATTGCGAATGAGGAACATACAAGCGAGTAATAGAGCGTCATCTTGGGCAAGCTGATCGTGGAGGAGTCGGGAAGGAAATTATTGTGTGTATATTGTGTGTATTGTTGTGTGTATTGTGTGTGTGGTGTTACTTAGTGCAGCAATGCCCAAATGTGTGTGCGTTGTCAAGGGAGAATTGACGTAGTTGTTGATATATGCAGATGGTGTGGTAATTGTCAACGTATCAAAGACAAAAGATTGGGTAGAGATTCCTATCTTAAACTTGCAACGAAGCTTTTTGGGTTAATAAGTGAGAATTTTAAGGGAAAAGGAAGAAGGAAAAAAAAAAGGTCGAAAGGTGGCCTTGTCTCACGAGAAGTCGTTACCGAGTGATAGCTGCTGCTGTTTTTTCTGCTGCTGAGCTGGTTTAGGTGATGAGTGGTGGGGCTGAAAGTGGCAGGTACCCTACCTAGGTACCTATGTATGTAAAGTACCTCTAGTTATTAAAGCTTGGAAGTCAACTACGTCAGTTCTTACAGGGAAACGAATGACGTTGCAGTTACACAGCGAATCTACCTAACGCTGCTTTTACCTAAGCACAATTTCTTTAGTCGTCAAGTACATAGGTACATGTAATTTTTATAGGTACAATCTGCTTAAATCATAAGGTATGTCATAAATACTGACAAGATGTACATATTTCTAGCTTTAATTTCTTATACTCGCCATATCATCCCAAACACACATCAAGAAACATTCCGAATGGATTCATTCTCTATTGAAACGTGTAGGTCTTCTGCCTAACTGATGTATCATGCAGAAGCAAATGAAATCTGGCCTGTTATGATGGGAGGCCGAGGGCCGCGTGTTCTGCGCCACAGTTCATCAAATGCAGCAAATTACTCCATTGTATTGGTTGTGATACATATCTATCTGCTAGCAAAACTGCTTTGAAATAGGAATATCATCCCTGAGCTTGGAGCTTTGATTTCAGCCGAATGAGTCAACAAATAACCCATAAAGATAAACTAGAGTCTATCCTTCCGCCTCAATCTCGTAGCTGTTAGACTTATGCTTGGGCTGAAATTTGAAATCCGGATGAGCAGGGCCTAGGAACATCTCGCTACATTTTATGTTAGTCTATATCTGATGCAATAAAAGACTGAAAACAGGAAGGAAAACCGAGACATACCTAATTTTGATCCAGTCCTTGTAGTTGTCACTTGCTAGAAGAGTCTCAAGCTCGTTCCGTCCCTTGTATAGCGGTGGCCTGTCGTTGAGGCTAGGGGGAAGGTATTCCAAGACCCCAATGGGTACATATCGGTACGTGAAGCTCAACCACTCCAGTAAGAACCGCCTTGTAAAGCCCAGGCCTAGCTCGTCAGATCCCCATGCTTCCAGTCCGTAGCGGACAAACTTCTCTATATAGCCCAGTCGCTCAGACGCAGACTTATCCAGATATTGACCCTTTTCGATCTCCTCAAATAACCACGGTTTGACCATAGCGCCTCGCGCAATCATGACAGTATCAACATTGGCCTTGTCAATATGCTCAAAATAGTCTACGTGTGAATAACAGTCCCCATTGCCGATAAAGTAGACTTTGCCGCCGGCCGTGTTTGCCTGGGTGCTCTCATCCGCTTCTTTGGCCGTGTCCGTTATCTCATCCTTCTTAGCTTTGTATGACTTAACTAGGCTAGTACATTCGGCGATGTAAGACCAGTTGGCACTTTTCGTATATCGCTGCTGTCTGCTTCGGCCGTGCAATGTAATGGCCGCGCATCCGGGTGCTCCAAGTCTGTCTCGTGTGTCCGGGCCTCCAAAGGCAAGCCTTTCGATTAACCTGTCTGCTGTCGGCTTCCCGTCCCGTACCCCCGTTCGCAGCTTTGCTGTAATAGGTACTTCTCCAGAGACGACATTCATACCCCGAACCATCTTCTCTAGCTTGCTAGGCGTGTCAAGAAGTCCAGAGCCAGCACCTGACTCGTATACCATGTCGATGGGACATCCGCAGTTCAAATCTACCACTCGAAGATGAGGAAGAAATTGAGTTAAGGCCTCAGTTGCCTTCATTGCCACCCATGGTTGATTACCCGAAATCTGGGCTCCGAATTTGAGGTCCTTCGTATTGTCGTAATCCTTTACGATTGCGCCCGGCTTAGGTGTGAATCGTGGGGATACAGTTTCCGACTCATGTGCCTTCATAAGTGCCCACTCGCCCTTCTGTCCTTGTACGAGAGGCATTCCCATGGCCATTTCCGAATATGTAATCTGAGCCCCCAATTCGACGCATAGCCGTCGGAAGGGTAGATTGCCTTGCGTAGTTAAGGGTGCTAATACCGGAGTTTCCCTCCCGAAGTAAATCTTCCTCTTCTCGGATGGCTTAAGCGGCGGGTCTACGAATTGAGCCCTGAGCTCTTCCCTGATATCAGCATTTGTACTGTTGCCCTCTTGCTTTTTGGCTTGATTGTGTACTTGTCTCATAAGCTCAGTATCCTTCTCTAGCCATTTTATATACGGCTCAGACTTCTCGAACTTGACCTTTCTTCTGGCCAGATCCCATTTGGTATCGGTAGATACGACGTTGACCACGCCCGGTCGTTGATCAGGATCTTCATCAGTTTCCATAGTATCGCTATTCCGGAGAAGTATAAGCTCTTTTCGTCCGTCTTCTCGTTCGACTTCCTTAGAGTGGCTCTTTACGAAACGGCACTTCCATCCGGCAGTACACCTACCATACTTCTCAAAAATAGGGCATTTGCCATCGAGAGTATCGAGGTCCTCACGTCGACCCTCTTTGAGATACTTGCGTAGGTCATGAGATAGGTTACACCTTTCGCCAAATTTACACGGTTTAGGTGAGAATTCGTCGGAGTAGGTAATGCTGTTACATAGGCGGAATGCATCTTCGTGGTTGCCAAAATTGCGGTTCTGATTTTGACCGCCTTGCTTTTTCCTATTCTTTCCCTTTTTACCGTGATTGTCACGAGGATCAGGTTTGCCATTGACAGAATCAATTGTGGCTATACCAGCTTCTGCTGCATCATCATCCACGACCTTAGCTTGAACTTCAGTAGAGATAAGATATCTACCAAATTTTGTTAGCTTCGAGTAGAGATCCAGACAGGTCTTAAACTTACTCAGCTTTCACGGGCGCAATACCTCGGGTTCTGTCCTTCGATTGAGTTCGCCGGTCTTCCTGTTTTGTCTCTTCATGATCAAGCTTTTGTCTCTTAGACGCGGGACCATCAGTTTCGGTATGTGCACTGCCATTGGCATCGTGCTTCAGAGACTCGCCTAGGCCACTTGCGACCGTGGTAGCCTTGTTATTCTCAACAAGTTGTTCGTCTGCCATTTTGAGGATTCGGCACTGAAATTACAAAAATGATGCAAGTTTTTGGCTTGATAAATTTTTGTTTTGCATGTCGAACTTGCATTTTTATTTTACTTTTATTTTGTACTAAAGTTACCCAAGTATATGTACTTCGTACCGAATACGTAGAGACCCGCGCTCTGATTGGTAACTGCCCCGCCATACATATACATTAGGTATACATAGAGACATGCTTAAAAGTTGAACTTTTATATCTTTAGTTAAAAGATTATACTTCAGTTGTTTTTACTCTATGTTCTTCTTTATAGAAAGAACAACTATCTATTTTATGTTATTAGTATTGAAATAGCTGTACGATTATTACTTATCTGTTAACTTTATCGTTGTAATTGGTTGATATTTATGCCATATAATAGTAAGTTATGAGAATTGGGTCTATTAATACGAGCGGAGTGGAGATACTTGCTATATACCCAACACTATTACATTGATGATTAAGTAGGTAATTTATTAAAGAAAATTATTAATAGTAACCTAGGTTAGCTAATTACATTTCTCATTCTATATCATATCTGTATCGTATAACACAGCGAGCATAAGGTAGTCGACCTCCAAACATCCCAACAAGGATTACCATCCTATATTTACATGAATGTACATAAACTATAGAACCTTCCATGCAAAAGATATATTCTAGAAGGTCAGATGACATGAAAACGATGTGCTGCGTTGGCCATCTCCCGCGCCAGCCTCGTGTCCGTATATGTAAAGGTTGGCAAATGATACACTGCAGTCGTGCGGCGAGGAAAAGCAACTAAACATGAGCCTCTCTTCGTGTGTTACACTTACACATGATCGATCAAAAATATAGAGCTTAGGTAGTCTAAGGAGATTTCTTTATAGCTATTAAGTCCCTATAGGTAATTTATTGACTCACTATATATAATCGCATATACAATACCAAATAGGCTGTTAGTGAAACGGAAGCTTTCAGCTGAAGCAGGCATAGTTCAGCTCTTATTCGGGTACCATTAAGATGGGCCGTTACATAATATATTATGCAGGGTGAAAGCATTAATACATAACATTGATGTATGTACATGTAGCTGTGTTAGATGCAGCTTCTATATAAATTAACTTTACCAGCTTGGTGGCATACTATTATTGGCAGTTCACACTCTTAATATGCAAATATTATATACAAATATACAAATATACAAATATACGTGAGATGAAAGGCAGGTGCCGTTATCGTTATCACCCCGTTGCAGTAAGTGAAGGTATGCTAGAAGGTACGTACTATGTACAAGCCCCCGGTTAAGGCGGGGGGAATACGCGGGATTGGTTGAAGTAGTACCTAGGTAGGTATCCATTTGCTCAAAAAGTTTCCGACTCGTTCAAATCACTTTTTCCTTGCTTCATCTTCTCTTTCTAGAAAAGTGCCCAATTTCATGCAGGGGCTTGAAGAAAGCAAGGGATGCCCGCGTGGCCTGTCAACAAGTTCAACCTTGACTATTTTGTATTAGAACCGTTTTTTTTTTAATCTGTCATCATTCTGTGCTCCGGATTTTATACTGGCATCATTATTGGCATCATTACTGGCATCATTACTGGCATCATCTATTTTGACCTTGAGTAGCTTTCAAACCGTTTCAACCCTTGCTTGGGGTCAAAATACGCACTTCTTTGAAACTGTCCTACCTTAACTAACTGTTCTACCCACCCTCACACCCTGTAGTTTTAAACCCCATGCCCTAAATCTTTATTCAAGTCTCTCCATGCCCTTGCGCGACTCGCCTACTGACTACCGAGAGACTAGGCTAGGTGGATAGTTTGGGGAATTGACCGTGTGACGTATTTTCAGCAGACCACCATTTAGAACCCCCTAGCTTCGGACGCGGAACGTAGGCCATGTTATTCGAGAACCATGCCCTCCGCTAACGAAACTATGGCCGATAACCCACGATCGCCCTCAAGCACCAAGTCGAGGACTATCCGATCCCAAAAGATCGCCCCGTCCTCCGCCGACGGCGACAGTGGAAACGAGGCACAAGACCGAGTTGCTGCCCCTACTCGAAGTCATACACCAGGTCACCTCTCATCTAAGAGCCAGGGAATTTCCTCGAGTAAACGCAAGGCATCCGAGCCCTCGATACGTTCACGTTCGCAGTCCGTCTCTAATAAATCCGCGTTTGCCGTGCCACCGCCTCAGTCTGCTCCGACGCCCATCCCCACTCTCACCCTTCGGCGCCATGGTGATTATACTACTCCCATACCGTCTGATCCGCAGGTCGGGTCCTCTAGTCTAGATGATGGACGGCGGCCGGTAGCTATGCGCTCGACGTCGGCCATCGCCGGCCGAGCCACTACTACGAGCACGGGGTCGGGAGCTTCCGGTGGATCTCGAAAAGCGTCCTCCGCTCCACGGCCGCGTGGCCCTCATGTCCCATTTCCGCCTCTCCAAGATCCCAAGACAGCACCCGATGTGCCCGCTGCACCTTCATCAGGCATGTATTGGTCGCGAGCACCGGTATCCGGAGCCCCCCACACCCCACTCCGTGCACACACGACGACTCTAATCGGGAGCAACGTATATGTCTTTGGGGGTTGCGATTCGCGTGCCTGTTTCAACGAGCTGTATGTCCTAGATGCGGACTCGTTCCACTGGAGTAGCCCACATGTGACGGGTGATATACCTGTCCCGTTGCGCGCCATGACGTGTACAGCTGTCGGCAAGAAACTGGTGGTATTTGGTGGTGGAGACGGCCCGGCTTATTATAACGACGTGTACGTGCTGGATACGGTAAATTTTCGGTGGCATCGACCGCGGATAGTAGGGGACCGGACCCCGAGTGCGCGGCGAGCGCATACGGCCTGCCTGTATAAAAACGGCATCTATATGTTTGGCGGTGGAGACGGAATACGTGCTCTAAACGATATATGGCGGCTCGATGTTACAGATGTGCATAAGATGAGCTGGAAGCTGGTATCGAGTCCCTCGGCAACCAGCTCGAACGGAACGGTAGTCAAAGATACCAGCCGACCCAAAGCGCGGGGCTACCATACAGCGAATATGGTAGGAAGCAAGTTGATCATCTATGGAGGATCAGATGGCGGCGAGTGTTTTAATGACGTATGGGTATACGACGTGGACACGCACGCCTGGAAGGCGGTGCACATCCCCGTAACGTTCAGGCGGTTGTCACACACTTCAACGATCGTAGGTTCGTATCTATTCATCGTTGGGGGTCACGATGGCAATGAATACTCCAACGACGTGCTGCTTCTCAATTTAGTCACTATGACCTGGGACAAGCGGAGAGTATATGGCCTTCCCCCCAGCGGTCGCGGGTACCACGGCACGGTGTTACATGATAGCCGGCTCGTCATAATCGGCGGCTTCGACGGCGGTGAGGTTTTCAGCGACGTCTGGATCCTCGAGTTAGCCGTACACGCGTATTACTCGCAGATAAGCCATTTTACTATCGAAGTCTAGGCCAAACTCGAGTTTACCGCTGCGAGTTTAGAGAATCTTGGGTGTTCGGGCTGTTGGCAATCCAAGGGGCGCTGAAGGTTAGATTTATGCGGCCATGTTGGTTTTATGTATCAACTTACTTAATCTAGCGTGGGCTTGGGCTTGGGACTAGATTACATATCATTCCGATAGCGTTGTGTTCTTTGTCTATGACGGGCCAATTTGGGCCTTTATTTTCATTATGTGCCGTCCATGTCTAGCTAGGTACGCAGGGGCTGCTGGCCGCAAGATTCCCCTCCCAAAATGGAGGGCGTTCCTTTGGTCAGTTGTAGCCTTCATTGCGAATATGAGTTATCTACGCAAATGTAGCTATCAGGCATCATTTCTGAATTGGGATCGGGAGGATAGTATTGCTTTGAGCGTGCCGTTACTGAATCTTGGGTCTTTTGGGGCGCCGGGACACGTAAAATGGGCAAAAGGGGGGGGGGAGTGGGAAGGGGGAGGGGGGAGAAAGGTGGTTTAATATCTTATACAGTCGGGTCAGGTCACAGGATGGCATACAAATCCAGTACCTTGAAATAATATATATGGTCTATGTTATATATAATATTAAAGCATGATGCATCATCGTCTTATCAATCATATCGCCTCCGACCTCCCACCCCTTAAATATGCTAAAAAAGAATATCCATGGCCTTAATTTTTTTTTCATCCCTTTCCTCCACTCCCTCCCTTCCTCCCTCAATGACAGCGTAGTGTAGAAAAGGCCACATAGCCGTCCACGCTTGCTTATTTGCTTTTTTATATTTGTACATGAAGAGAGAAAGAGACAAGTGAAATGATGAGATTCACCTAGCCCAACCCAACCGCACATGACCGAAACTCCGGGACAATGATCGATGCAAAGGAAAATATGCAGGTGAATCCGGGACGCAATGGAAATGCCCAACCGCTTGCTACACACGCGAGGTAGGCGGCGTTTCATCTAGCCTAGCCTAGCCTAGCAGGCTGCTGCTCCCATCAAGATGTCTTTTATTATCCCATTCACTGGCGATTAAACGCCGCTACCACCAGCCGCTTATTGCGAGTTTCCCTTCTGCGTCTTCTGGGCCGCGAGCCGGCGCTCCTCAGCAGCAACCATATCCTTCCACAGATCCTGGCCCTCGTACTCCTCCTTGTGGACGCGCTTCTCGATGAGGGTCTTGTGCTCGGGGTCGTTGGGATCGAGCACCTTGATAGTCTCCCACCGGCCGGTTCCGGATCGGGCATCGGCCGTCTCGAAGACGGCGGAGGCGACGAGCACGGCTAGCGTCAGGCCTTGGGCGTACACACGGGCTTGGACGAGCTTCTGCGAGGTGGAGAGGTACTTGTTGCGGCCGACGATGCCGAGTGCGACGCCCATGGCGGCGATCCAGGAGGCGAAGACGATGGAGTACCTGTTTTCGCGGCCCCATGTGGTGAAGCGCTCCCAGTTGGTCTCTTGCTGACGGATGAGCTCCTGTGTGCGCTGGGCCTCGTCGACGTAGAAGTTCATGGGGTTGTTGGCCTTGTGGAAGGCATTCGAATACCGCTCGGCGTTGACGATGGCACCGAAGGTACCTGTAGATGTGATGAGGAAGGCGCGGAAGGGAAGCGTGAGCGATCGGAAGACTGGGTATCGCCGCGATGCAACCATAACACCAACTAATCCAGCACCGACTCCCAAGGAGCCACCGATGATGCCACCCGTAAGAACTTGGCCATAGTGCGCTTTTTCTTCCTCTTTCGAAACAATCTTCATAGCTGCGGCTTTATGATTATTATATGTAGTGCGGGGATTTATTGATTCTTTCGATTACTCCAATACTTCTTTATATCGTAAGGAGTCCGATGCTTTGGGATTGGATCTTGTCTTGTCTTGTCTATAGTATTACAAGATCTGTATAACTCTAGGTATATATGCACTTGGTCGTGAGAAATGTGCGAAGTGTGGGTATCTTAGGATGATATCTAATAGGTATGATTGCTTTGAATGTGTAGGTAATTATCGTGATAGCTTGGTATCCTCAAAGGTCGGTACGCGGGGTATTATATTTGAAGATTCGGTGAGTTAGAAATTGAACGGTGACAGAATTCAATTGAGCAGTTTGCGATTGGCTCCTCTTCGGGATTCAGGCGGATTCAAGCGTTGGTTCTTAGTAACACAACACAACGTCAAATTGACGAAGCTGTTCGCAAAGGAGAAAGTCGGGGAAAAAATTACATGATGTAATCCACTGGTGGCACGTTCCGGCGCACTCTGGTACGATGGAATGTGGTTCGGCCAAATAAAGCAGAGCCCGAGTTATTCCCGTATTGTGGCTAATATATTGTGGCTTACGCAGCAGTCGTATAAGTCTTACAGGCTAAATTGTACTAAAAAAGCCTAGAAGAGCACTGAAGCCACACTTAAACTTCATAAAGGTACCTATTACGAAACTAGCGCCCGCTGTTCGCCGTTTGCTCGCCGTTAAATACAAGGGCTTTCGGGCTTTGGCAATTAGTTTTTTCGCATTTAGTGGCCAACTCGGCGTCTTCCGTCAAACTCAGCTGTCGTACTTCCGTCGTTAAAGAATGCGACAGCCGCCGTCTTCAACCTAATTAACGACAAACCTCCGTAAGGCTGCGGCTGTCGTCGCGGTATTTTAGGTGAATTTCATCGGCGATGCGGCGTATCTTTCAGGGTTTCAACTCCGAATAGCAATATTCTTTAGCGGTTTCCCTCCGCGGACTTTGTTGAATTGGTTGGATAGATGGAGCTCGGGCGAAGCACATGATATCCACGGTATTTGACCCAGCCATTTGACTTTGTAAACCTTAGACGTTGATGTTCCATTCTTAACTACAATCCGAATAGAGGCTTTGAAATATTTTTAGTTAAATTTACCTGGCAGCCTAGTAGGTTAGAAAGAACATAAGGAACGGCGAATCCAAACATTCGTGGAATCCGGTCCGTGAAGGAGCAGAAGCCCGGGGGTCTCAGTCAAATCATCGGAGCTTACGCTCCAGTGACCATTCGCTTCCTATGTAATGGCATACACAAGTCTATCACGTGTCATAAATGATGATCTTGGCGTCTCTTGTCAGCTCCGTGTCCAATGCATCCGAACTGTCTTAGCTCAGCCAGGGCTAAGCGGGACAAGCGCAGGGAGATGCCGTTTCATGCCTTGCAACTCACCTGTTACTACGGGTGGGTCTGGTAAGGCTCGGTTAAAGCTGACACGCAGCGAAGACGACCGGAGCTAGAGCCAATAAATTCTGGAAATATTCTAAAGGTGAGGTTGAAGTATTTCTGTCGATATGTACCTAGATATCAGATAGACAGTATTCTAAATATATTGCTCGGTATAAAACCAGGAAATACACACCTTGATCATTTTATAAGAGGATTTGGACCCTTTACTCACCTTGATAATTTATATGTACTTACCTTGTCCATGCGGGCAGGTGGAATAATGACCTTAGTCCGCAATACTATAGGATCTAAGACCAAAGTGCCACTAGAAACAGAGCATCGTCGGTCCTTCTTCCGGAAAAGACTGGTAATAAGACGTTTGTGTTAAGTAGGCAGCTTGGTAAGGAAGACTTGATCCGATAGATCACAAGGAGATCCAGATGGCCGTAGGAGACGGGGTTGCTTCAGGACGATCGATCATAATTTCCCCCCAGGCGAGCTGGCGTCGTGGCGCGCATGGCAGATTATGAGAACCAATCCCACGCGAATCCGCTGAGGCGAGTAGAGTGGCTCTCGCTACTGTGTTACCGCGGCTCGGAGATGAAGTCTGACATTTGAGACGACAATGCCAAAATATGCTAAGCCGGCACTTCAGCGGCATCTTGTGTAATAGGTTGCCATTAGCCACGAGACCGTCTCTCTGAGTGACAGCTTAAAAACATGGTTTCAGAACAAACTGACGCCGTCTCATCTCTATATAGTTAGCGGGACGATCTCTTTAGTAGGAGCTTGGCCCGTCTGCCCGTCTAGAACGAGTGTTGGGTTGTTAGGATATTAGGTTAGCTATACTAGTTAACTATGTATACATAATATGGGAATCGTAAGGATCGAGATTGTGTGCGGACTGCAGAGTGGAAGATGCTTCTGAGGCTTATTCCGGGGCTGGCGCCTCTGGGCCAGTGGAATTCGAAGTGGGAATTAGGAATTAAGTCTCGTTAGCGTAGTTAGTATAGTTAGCGTATTTTCCCCCTTGTCTCCCCTTGCAGGGACCCGGGGATGAGATGAAAAAGTGGAAACATGCTTAGAAGCATGCTGCTTACTGCGTCCTGTGCGTGCCTAAGTGCCCTTTACGGAAATCTTAATTCAGGGTCCAAGTGCGCTAGTGCACATCATAGAAGAAGAAAAAAAAAGCAAGCGCTGTTAACACGGAAAATGTACATCATAGATGTACATTTAGATTTAGGTACGTACCTCGACGACTTATTGCCTCTCGGCTTTCTCCTTGTACCTCGCACATCCGCACCCGGGGGAGAGGATCAGCGAATAAGAATATTTAACGGAACGGTTGATTGGACACGGCAGTTCGATCTTCCACATGCCACCGTCTAAAAAGCGGTGAATACTCCGCTCCAGTGTCATCTTTGTCATACGTACCGTACCGTATGTACCTAACATAATGTAAGCATACAAAAGGATGACCCTATCTGCTATGTAAGAATGCCACTTTAAAGCTGAGGTCAGAATATTATTAGAGTATACAATTGTTGTAAGACACTTATGTATAGTAGTAGTAGTGATAGTGGTAGTATATGACTCGGTGTAAGTTCGTCACATTTTCAGCTATAAACTTGAATGGAGGATATTCCCAGATGAGTTAACCCCCCGCAAAGTTGACATCAATATCACGCAAATAGATTGAGGGGTTTGGGATGAGTTTCCAGTCAAATGGAATAAAAAACAATTAGGGTCGAGATCATCAATTAGTATCTAGACATACTTGTTTAAGCCTTCAATTTCGTCATAAATGCGGAACTACTCCCATTTGTCGCGGGGTTGGCTGCTAGCTAGATAATTCTAGATTCCCAGAAATCTTGAAAGCCATCATTCTAGATCGGAGATCACTTTCGAGATCGATGGGATTTGCGGTGTTCTAATACTCACGGACCTATATTACCTTATCTCTAGGTCTCTCTCTTACCGTAAACCAGTTAGGCAATGTTGGATAGTTATGTTAGTGCTATGTAAGGTGGAGGTGAAGTCGCAACGTAATGTCGCACGTAAGGCTTACGACGAGGATAGAATATGGGGTTGAACAACATGGTATTTCTTGCATATCGAATATCCCCGGTCTACATATCGTCCTGCATATTATAGGCGTATTATGTGTTACTAGGCGACATACATACATGGTCCGAAATAAATCATACTCGGGTGTCATTCCGGCTGCTGAGTTATACAAATATACTACGTTGTCTGGACGTTTTAATCTAGAAGTAAGCCTAATGTTATCTATCACTCCTTGTCTTGACCTATCACTTATAATCAGGGAGGGTGGGAAAGCTACGTAGGTGAATGGGCTAGTAGGTTGATGCTGCATATGTAGGTAGCTTTGGGTTGGTGATGGCCTATCTAGGTATGTATTATGATGTATTATGATGGTTGGTTTGCTCGATACTTAGAAGGCAAATAAAAATGCCCGAAGCCGAATATTCGGTAACTTCTTGTTCCTGCTTTCAGCTCGGCGTCGCAAGGCTTCGAGAACGAAAATTACCGCATCAGCTGAACTTCGAAAGAATATACATACGAAAAGTCCCAACAATGTTTAACAAGCATTAATAAACCCCAGCATTTAAAGCCTTGCCTGCCCGTTTAGGTAATGAGGCACTTAAGGCCGATATGTTTGTGGGTTTGCACACGGACTGCCAAGTCTAGAGACCGACCACAAATTTCCTACCTTGGTAATTATTTGAATTATTATTTGATTTTTTATTTGATGGAATAATTTAATATTGTACTGGCTAGATTAAGGTTGTTTGCGCAGTTGCTTGCGTCCGCTCGTGCGACTAGCCGAGACCAATGAGAAGAGCCGACGAACCGAATATGGCTTCGAATTGGATTATAAATGGGAATGTAGAGTTGTCTAAGACGCGCACCAACGAGACGACGAAACGTAAGACCTCCTCGGCTTACGGGTTTACATTGAAGCTATCAGTATAAGACTAAGCGCCGTATCTATCTAGGACTGTATGTCCATATGTATGTAGGGTTGCTAGTAAGAAATAGTGGTGGCGTCGGAGAGGCTCTGATTTGATTCATAAAGTGGCGTTAAGGTAGTTGAGAACTACAATACAGCATGTGATTGTAATTCGACGGGATGCCAGGACGCCTAGGGTATGAGTCAGGGCAATACCTAGCGAATGGGACATTGCCGCACTAAAGGACCTAAAGGGAAACTCTTCGTACGGAACAGGCCTATCCCGTATAACCAATTTTGACAGGACGGCCTTTTTTACTGCAACTGCAACTGTGTAAGTGTACGGAATATGTAGCTAGAAACTTAAGTCCCGATTGCGTTGGCCTAGGCCTAGGTATTCCCAGCCTTTCCCAGTACGAATTTGTATGCATGTTGTGCTGCCGTACGAGTAATAAAAAGCATCTTCTCATGCAAGCAGTTTAAATTAACGAGGGTGAAGTTGTTAATGGCCGCATTGTGCGGCAATTCGTGCGTGAGAATGAGCTTATACGGTCTCGTCCGCGGTCGAGTCATACACGCATACTGCCCGTCATTCTAGCCCGTCTGCGGTCTGCGGTCTGCCTGCTTACCCCCAGTCTCTCTCGCGCATTTATACGGCGCGCAAAACACGATATTCGCGGGTAAGTCGAGTTGGCTGAGATCCAAGGCTGGGTAGCCTTGTTTAGATCAAACTTATTTTAACTGTTGAAGTTGCGTAAACAGGAAATATTGTGAAGGTAAACGGCAGCCAAGCCAAGATAGTAACGACTATTATTATGTTCTTGTAGGTACTATGACGCACGAGCATGACATCAAAATCTCTCCCGTCTATCATCGCATGTAAGTAGCGTTTAGCATCATTAAATATTATCATGATTATTATGATTCTCCAAAACTGGAATTCAACTGTAACTTAAGATCAAACTCATGTATGTATAGGTAGGTAGATATTAGGACAGAATAATAATAGTCTCAAAAAAGATGAAACTTATTGACATCTATTATGTAGTAGTAGCAAACGGAGGCTTGATCGTGCAGACTCCCCCCAGTCCCAGTCGGGACCCTAGTAAGTCCCACACGCATCGGCTTTCCTTAATCGGTGTCGAGTCGCTCAACATCCCTGGGTCCTTAACTCCGTAACAGACTTAGACTAAACAGACCACTAAATAGACCTAGCCGTTGGGTGTAACATCGAGCCATGTGAGTTCCACACCATCTCTTCAAAAAACGAGTTTGAATAATAAGAACAATACGATGGCCCGATGCCGGATACAGCTCTCTACATTTATATTATCAATAGGTAGTAATGAACTCGCCATAGTTAGTCGTTTGTTTTTAGTTTCTCATTCGATCTTTGAGTAACGTGAACTTGATTAGAAAACTGACTACATTAGGTACATACATATGTAGAAACAATCCCAACCTTCATCGAAGCTTCGATATCCCTGCTATCCTAGTGTGGAATCGCCGGGTGATGAAATTGAGCCATGTACGTGCCTCGTTAGCCTTTCCCCAGCGATGGGGACTAATCGTCACTGATCCGCAAACCTGACGATACTTCGCCATGGATTCGACAGCCCTTCCTCGGTGGAGAGGTGCTAGTATTTCCCAGCTAGCCTACAGGAGTAGCAGGAGTTTCTATTTCCCTCTAATTATTACATACATATAACACTATGAGAATCGCGGTAGGCTCAAATTGCCTACCTAGGTACCGCTGATGTGGATTTGTTTGTCCATCATACTGTCCATGGAATAGTCTAACTGGTCTAAACTGACCTAACTTGGTTTAGGAGATTGCCGTTAGATTAGGTACGGTAGTTCGGTAGTGATCACAAACATATGCCTGTGTGTAACTACCATCGTCCTATCCCGTGAGCCTAAAATGTAATATACCTGTTATATCCAAGTCTGATCTCTGATCCAAGCAGGTCGATATTATTATTACCTTAGTTAGCTTCATGTCCAATACATACACAGGGTATATACCCACAACTTGATCCGTGGAACTGTTGTCATAGTTTTAAAATACGACAACCCACGTTTTCTAACTCTCGTATATACATACACTACGCATTAGACATATGTACGTGCAACGTGCCAATGTGCTCGCATGAACAACCGCATACCAACAACACCACTTATACCAACTTTACTTTCTTTAGACATATTGTTCGGGTGTCTCGATTTCTCGATTCTACCCCCCGGCCCGTGTTCAACAGCCGCCTCCAAAAAACCACTTATTAACACCACCTACATCACTTGTCGACTTACCGCCAGATCTGATTTCGGGATCATCCCGCCATAACCATAATCCTCCTCCATCCATCTGGCTGTCGTGCAACCCGCTGTGGTAGTAACTGCTGCACTACCTGACTAAGTAGCAACCCAGGATTAATCCAGGCGTCCGCGGCGACCACGACCTATTTTCTCCTAGGGCTACCAAGTACTGCTGGCTCGTAACGGACGAGGTTTCGCCAAAAAATTAAAGGTATTAGAGTTATAGTTCGCTTTAGCTTGGCAGCACGTATCCGCGGAGTTCAGATCATTAAAAGCACCACCTGCAAGAGGCGAAACGCTACGTCCTCCGTCTCAAGCCAGTGTGATTTGCCTCCCGTGGTGACTATTACCAGCTGCTCGGTCGAAGCTCGTGCTTCCGTGTGATTCTACGCCGTGGGGTTTTGTTTGCCGCCGTACCTTTTATTATTTTATTATTTTATTACTTCATACTGCTAAATCTCTCTCTGGAAACATTGGGGGATATCCACCTTATCCATCTATCCACCATTCTGGAGACAGCTGGAGACTCGACAGCTCGGACCAACGTGATATTCGAGCTAATCGATCGTACCGTGTTTGGTTACAGTTTGCATCTGCCCCCCTCCTCCGGGATCCATCCAGTCACCTACATAGTATGTATGTAGGTAGCGTCTAATCTGGACCTACCCAGTGCACAACATTCAAAGCGACCCCCGGTCCTGTCGTCGTTAAGCTTACATACATTACTACCTACTTACCTCCCTCATACATATCATACATATCATACATATCATACATATATACCTACACACACATGCGCGCATGAGTTACGCGCATAAGTTGTAAGTAGTACAGCAGACTCGGATATTCCTACAATACGACTCTTCAAACATACCTCGCGCATACATAGACTGCGGTCATAATCCTGTAAGTTGTTCGACCTAACTTCGTACCTTATGTACGTACCTTAGTCAAGACCAGACGGAAACTGCATCTTGTTTTTTTTTTTCGGATTCGTCTATCCGTTCCCCGTCTTTAAGCATCTTTCAAGCATCTTTTTTGCCTTTCTCGCCAGTTCCCCAACTCGGGTTTATTCCCATATTCCATATTCACCTTGGAGACCAACACTACCTAACCTACCTATTACCACTACTCATGTACATATCACCACTAACACATTGAAACTGACCTAATCCCGGGTTGGATTCATAATTCCGTCTTACCGTTCGTCATTTCATATCTCTTATAATATTTGAGATCACTTTTTTACTATTTTTATTTCTGTTTCTTTACAATTGGAATATTTTACTGACACTTTTTTTTATTTACTATTACTTAGATACAGTTAAGAGGCAAAACCAAAGCCAAAGCCAAAGCCAAAGCCGCAAGTCGCAAGTCGCAAGTCGCAAAGTCGCAAAGTCAAGTTACTCCGTTTGTTAGGTACTTAAAAGAAAGTACCAAAGATACTTTTGGATAGGTACCTTTTTTTGCCCACCTGAGGGAACGAAGAGCCCAGCCCAAGGACCGAGGACCAGGAAGGACCATTCTCAAGGGTCGTGGGTCCACTATACTCAGCACCAATCACCACCAATCACCATGAAGGGCGCCCTGGGTAGATGGCTAACAGGCACGACACGTACCCCATTCCCAGCGACTAATGACACCGAGCATCCGTTTAGCAGCCGCAGCAGCGCCGAAAATAATAATAATTCTGGCGCTGGTTCTGACCTCGCCGCTGCCGCTGCTCCTACACCAACTTCCTCACATTCCCTCACCTCGCCGTCACCTTCACCACAACCCGCAACTCCGGACGACCAATTTAATTTTCCCGGTCGCAATAACTATTTCGCTTCCGCTTCCGATTCCACCGGCGCATCTGCATTTGCATCTCTTACCGCATCTGGATCTGCATCCCCTCTCTCCCTCTCCCTCTCCGCATCTAAACCAATAGATATCGCGAATAATAACCCAAAGATTCGCAACTCCAATTCCGCCTCGCCGCCTTCAGGCCAACCCAACCCGACCGAACCGGACTGGCTTCAAGTTAACGTCGACGGTGACCTCGACCTCGAAATGACAACAGGTCCTGCGCTCGACTCGGCCGTGAGCCGTAGTCGCCAGGACTCCTTCGTCAGCGCTGGACCCAAGCCTATCTCCATGATCAACCCGAATCGCGAACAGGCTAATCGCGGGAGACGGGAGAGCTTGGCCGGCAGTTTGATGAACGGTATGAGCTGGGGCGGAGTCTCAGTCGGGAGCTTCATTAGAGATGAGTAAGTCGTACCGATTATTTTTAATTCTCCTTTGCTCGTTAACAATTTCCTTGTCCTCATGTTTCTCATGTTTCCTATATTCCCCCCCTTCTGTTACTCATCGACGTTATGCTTCTTGTTACGCAGCGCTTCCGTTTTACCCGACCTGCTGTTTTTTTATACAATAATTTTATGAGACGTTTCTGTTTCTGTTCCTGCATGTGAAAATCCTCCGGTGGCAAGTAGCTAATTATCATGTCTCGACACGAATAGCCTCGTAATGACAGGCACATCGCCGTTTACCGGTGCTCATCAATCGCCCTCATTCCACTCTAACTCATACATCCCCAAGATGGAGGCCGAGTATCTGCGCAACTTCATATGTTGCGATTTGAAGTTGGACACGATGCACGATCTACTTCGCCACTATGAGACGGTCCACACGGGCCAGAATGCTCAGCCGAACCGGAATGGGTCCGGTATCCCGATGCCCCATAGGCTTTCGGTTAGTAGCCGGCCGTCTATGTCGATGGGAGCTGGACGACAAGACTCGCAAGGCTTTCAACATCAGTCGCAGATGGGATCGAGTCAAAGGTTCGGAAATATAGGTAGCAGCAACCTCAGCCCCGGAATGGGTTTCGGTGGAATCCAGATGGGAAGACAGTCTTCGGCCATGGACTCCAACGCCCAAAAGCGATCACAGCAGCTGAACCGAATGCAATCCAACGATGAGATGGATGCTGTTGGTGACATGGAAATGGATGACACTGTCGGTATGATGGAAATGGACGATAACCAACGGACTATCCAACAGACTCGACAAATGTTCGGGCAGCAACAGAGACCTCAGCTACAATTGACCACCCCGGGGCTACAACACCAAGCTCTCCGAACTTCGCAGCCGTCTACACCCGGTGCTAATAACTTTGGCTTCCAGAACAATCCTACAGTCTCATCAGTCAACACTCCCACCTTGACAACGCAACAAGCCGCATTGGGGCAACAAATGAGTGGAAATAAGGATGGGATGGGGGATATGGACTTCTCTTCGCTCAATAACCTAAACCTCAACAACATAGGAGATTTTAATAATTCTAATCTCTCCGAATTTTTCATTGACGATCCGGCCAAGAGGCTCTACAGCCCGAACGGTGGACCGGCAAGCCAGAGAGCGTTACAGCAGCAGATGGCTCAATTTGGACTCGATGCAAGTCAGTTTGGTAATATCACGGATCCTAACCATTTGGCGGCGCTGCAGCGTGCGATCGCAAACCCTGGCTCCTTGGTAATACCGCCGGAGGAGGACAAACCCTTCAAGTGTCCAGTCATCGGATGCGAGAAAGCTTACAAGAATCAGAACGGCTTGAAGTAAGTTAAACTTTTGTTCCTTTTTTTTTTTTTCCGCCTGAGACTTTGTCTCCTCCCCCCTCCCCATTTTGAATTTCCCGGCCCTTATCTTAACATGTCGCTAAATTGATTATGCAGGTACCACAAACAACATGGTCATCAAAATCAACAGCTCCATGAGAACGGAGACGGCTCATTCTCCATCGTTAATCCCGAGACATCTGCGCCTTATCCGGGCGAGACGGGTATGGAGAAGGAGAAGCCACACAAGTGCGAATATTGTCACAAGCGCTACAAGAATTTGAACGGTCTTAAATACGTACGTCATCTTAGGTTTACTACTTTACTACTTTACTATTTTTATTATTTTATCCGTACGTCATATCTACAGAGACTAACAACCAAACAGCATAAGCAACATTCGTCTGCCTGCGAGATCCAAGCCCAAGCGGCTAACATCCGAGCCAACCTTGCAGCCAACAACCAGATGTCCTTTAACATGGGTAACATCAGCCACGGACTTCCCGGAATTGGTGAAGAGATGCAGTTATAGGGTCATCTGTTCTCTCGGCCGTCTTCTAGCAACTACGGCGCTGGCTACTAATTTCTCGAGTTGCGGCCCGGCGTTGATGACCTGTATTCAACCGGAGGTTTCTGGTCCCGCATTGATATTTCGGCATAGATATGTTCATATAGACTGGATACCCCCTTACATACCGTGGCAACTGTACATACCGCCATAATTTCTCTCGGTTCGGAAAAGTTTGTTCTTTACGTCATCTTGGCGGCGTTCTTTGCTTCTTGCATAAGGCGTCCAGTCTAAGATATACCCTCGATAGACTTCTATGCAGAACTCGTCGTCTTTTCTTTATCTCTTTTCCCCCTCCTCCTGTTTACAAAGAGCTGAGCGCGTCTGTTCGGTCACCGTCACATATCCTCATAACATCATGATATCAACATCCCGCTTCCCCGTCTTTTCTAATCACGACAATTTACCTTCTACGACTGGATCGAACATGGAAGAATTACGAAGCCGATAGGGAGATGACGAATTAAGGGAATAAATCACAGACACGATTGATGTGCTCAGAGAGATGAGATACGGCCGGTGAAACAGCAGCCTAATAGCGAGGTTACTATACTCCAGCGATCTAGACTCGCTGCTGCTGTTCTTGTTTTTATTTTATTTTGTTGTCTTTTTTTACTCGAAACAAAAAGGGGATACGCTCGCTTACAGAGAATGTTGTGCCTCACGGCCGATGGAAAAAGCTATATTTTCCGTCCTCTACGTCTTTGTTTTCGGAACGGTCTGGGGGGTAGCCAGGCGTTCCAGCGGTAAAATTCTTTTTCTCCAGCCTTCGATTTCGGTGCACACAAAAGAAAAGAAAAAGTTAAAAGGAAGATCAGAGGGAAAATAAAAAGGCGGCAGAAAAAGTACCTATAATGTACGTCCCCTAGGACGTAGAAAAGGAAAGGAAAGGGAACTTGTTTATAGATGAGGAGCAGCTGGGTATACCGGCTGCTACTTTCCTGTGTGTAACTAATGAATTCGCGATGTTTTTAATGGTTCTACTCTACAGCTGTGTGCTTTTCATACTATGTTTATGATATTAGATTTGGTTACTAGGTATGCTTAAGTTGTGTTAGTTGTACTGGTAGCTTAAGTTCATGATAGGGGGGACTATAGATGTTCTCGCTTTTTCGGGTATCATTATTTTTGTCTCGGTTCCAATAGACCAAATTCTCTTAGCCAGTTTGATATATGTTCGTTCTACGTCTGGTACACATACCTAACAACCCTCCGTCTTACTGAACTTCTTATTAGTCGGTTAGACCACGTGGGAAATAATGTACGTCAGCTTACAAGATCTCTACTTGAACACGAGGTGAAGCAGAGGTATGTATATACAAACCATCGTATTATATCGCCTCGCCTATAAATCCTACTAAGGAAGAAAGAACCTCGATATTGAACTCGTAAAGTAACCCTTGGAGAATATATCCCTTACGACGAGTACGAGGTAGGCCCATGTCTACATCTGAGCTCATCATAAAGGACTACTATAAGGTCTCAAATGACTAGCTTCTCGTGATCTATCACCTCAGACGCCACTCAGTCTTTGCTCAGCACTCTATCTACCAGAAGCAAGAGATTCCTAGCCCCCCCTGGCCTTTACCCACTACACCCCAGACCTAATCAATCTCTCTACGTACTTCCCCTACACAATACATACACCTACATACTTTACACCCCCAGATCTCAAGTCCGTAACACACGGATACCCTTAATCTGAAAACACCAAGGAATCTAGTATACATACACTACTCTACTCAACTAGACACATATATCCATTCATCCATTCATCCATTTAAACCACGTACGTCAACTTAAGCAGACCCAAGCTAACCAGGTCCACCTCACCTAAACCTAGCCGAGGGCACGCAACACCAAACCCACAAACCCACAACCTCTAGCTCAGCCAGCCAGCCAGCCCGCTCGCTCACCCACTCCTTCTTCCCCAACAAGTTAGCATCACCGAGCCTCCTCCTCCTCCTTCTCCTTCTCCTTCTTCTCCTCCTCTTCTCCCTCCCTCCCCCCTCTTACTATGTATGTAATTAGTACTAAACCTACCTGACCTTACTCCCTCGCCTTGCGCGCCTAACCAATCCAAATAAATAAATATTAACCCCAAGCTAGGTTAGGTAAGTCTATCTATCTATCTATCCGTCTACCCGAGCTATCTCCTAGCGCAGTTCCAGAAATACATACCATACCATACATACACTCCCTCGCCCACTCATCCACTCACTTATTACCTTACGTATAACAGGTAACTAACTACCTAAACTAACTAACTAACTTAACTAACTGACTACTATGTACATATGGCCCGCAATCTTAGCCCAGGTATTAAATAATAAACTCGCGCATTAACCCAACCCAACCCAACCCAGCTGACTTAAAAATACGACACTAACATGCTTCCTCAGGGTTCTAGCCTCGATGCCGACACCGACGGAGGCTAATGCAGGGTCTTGAGTCGCGTATTTTAGTTCATGTAACGTACCTAAGGCTACACCAGGCTCCGTAATAACTACCTACCTACCATGATAATAACCTCGCCTAGCCGTCTCCTCCTCACCTCTCACCTCTAGCGTCCTCGACCTTGTGATTATCACATGCACGCCATCATAAGCCACATCTACCATACGCATATGTACCTAAGATACGTAAGACAAATATGCGAAAATTGCAAAGTGGACACTTGAGTTAAGTAATATTAAACCATTGCCTACCTAACGTAGGTAGTTACACGCAGGCGCATACGCACAACATAAGCCCCTTTCTTTAACAACCTAGCTTAGCATATCCTAGCTCGATGCATCTTCCCTTGATTCCGTTCTGTGATGACCTGTTGACTGACTGACTGACTGACTGACTACCTAACCTAACCTAACCTACCCCCCCCCGTCCCCTGAACGCCAAACCATGCTGATTAAAAAATCCCAAGTATGACAACCTCTCTGCGGTTGATGTTTGATTGTATCGATCCCGTGTTTAGAAAAGAACAGACGTGCAAAACCCAGAATTCATATCCATTGCCTCGTACCGGATACACGCCAGGTGCATCTCGAATATCCATAAAATGCAATCCACCTTTCTCTTGCGAGGTAAGCTGAAAATGCGGATTAAAAAAAAGCATTATTCAATGTCCGGATTCCCATAGTCAAGTCCGTCCAAAGTGAATCCTTCGCCGTAGTATCCTGAAGAGTCAGGCCATATCCATGCCTTCCGAGTCGTCCACGTCCGAAGGCAGAGCCTGCGTGTGGTCACTACTCATGCTATCTTTCCGCGAGACGCCAGAAGTGTCGAACCGGCCGCGGCAGTTATCTACGTACTCGAGTTCTTCGCCCGCGATAACTCGACCCTCCATATCGATTTCCTGCGACAGCTCGACGAGTGCCGATCGTGGCAAACGTAAAAACCCCTGAGTCCGCACTATGCGGCCCCAATGCGTTAAGCAGAATGACGCGGCCCGTTTGCGTAGCCACTCCTCGCTCGCGAGTCCTGCGCAATACCAAATGATACATGCGTGCTCTACATCGAGCTCTTTCGATAATCGATTCACGCAGAGGAGACGTAGATGAGGGATGTTGTAGATATTTGACATTACCAATAGCCCGGCAACATCTGAAAGATCAGTTGCGCCGTTGTCGGAGTGGATGCTATCTGTGTAGAGGTAGTATAGGAAAGCCTTAACAACTGTATAAGGCTCCGGAATATGCATCTTCTTAGTGTGGAACTCTGCCATCTGCGCGTTGTACAAACGGGCAAAATGGGGCCATCGAGCTTGGAGGATTAGCTTGTGTACATGGATAGGAGCGGAAGTAGGCGCATCTGGTGTGAGCCAGTTCTGATCCATTGGGGATTCTCCCGCACGAATAAGACTAGAGCCCATCATATCATCATCATCGTAGTCGTCACCAGCGAGAGCGGTGATGATAAAGTCAGTTCCACTTCCAGCCTCCGGCGGTTGGTTAAAGAGTTTTGCGAGATCATGCCCAAGCCCTTTCGATGGCTGGTCTTGAACTCTAGTATGCGCGGTTGGTCTAGCATACTCCGTTCGAGACTCGGAAACTGCGTTATTTCCTAGAAATCCATAGCGTCGTAGGTCAATTTCCATAATATCGCTTAGGTACTCCTCAAAGCCACCCGGGCCAACATCGTTGATAGCGTCAGTTGGGCATCCAAGTAGCCAGGCCTTAGTACCATCTTCATTCATCGTGCAATAGTGCCATTGATAACCCGGCTTAAAAATCTCACGACCATCAGCCAATTTTTGCCATCGTAGAGTATTTAAATCCAAAGCTGAGAGGGAACACTCCTTCGGGGTAATAGTCGCAACAGGGGTGACAAAGTCTAGAAGACATCCGGAAGAATAAATATGGAAATGGATGCCAGAACCTTGCGATGGAACATTGCCTCCGGAAACGAATCTTAGGACAGAGATGGCACCGGGCGCCATCGGAACTTGCTTCTTCAAGTGGAACGAGGGAGTGCTGACTTGAGCTGCCCGGATGTTGGCGGCAAAGCCTGAAGCTGAGAGGGGCGGGGCCGAGCCTAACGAATAAGGGGTCCGCGGCGAATCACTTGACCGACTAGCTATAGTGTGCCTATCCACGGGACCTCCAATCTGAGGCGGAGACTCAAAATCCGGGCTACCCTTCAAGTCTAGCCAGCATAGGTCGCCTATCTTATCCATGTCTCTACTTAATCCGCCGAATACCCAAATCCGATCATTCCTGCAAAAAGTTAGCCTTTAAAAGCGATATAGGGGGGAAGTGTATAACATACCATACATAGGCCGAGTGGTCAAATCTAGGAACGAAGCGCCATGACCTCGACCAAGTATAAGTCTTCAGGTCGAGGTAGCAAATATCCTCCGAGACATAGCTCTCATGACCTGTGATGCCACCAATGATGAACAATTTGTCTTCGTGTAGGACAGCCGCATGTCTGGCTCGGCCCTTGGGGACGGGACCAGAAACTTGAGGCTGGGTCCAGTGGGCGCTCTTCAGATCAAATATTATCAAATCGGAGAGATACGTCCTGTGCTCATTCTCGCCACCGAAGACAAGAAGCTTATCACCCTGATACAAGGTCGCAGTGTGTCCTACCGGTGCATGTGAGTCGAGGGTATACACCGTAAGACATGATAGCCCAACTTACCCATTCTTACACCAGGGATGTCTCCATAGTTATCGACCAGGCTCCATTGATGACTGACGAGGTCTAGCTTTAGTACGTGGTTGTAGACCTCATCCGTGTACTGGTCGAAACCGCCGAATGCATATATTTGATTGTTACCGCAATATGTAACAGAGGCGTTCACCAAGCAGGCGGGTCGCTGGCCGAGGGTTCGTGTGACCTTGGGCCGGTAATTATCCATTATAGCCCTACTCTTCATAGGTGAATTCGTCATGACAAATGTATTGTTAGAGGATACGGCAGACATTGCGGAGGCGGATACGGGGGTCGGCGCATTCGAAGTCGCTGGTGTGACAGCCGGTAAAGGGAGAGCCGGATGATGGTGTGTCGAGGTGATGGGTCCACCAAAAAGGGAGTGAGCAATTGCGGATGGAGTTGAGGGATGGGCCATGATTTGGGCTACTGTAAGGCAGCGGAATCACAAGTTGCAAGGCTGCGGATATAGAATTGAGAAATCGATCGCAAGGCTACGTCGACATTTCTAGTCCCTTTGTTCGCAAAGGGGTTTGCGATAGGGACAAGAAACTCAATAAGACGAGTTGATTAGATTCAATGAATATTATAATACCAATGTGGGCCTTAGACCTTGGAATATCGGGAATGAAGGGCCAGTCGTCCTTGTTGTATCATCCAATATTTGGTCAAGTTGGGTGTAGTATTTGCTAATGGCAGGGGCAACAGGGGTTGTTTTCTTTCGCTATCTCCGGTTGTACAAGGGTTTTGCTAGCAAGATTTATGAAAGTGGGGGTGATGCTTATGTAAATACAAATGAGCCGATGTTTCACTTGAAGTCAAACGCCACAAGTTGGATAACTATGGTCAGACGGTTTGACAGTATTGAATGACGCACAAGCCATCAAAGAAAATATACATTGATACATTTACTAATACCTAAAATGGCTTGGGTAAGTGCGCACAGTTGTTCAACCTAAATTTGGCGTAGTGCAATGGGTCATGCGGTTGCCCTGCGCAACCTAAATCCTCTCCGATCCACTTCTAGTAAACATTTAAAGTCACCAAGTGCACGACGAATTTAACATTTGATTCTTCCTTCATTACAACCCTTTCAACTTTGCTCATCCGCTCATCCTCATATTCTCCTCTTGCTTGCTGCCGTCTAAGGCCAAAATATTACCAAAGCCTCTCGCACAATACTTTCAAGTCCACTAGATCTCATCACTACTACTTTCCCTTGAGGACGTATAGTCATTTGATCGCCCCGCCGACTTTAAAGTTGTTCTACGCGAAGGCATTCTTCGATTATCGAACACAACGTCTAATACTAACCAATAACCAAATCCAGGAACCATTAACTTGAGTCTCTTGGAGCTCGTTCGATCTGTCGGAGCTCTCACTTACTCATATAATACTCCCCCGAGACATTCAGTTGCTCTTCATCGGAGTTAACAGTTTCTCATTTCGATACACAATAATCGTCATACTCTAGATAATTAGACACTATGGCATCTGTTGCAGTATCAACTCCCTTAAAGTCCCACAAGGGACTTTTCTCCTCTCGTACCGCTGGCGGACGGATGCCCCTCACACCATCCCCTCGTCAACGTACCACAACTGTCAATGTTCCCATCAACGTGAACTCATCCCCTTTCACGCCCGACAAGAAGTCTTCTAGCCGCGATACATCCCGCCCAGCCAGCAAGTCAGTGTATGGAGGAAACCTATCGGCACACCTTGCCAAGACAACCTCAAGATCGTCTCACCGCAATTCACCCAAGTCTAACCTTGCCCGCGGTGTTTCCACCCCCCGCAAGGCTCTTGAGCTTGGTGTATCCGACTTTACCCTTGTTGGTACAGGACAAACCAAGACATCTTCTAGCCCAAAGCCCAAGAAGACGGCAGCGCCTTCAAGATCAAAGTCCAACAAGACCACCATTTCTTACGCTGCGGATCGCTTCATTCCTAACCGAAGCAACAGCTCTGCTATTGCTAATGCTGGATCTGGAAAGCTTGATTCTCAGGAGAAGAAGAAGCAGCGATCAAGGGCCAACAGTGGTGAAGCCTCTGCTGTTCTATCTTCCGCTACCGATGATGCTATCGCCGCGCTTGAAAGTCTTAACATTGATGACGACGAAGCCGCCAGCTACTCTCGTCCGTCGCCTAACACAGTAGCGTATCAAGATTCTCTTGCAAATGCTTGTGGTGTTAACCTGAACACTCGCATTCTCCAATTCAAGCCTGCCCCACCGGAGTCTTCTAAGCCTATCGATCTTCGTCAGCAGTACAACCGACCGCTTAAGTCAGCTAATGCTAGTTCTGCTCAGTTCCGACGCCGCATTGCGACTGCCCCTGAACGAGTCCTAGATGCCCCAGGCTTGATTGACGACTACTACTTGAACCTGCTCGATTGGAGCTCTGGCAACCAAGTTGCTATCGGCCTGGAGCGCAGTGTCTACGTCTGGTCAGCCGATGAAGGCGCAGTGAGCTGCTTGTTAGAGACCAGCGCTGATACATATGTCAGCAGCGTTAAGTGGTCCGGTGATGGCGCCTACGTCGGTGTTGGTCTTGGGACCGGCGAGGTCCAGATCTGGGACGTTGCTGAAGGCATGAAGGTGCGCAGCATGTTCGGCCATGACACTCGCGTTGGTGTGATGGGCTGGAACAAGCACCTTCTCTCTACTGGTGCCCGAAGTGGACTCGTGTACAACCACGATGTTCGTATTGCCGAACACAAGGTGGCCGAACTTGTATCTCACACTTCTGAAGTCTGCGGTCTTGAATGGCGATCTGATGGTGCCCAGCTTGCAACTGGAGGCAACGATAACCTTGTCTCTATCTGGGATGCTCGATCGCTAGCTGTCCCCAAGTTTACCAAGACGAACCACAAGGCGGCGGTCAAGGCCCTGGCCTGGTGCCCGTGGAACATGAACCTCCTCGCGACTGGTGGTGGCTCTTACGACCGCCACATTCACTTCTGGAACACTACTTCTGGCGCCAGAGTGAACAGTATCGACACTGGTTCCCAAGTCACCAGCCTCCGATGGAGCACTAGCTACCGTGAGATTGTCAGCTCGAGCGGATTCCCTGACAACTCTCTCAGCATCTGGAGCTACCCTACTCTGGTCCGCAACGTCGAGATCCCTGCTCACGAGAGCCGAGTTCTCCACAGCTGCCTCAGTCCTGATGGACAGATGCTTGCCACCGCAGGTAAGAGATAACCTATATGTGCCAAATTTTGAATCTGAAGAACTATAGCTAACAATGTCTTTTAATAGCTGCCGACGAGAGCTTGAAGTTCTGGAAGGTGTTCGAGAAGAAGGCTGGTGCTACCGCGGGTGTTGGTGCCAGTGGCTCTTCCAGCAAGGCACAGATGGCCAAGCAGATGACCATCCGATAAGGCGCCATGTAGATCTCGTGAATGTCAGGAAGCATCATCGATGCTCAACGAACAGTAGGTACAATTTCGCTCTGGCATCTCTAGGTACTGCATTTGGTGTCTATTTAGCATGGCGTTGGGGTATCCTCACGATATAGACCTAGAAGGTTTTTAATCAGGATACGACTTGGTCATGAGCTACGAAGCGATAATGCGTGCTATGGGAGACCGCAAGGATGGAGTTATAGTGATTATAATTACGGAGTTTAGGGGGGTTCAATTGCGCATAATAAGGCAGGAATAAGGGTAGCTAGATAGTCGACATATCAATAGGATATGAGATTGGCTAGTATTCGCTTATTTGCCGTAGCTGACGCGGCATAATGAAGTCATATTAATATTTCAATTGGCCTTGTTCCTGTTTTGATGTCTTGTATATGTTTAGGTGCATGTTCCTTATTAAACTATTCCTTATTAAACGCTACAAATTCGTCCCAATTAAGAGGCCAATTAAGAGGTAGCATGTAATTTGTTGGCTGTCGTCATTACCTCATTTTATTTCATTTGACGTGCCACGGTAGTGGTAAAAGGTACGTACCTAGTTGCTTAAGCGGCGCTGGCGGCGCAGTGACTTAGGTACTACCTATCGTACTACCTATCTTATCTAGGCTGTCTAGGGCGATTAAGTAAGCGCGTAAGCGGCACTTTAACAAACCAGGCACTTTCAAGCCAACCTTCACGAGAACATCACCAACCAGAGACACTCCATCGTCGGCCAAATCCGCTGCGCCAGTGTACGACGACAGAAAACTACGTGCCAGTTATTAAGTTAATACCAGAGAAACTAAAGACTGAATTTTGAGCCAGATTTGAGAGGGCGCACGGGGAGGAAGCTTGGGCAAAACAAAAACCTTGGTTTCGTCTTCCGTACTTGCAACCGCTTTGACTCGCAAGCCGCGTCCAAAACTTCAGCGTTCGCAACTCTGCTGCGGTCTTGCAACCTTGCACAACATTGCATTCCTAGGTATTCATTGTGACCGTACCTACATTATTTACCAGGTATTCCACCTGTTCGTCAGACAGGATTTTTACGTAAACCAACAACTACACAACCCTGCTGCCGAATACCGTACCCAACCTTTCTGATCGACCCGAATAGTCGGTCAACCCGCGGTCATTTATCGCCATGTCCAACTCGCAGGTCGGCAACGTCTATCAGCAGATCATCAACGATGTCCTCGAAGCTTCGCGAGTCGATTTCGAGGAAGGCGGCGTGGACGAGGGTGTTTTGGATGAACTAAAGAGGGTGAGTAATTGGCTTTTTTCCCCTTGTTTTTTTCTTTTTTTTTCTTCTTTCTCTTCCCTCTACCGCTTATCCCTTAAGTCGATCGGCGATCAACAATTATTGATGCATCGTTATTATTTCTTTCATTTGGACGGGGATTTCCTAAAATATTGAATACTTGAGAAATTATTTTCCAATATTTAATGAGTTGTCGACCAAGCCATGATGGGCACTATATAGGCCACTTTACTATGCTGGTTATAGGCGAGGCCGAGGTTGGTGAGAACTGGCGGATTTCGTGAGGGGCGGGCAGGCACTATTTGGGCTTTTTATGCCTCTGCGCCCGCTGCAAATCTCCCAGTGACTCACGTCATTTTTCATTGGCTGGATCCTAGTCCACTCACGTGCCTCTTACTGTGCGCGTTTATCCTATCAGCTCATTTGTTACTTGTTACTTTCGTTACTTTCGTTACTTTTGTACTTATATCCCTCCCCTTTTTAAATCAACCTGCAAGGAACAATGCTTTCGTTACTAGCTAAACCCCTCACCGAGTAATAAAGAAAGATGGACTACTTGGCTAATATTTTTTTATCAGGGATGGCAGAAGAAGCTCTCCCAACAGCAGTTGGCGACGTTTCCCTGGGATCCGAAGCCAGACGCCCCTGCTCCCCCGCCCCCGGCTCCTGTTGTTGCTGTTGCACCGGCCCCTGAGCCTATTCCTCAAGTTAATGGCTCTTCATTCATCCAGGAACATGTTCCTCAAATTCAACAGCCTCAAGGTCTTACCATGCCTATGGCTGGTGGTCAGCCTTCTAATGGTTCTGGGGTCAAACCCGAACCTAGCGTCAAGACAGAGCCTGGCCTTGACAATGGATCCATGATGACCCAGCAAAGTGGTCCCGCCGTTGTACAAGAGCGGGTATCTCAACAGCTCCAGTCCATGTATGGTGACCGCGCAGCAGCTTCCATCAACAAGCTAAGAGAGCAGTCATTTCCTCAGAACCAACAGAGGCCCGGTAATCAACCTATCCCGCCCAACTATCAGGGCCAATATCAGCAGGGTCACCCTCAACAGCAATACCGACCTGGCATGACCCCTATTCCACAACAGCAGCAACAGCAGCAGCAGCAGCGCATGACCATGCCAAATGGACAGAGACCTCCCCCCTCTCAGCTGGATGGCGCAGATGATGCCGAATCTCATGTCGGTGTTGTTATGCGTCGTACTTCTGCCGGTGAAAATGTGGAAATGGGACGAGTTCAGATTGACAACCTGCTCCACGCCCAGATTGCGGCCAGGGCTAAGGCTATGGAAGGTGGTGGCCTGATGCTACCCCTTAAGCGCAAAGGCAAGGATCAAGCTGTCTCACAGCATAGTATACCCCAGTCCGGCGGTATCTCCCAGTTTGATGGTACGGATGATGGTGTGAAAGACGAAGGAGACGATGACGCAGACGCCATCAATTCAGACCTCGATGATCCCGACGATAATATTGAAGATGATGATGAAGATGAGGATGGCGGCCAGATCATGCTCTGCATGTACGACAAGGTTCAGCGAGTCAAGAACAAGTGGTAAGTTTTCGTTATTTCGAGAGATAAATCCCATTGTAGTTGCTCACAACAGAATAGGAAGTGTGTTCTCAAGGACGGCGTTCTAAGTGTTAACGGCAAGGATTACGTATTCCACAAAGCGACTGGCGAGTACGAATGGTAATCACGAACTAGAACTTACGCCATCATGCTAGCATGACTTTGTACAAGACCTGCTTTCATTTCTTTTTTTTGTTCCCGGCGCGTATTTGATTAAATCCAACCGCATCAAAATTCGCCTTTCTGCATTTCGTCCTCCCGCTATGACAAGAAGCATCTGGGCAATGATTGCAGATAGAGAACAAAAGTTACCTTGCTCGATATTAAAAAGGTAGAACTCTAGTGGGTTTTATTAAATGCAAGTTTGCGTAGGGAGGCATGATTCGTTAAGGGATACTCGCATTGATTTTTTTCTATTTTTACTATGGCATCATACCTGTGTGGTGATGGTGACGATGAAAGTTGATCCTCGTTTCGGGCATTTTGGCCGCCGGGATGAAAGGCGTGCATGGGGGGGCGCGGAATAGACATGTCCTACTACTGCCGGTATGGATAGATAGTACTCCAGGACAGCTGTACTAATAGCAATATTTTTTACAATGAAATTCTGTTTATAATATAGAGTACGACTTCGTCTTGCTGAAGCGCCTATTGTGAATATGGTTCGGCTCAGCTCGGCTTTAGCTAGGACAGACTCCGGACGGCTACATTAGTTGCCGCTTGGACGTTCTTGGAGATATACAATGTATATAATAGGGAGGGAGGGTGGCAAAAGGGAGTATGAGTCAATAAGCTATGACCAAGGCCGTCCCGCCGATCGATCTGGTACTACGTACCTAAGGCAGCCTGATATTGTCTCCGTCAAGCATCGAGTTGGCACGCAGCCTGGTCTGTGACTCAACGTTTATAGTCGGCATACGGGAGCATGACTCAGAGTCGGGGATCATAGGGAGGGAGGGAATACTTGCCTACCTATGTATTCCTATATCCTTGGCCTGTTGATATGTATTGGCGTAGCCCTATCCGTATGTGTGTGTATCATGTGCTTACTATGTATGTATAGCCCGTTTATGCATTATCGACATACCTAGGTACATGTAGTCGCCCCGTAGGTTGGGGTACAACATATGGTGTAAGTAAGTAAGCATGGGTTGATATACATACATAAGGCTGCATGGTATACAGTGTTTGTAGGAATGGGTTGAGTATAGGTATATATATGTGTGTATAGGGTCGGTAAGTAGGTAGGTAGGTATATCCTAGGTACACACCGGGTTAAGATAGAGTCGAGCCTGGCGTGGTGCTGTGGGACATGGATGTAGGTGGTGGTTAGGGAAGTTATATATTCTTAAATACGGCCTCTCCTTGGAGAAGTTCTTACGGGTGTATTGTTTTGTTATAAAAGACTCTTTTTGGGCGTGGATGTATGTACTGCATATAAATGGTGTGTGGTGTACCTATCTTATGATTTTACTAGATATCGGGTTTAATGGCATAATATAATCTATTAGGATTGCGAGGGAATGATGTTGACAAATTAACGAGTAAACTATCCTTGGATGTATTATATTAAAGGCGACTCGTACCATAGGCATGTTTCTCTCCTTATATCTGGGGTAGTTATCTAGTAAAATTCTACTCTACCTACTAATATACCTTGAGGTAGACACCAGCATTTAGCACGTCGTATATTTAGGTGAATAGTAACGTAGATAAAAAAAAACAAAATATGCATTGCAAAAGTGCGAGTAAAATTACTAGGCCTAGCTCTATCTTGGTAACGTATTTTTGCTATAAAAATACATATATGTATTAATCGCCGCATACTCTCGTTTAACTCCACGGGTTATTGGATATCGTATAACTTAAGAGTGCTTTCAGCGGAGATGAAGGGCACTTAAAGATGTACCTTGTCGTCAGCTTGTTTCACTACTTAACTATGTAGCTGGTGGACTGTATGAAAATCTTTAATTTTTTCGTGGCTTTTTTTTTTGTATGCTCGCTCCTCTAGGTATATTGATACATATAGTTGAAGAAGAAGAAAAAGAAAAACAGAGACGAAAGGAGAGAAAAAAAAAAGAAGAAGGTCGGGCTAGGGGGTTTGAGTGTAAATTGAACAGGCGATTTAAGACTGAGTCTAGTGGCTTGTGTTTTTACCGTTCAACCAACCTAGCCCGTGCGATTCCATGCTTTGTAGAAATATATACTAGATATGTATGCAGGTAGCCTTTGTTTTGCCGCCTCGGGGTATTAGATACGTTGGTACTTAAGGCACCCAGTATCTAACCTTACACATACGGACTTGGACTTGGCTGCTGGCAGTCAACGCAGGTTTTCAACATAGTAAAAGGTAGTAGTAGTGGTGAGAATAGTAACTTGGAAGCTCACCCCATAGGATACGCAGAAAATATATGGAAGAAGTTACGGTGTAAGCACTATTAAAGTGGCAAGACTACCTATATACAGCTTCAGTTGACTATTTTATATTCATCGTGAGATTCAAACGCTATTATCCTCTTCCCCACCCATCTCGCCAGCAGGGCCATATTACAACTACTGTTACCTAGTTGCTACGTACGTAGTTACCGAGGCCGCCTAAATTGTTACTATCCTATGCGGCTACTAGTGAAGAAAAGAATATCAAAAAAAGAGGTGATTTGACCTGGATGGGATTCGAACCCATTCATTTCCTCACGAATAGCGGTCGTGGTAGGGGGGAACGCGCGCGACAATATCAGCAAGGAATGTGCTACAACTACACCACCAGGCCTTTTCATCGTTGGGTACTGGACATCCTGCTTTTTGCAAATATATGCTGCTTGTGCATGCACCACACGTCTCCCCAGCGACGACAACATGCAAGCGGCAGCGTGTATGCCTACATCCTTCCCTTGGACCTCCACCTACCTACCTTAGGTAACTTAGGCAGCAGTAAAAGTGAACGAACCCCCCAAGCATAAGAAGATGTGCTTATTTCTCGTGGATATCTACGCCTAACAAAACGTGCCCCCCCAAAGCACATTCCACGAATTCTGGGGCCGTTCTCAAGTTACCCTCCCTCTACATATAAACAGTCACTGTCCTCTCTTAAAACGCATGAGATGTAGGATTTCTGGGAGGAAAGGGGCTTAAATAATACAAGAAGAAAATACCTAATTTATATATCATGCCACGCTGCTTTCCTGAGAAATTAGCAAAGGACCGCTCTTACGACACTAACTCTGTGATCTACCAAAGAAAATTAATGTTCTTGGCAGAGCGTTCAATAAGTTTCATTGGTATAGGATATATATGAGAAAACGGGTTTCCAAGCCTCGGCATAATGGTGGTATGACTTAACACTTAACATCGATCACTGCTTATTAATAGGAAAATCGCTAACTATTGCCTCGTTACCTCGAAAAGTGAGGCTATGGATTAAATTACCGTTCCGAGCTATCGGTGTCGGTTAGGTCGTTGCGAGTCCGTGCAGCTTCCGGCATTAAGAAAATTACTTGATAGGGAGCTAAGTCCCTCCGAGTAAAACCTCCGGCGGATGTCGTTGGAAGGCCGGCCCCGGGATTATGGGAATTGGTAAGGAATGTTGGTCGCGTGGTATCCGAAAGAAGATCGAAGCCCCACTGCTATATGACTAGCTTTTCCTATTAGTTGCCGTCTAATCCCCGCGACGGTACTATGTACGTCGATCGTCAACCTACACTATGAGATGCTTGCGCAGCTAGTGGCTCTAGTCTGACACGTGGGTCGTCAACCAGGTATTGATTGTCTGGGTTTGATGGTATGTTGGACGCTATATCTATATGTTTATACAGATATATTTGAAGTAGGCCGTTGTATGGTGAAGAGCTAAGTCGCATATGGAAGTTCGGCTCTTTACGTGTATGGATATGCATCCTTTGTTATGCTGGCTTCGGCCGGCCAACGTAGCTGGGGCCGCCAGGCCCGTATAAATGCCGTTGACCAACGCATAGGTGATATAGCGTTGGCGTATTGATGAACTGGGGGTCTCTTGTATTCGTATGGAAGCATTGGGTGGGACTGGTTAGCTTCTTTACGACCGTTATAGTCTAGGTGCCGCTCGCCTTGACCTGCTGTGTTGGATTTGGTGAGTATTCCACGTGTACTATATATTGGGGCATGTGGTAATTAGACTATGACGAGAACCATGCGTTGTTTCTTTTTTTTTTTTCCCGGGAACCAAGAGAGACTAAACCATCTCGCGTTTTGAAGCCGAGTATGTTGTTATGATTACACGACATTATTGGGTGCCGTGGTGTTGGGTCGCTCCTGTATTCCAATTTTAGTTGGTACATCCGCTCGTGATATCTCTGCCTTAACCTTCATATACCTATGCGCAGGGGCCTCGAATACCTACTGGTCTCCGATTTTGCTCATAAGTACTGTACAATACCTACCACACCCTCATTCCTGATTTCATTATGCATATATCGTTTAAATATTAGTGTAAACTGGGGTTTGATTAATTAGCTTAGGCCGCCTATACAACCCTCAGCAAAGTGGACTACCTAGGACTTTTGAAACTGGTTAGATTCAGCTGGACAGAATTAATGCGTTAGAGCTTGGCAAGGGTCAATGAGACTTTTGTTCTTGATAGCCTTTATTCGTGTGCTAATATAGGTCGATTAGGTTAATAAGTGACGACGTGGCGTTTATAATATGTGACTTATACTAGATATCGTTTTAGTTTTATATAGTGCCCTCATGTATCTCTTGTTGGGGACGAGCGACAGGGTTAAAGCCACGATTGTGTTAATCTTCATGATTTACGTAATGGTGGAGTGTAGGTGAGCCCATTGTATGTATGCATGGCTTGTTGGTAATTCTGAATGTGAGGTCTGAATAAGTGGTCTGTCGGCAAAACCCCTCTTCCGCGAACTGCGGCCAGTGTTGGGAGTTGGGAATATCTGGGAATATCTATCTATCTAACCTAGAAGAAATGGGTGGTTCTAAACACGGGGCTGATAGGAGAAGTTCTCAAACCTAGTAATAGGTAGTGTATGTAACATGATCCTTGACGGAATCCATCTCGTAGATGTGGAGATTTAAAACCACATTTCTTACAGAGTATGGCTGTATGAATGATGGATTGATATGTTAGTATTA